AGACGGACGTCTATTGACAGTCACAAGGCCGCAGCGGCCGGATCTTCGGCCAGTTACGTCCGCCAAGTGTATGCTCCCCCACACGGAGAGATATACCGGCTCCCCCTTGCCCTTGTACCGTACGCGTTCCTAGAGCCTGTACCACTCCTGAAGCGGCTCCTGGCATGACGCATGGTTCTAGAAGACGGGTGGAAGAGGTTCGGCTGGTTGAGAGGTGGGATATGACGCTAGAATCGGGCAGTTTTCGTGCGACCGGAGTCTACAATTGGGCAGGCTGGCAGCTGGAGGCAGCGGGCTCAGGGTACGTGGGTGTATGCACAGGTGTCTTAGCGAGCTGCACAAGGCTGGGATGGGACGGTAGCCGGACGGGAGGAGCACGGATGGGATGCAGGGCAAGAGGAGGCCTGGCTGCTGGCGGTCGCTTTGGGACAGCAGCGGCTGCAGCAGTTGCCTGATGACTCGATGAAGGATTGGTCGTCGAAGCAGCGTACAAGCGCGGCAGCGGGAAGTGGGTATCTGGAGGGTGCTGCTGTGCTACGTGAACAAGCAACTGCGGACCGGTTCGCGAGATCCTGACGAGTGAGATGGTGGGGGCACGGGATGCGGCGTCGCGGAGGTGCGCTGTGGTGTTGTGCGACGCCAAAGATCCGCGGCGCCCCATGCGGAGAAAAGCGCGTGGGCGAATGGGCGTTCTCGCGCCTGGAGCCAAAACCCGGATGCAGCGCGAGGGTGATGCGGATGTGACGCTGGTTTTCTTCAATAATCCGGACGCGATGCAGCGCGCCTGAGACGGGCGCATGAGCGAAAGAATCGGGCGATGCTCCAGGAATTATTGCGATGTCCTCGCGGCGCCAGATGAGGCAGCAAGGCCGGCCGCCAGCGCGCCGGACAGAGGCTCTCCCGAGCGGCGACAAGTGGATAAGCTCGTGGAGAGCTGCTGTTCAGCAGGCCATGTATAGCGAGGCGGCGCGCTGTGAGTGGTGGAGGCGGGGCGCGCAGGAAACGGCATGGCGCCGATCAGGCCCCCCGCGTTTTGCTGGGATGCAGTCGGAAATGCGAGCCACGTCAGCTTGCGCGTTTGAAGGGGCGGCGCAGAAGCACGCTGCCACAGCCGACTGAGCAGACGGCGCCGCTCGCCCTGCCCGCGGCCGATGAGATGAAGATGTGCCAGCGGAGCAGCCGGCCTAGCGCGGCGAGGATCGGAAGCTTGCATGCTCTTGGTTTTCCGGCCAGGCTGGTGACGATCGTGGTGGTGATTGCGGAGCCTGGGCCTGGCCCGGCCTCACCGCGGCTCTCGAACAGCAGCACCCTCTCGCCATGTTTCACGGCCGTGTCGCATAAGGCAGAAACGCCCCGCCGCCTGTCAATCTGCGTCACAATGCCACCGCGAGCCTGGCCTTGCATTGAGAGAGGCTCGAAGGGACACGGCTCAGAGCCCAGCAGCCCGGGCGCCCTGGACTGTGCTTTCCCCGCCAAGCTCCAGCGCGTAATCAACCGCGACCTCCTCTCCACTTGCTCCTTCATCAACCTCTCGCCTGACATCAATGACGGAATACCGATCCCACATGCACGCATCAGCCCATGCGCGCGACCAAGCCAGAGCCAAGCCCCGCCATCGACCTGTCAGAAACGGCCCTTCGAGGGCTCATCCCGGCCACGCCCGGGAATGAGCGGCACAGCCTGGGGGGCCCCGGCCGTCACCCATGCACACGAGCAGGGGGCGCACCATCCGCTCCGCTCGAGATTGGAGGCAGCGCGCGCGCGCAGCCCGGCAAATCAACGCGCCCGGACGGCTGCTGGCGCTTATGCACCAGCGTTGCCTGCGCGAGCTCATGAGCGCTCGCCGTAGCCGAGAGAGCGCGGCCTTGGGCGAGGGGGAGAGAACGCCTCGGATCGGCGGCATAATCTTCACCGGCACGCGCGCGCGGGCGTGGCGACCGGGAGCGCAGCCATCAGCGGCGCCGCCCACGCTGCGCGCGGCCGATGCAGGTGCGGCTGTGGGAAGCGCACCCTCAAGGAATCTCGGGAAGCATGGTGAAGGCCTGAGAAAATCACGGGCTGGGGGCCCTGAGGCCTGGCCACTGCCCGTGGTTCGTGACACGCGTTGACAGCAACCTTAATTTTGGCTTTGGGCCAGCGCGTTTCTGCTAGCAGGCCTGCCTGGTCCATCTGTCCGCGCCGAAGCCAAACAGACAGCATAACTGGGCATAACTCGACGCCGACGATCGCAGACCGGAGAAAACCGCCATGACGGTCCAAACAAGAAATGTGCGGGTGCATGACAGCACGAATGCCTGCGGCAACCGTGGTTGCAGCAGGCAGAGGCGTGGCCTATCGTTATCGCTGCCGGCCCATGCAAAATACGCGAGCGGCGCCGGCATGGTTCAGCCCACCATCACACGGCTAGTCCGGCCGTTGGACGAGGGTGTCGCGCGGGAGGCATGGGTGTCGCCGGAGCGCATCCCAAGCTCCAATCTGCACAGCGGCCGCCCTCGTGGCTGCTGCCCGGGGTAGCTCTGTAGCATCGCACCTCAACCTCACCCCAACCTCCTGCCTCCTCCTCCGCAACCACCCCCCCATATCCGCACCGCAGCAACGGCCAGCGCGGTGAGCCCCGAATGCGGACCCGGCGCCAGAGCTCTAGCCCACGCGTGATGCTGAAGAAAAAAGAGCACGACGGATCCACCGCGCCGCTCTAGTGCGCGCGCGTCACGGGGCCGAGCTTCGTACCTCGTAGCCCGAGTGCAGCGGCGCGCCCTCGCTGCTGCAGCTCGCCGCCTGCGAAAATCTTGGAGGAACGCGGCGATGCAGAGGCCCGCAGATCGCCTCCGCGAGATGCCGGGCGGCTGCGTGCAAATGCGACTGCCACTGTCGCAGGTCTGGCAATGCGAAGGTCGAACACGCGACTTTTTTTGGCTGCCCACCGCCAAATAGGCTCGTCGCGTCCGTGCCAGAGACACGCAGGCCGGATGAAGATTGGAGCGCGAGCGCGCCCGGGCGCGGATCCGCCGTGTGCGCGAGGTACGGGTACCGTCCGCTTGTGCATGGCCGGTGATGCATCCTGACGTCTTGCGGCTGCGAGGCTCGAAGGAAGGGTCCAGACGAGCCGGACTTCTGGCCGAAGCAGAAGAATTGACCCGGTCGGCACCGGGCCTAATTTTTTTGTGGGATTTGGGAAAAAGCATCTGGACAGCATTGGCTAAAGGCGGAAGGCGGCCGTGTCTATCATGGCCTGATCCAACACCAAGCCCGGGAGTAGCACCCGCAACGGTCGAGTACGCAACACTGACTCCGCGTGCGATCTGACTGCCGTCTGGAGAGTGCCGAGAAGCGTGATTTTGATGTATAGGAAAGCGTGTTAATCGGCCTCGCTAGCTGGAAGAAGCCAAGTAGCGCCAACTCTGCAATCTTTATGCCTCGTAAAAGGTGAGACCACGCGCCGGGCTGCGCGAAGTATATCGCCAGTTTACCTTCGCGTGCCTGTATATCCAATTTCCCCCCGGCCCGCGCGCGCGGCAGCAGCTGGCCATACTCGGGATTTACACGTCTGCCGGCGCATCCGCTTGGCGGCTTGGGGAATTCCAGCCCAAGGCACCAGCGCGCGCATGAATTGCTTGCAGGCTTCACCCCGGAGCCCTTTGGGCGTCGACTCAGCACCGCAGTGCGCGCTTGACGAACCTGAATCAGCGGCCTCGCGATGCGCTGTCGTGCGTGAGCTGTCAAGAGGAGGCGGCGGCGGCAGGCCCTACCTACTGTGCAATACGTCCTCGATCGGCGGCGCGGGCAGCGAGCGCCGGCGAGAACACAGGCGGCCGGGGGCGCGCGGCAGATCGCGCCCTTCGCTGGCAGGGCCCTGGACTCGACACGGCGCGGAAAAACGGCGAGCGTCGTCGGCCGTCAACGGCGGGCCCTGGAGGCCCTGCCCCGCTCGTGGCAGGTCTGTCTGCTGGTGTGAGGTGTGGCTGGGCTCGCAGGCCCCCCCACACAGCGTTGGCGGGATGATGCTGGCGATCGCCCCGTCGCCCATGTCGCTGCTCGCTCGCCTGCCGTGCTCTGTGCGCGTCGATGGATGGGCGGATCTGGCGAGGGATCTCATCTCAGGCGGGCGCTGGGCATGCGGCAGGGCCTGGCTGGCACGGGCGCGGGCGCGCGCAGGCCGGCAGCAGCGACCGAGGCCGGGAGAGGGTGGATGCGCTGTGGAGAGGCCCTTGGGCAGCTCCTCCTCCGCTGCGGCTGTCGAGTCGCGCTCACGGTTTCATGCACCGGGCTAGCGGGCAGCGCTAGGGGTGGCGCTGGTTCGGCATTAGTAAGGCGGGCCTCTTCTGGCTGCCCGCGCGATCCTCTCGCGCGGCTGCAGGCATCGGACCAGGAGCAGCCCTCACCCACACACCAGTCCGGCAAGTGACCCGGCGCACGCGACGCCCACGCTCTGCGGCCGTTGCACACAGCCGCGGCGACGGGCAGCCCGATCGGGCAGGCCCTCCGCGCACGCAGGGCTGCGGCCAGTGAGGACACGCGTGGCGTGCGGCGGCGGCCTTAGGGCGTTTTGAGTTTATTTCAGTGCTGGCTCCACCGCGCGGCCAGCCAGTCGCGGCGCGCTGAAATTACGCAGCTGGCCCGGGCCCCGTCGCTGCCGCACGGACGCCGTTGCTAGCCCGCACCCATCGCCCAACGCAGTCACCACTGACTCCAGCGGCCGAGCAGCGCTGGTAATAATAACAATGTCGCATGCGCTGCAGCGAGATACGGCGCCGTGTGCTCCGGGGTATAAGGAAGAGCCGGCGCCTGTGGCGGACGATCTGGTGAGTGCCTCCCTGCCCGCCGCCCGTCACCGTCCCCAGCCCGCCCAGCAGCTGTCCCTCGCTCGCGCCCGTTTGGCTTCGGCGTCTCTGCTCTGCGCTCTTGCTTGCATGCATCCGCCCTCTCCTGCGCCTGCGCTGCACACCTAGCGGGCGAGTCATCTCCTGCCCTTACCCCAGCTCCCGCGTGTCCTAGGCTACATGGTACGCCCCTTCTCGCCAAGCTCCCCCATAGCTCCCCTCCCATGCGTCTTTTTCCGCAGCCTCATCCATGCTTGCTGCCGCCGGCGTCTCGTCTGCGCCCGGTCCACAAGCGTTTCATCCTATCTGATCCTCGTCCTCCACCGCGCCTCTCTTAAGCTGCCCTGCCTGTCGCCGTGATCCGCGGACCCTGTCCTCGCAGCAAGAGCAGATCACCACCACTGCCGTCGGCTCTCTCATAATCCTCGTCGAGCCCCGGCCTCTGCCCGCGATCGCCTTGCGCCGCGGTTCAAGACAGAGCAGACAGCAGCTTTCCCTTCAAGTCTTCCCTTCAGGGCGCCTGCACCACTCACTACTCGAGTCCGCCTTCGGTACTGCCCATTCCCCATTCGCGTCGCCTCTTTCCTTTATTTATTTTTTTCCCCGTCGTCGCCGCCGAGCAGCCACACCCAATTCACGTCGTGCACACCCGTTGCGCCGATGCACCACCAACGCTAACACCGGCCGCGCCTTCCAGCATCATCCCCACCCCGCTACGCAGGGCCTTCCACCGCCGCAACCTCACCTCCAACATCCACGCCCCGGCGTGCTTCAGCAACACCAACAACACCATCCCAATTCGCCGCAACAACCGCAACACCCGCCTCAGCAGCCCACGACTCAGGGCCCTTACGCCTCGCCACACCCGCCCCCACCGCAACACCAGTCGCCGTACGTCAGCAACGTACAAATTCCTCCCGGCCAGAACCCGCAGGAGGTCCCCTACTACGCGACTCACCCGAGTCCGTACAGCACGAACAGCACGTCCGGCAGTTACACGTCTTCAGGTAAGCAACCCGCGCGCGCGATTTGCCACAGCACCCCCGCTTTCTCCGGCCGCTTGATCGCCCGAGTCGTGCCGAAAGCTGCGTCAGGCCGCGCGCCCCAATATCAATCGCCCGCGGACGCCCGCGACGCGTCTGCCCAGAAGCAACAGCTACTGACGCGAGTCCCAGAGAATTCAGAACTCTCAATGGCCACCGCAACCATGAACAGGCAATTTCCGCCAATCTACCACACGCCGCAGTCCAATTCCCCGGCGTCGATCCAGTCGCCGCAGCATGATCAGCACGGCCGGCCGCTGTACGGCCAGTCGGCCGCGCAGGTGCCGCAGAACATGTACTATCCGCCTTACCAGATGCCGCAGCAGTCACCATACGCGCCGCAACAACACCAGGCACCTCTTCAGACCAGCATGCCCCTGATGTCCCACCAGCAACCGCAGCCCATGCAGCACCCTCCGGCGCACCCGCACACCCCCGGACTGCCCGGCAGCCCGAGAACGAAGCTCAACCAGACGCCGCTGCAAAGACCACCCTCGAATCTGGGTGCGCCGCAGCAAACTCCGACTGGCCCTCCCGGCAGCGCTGGCAGCATCCACTCGACCCCGGGTGGCGGCAGCACGAGCGTAAACCCCAACGCGGCCCCCGGCCCGATTCCCGCCACAACCCCGCTGGTCGTCCGGCAAGATCAAAATGGCGTGCAGTGGATTGCCTTCGAATATTCGCGAGACCGCGTGAAGATGGAGTATACCATTCGTTGCGACGTCGAGTCGGTGAACGTCGACGAGCTTCCCCAAGAATTCAAGACGGAGAACTGCGTTTACCCGCGTGCGTGCTGCCACAAGGATCAGTACAAGGGAAACCGCCTACATTACGAGACAGAGTGCAACACAGTAGGCTGGGCGCTTGCTCAGCTTAACCCATGCTTGCGCGGAAAGCGTGGTTTGATCCAGCGTGCGGTTGACAGCTGGAGAAACAGCAACCAAGACCCGCGTCTGCGGAGTAGGAGAGTGAGGCGGATGGCCAAGATCAACAACAGGAAAGCTGTACAGGCGCAGCATGGAGGCCACATGGCAGGGCCCGGCGCCCCGGCCCCTGGGGTCCCTAACACTGCTGGCATTGCTGGGGCTCCAGGTGCCAGGCCACCGAATATGGGAATGGGCGGTCCGCAGTTGCACCACCACCATGAACACCCGGCAGGTGGTGCTCAGGGCGGACCTGATGACGTTAGCGGTATGTTTCCACAGATGTGACGAGCGCGATTTGAAATTGCGCCTTTTTGAAACGGACTTTGCAATGATAATCATATCCTGTCGTTTTGTATTGCATTTGTATCGCATGTACATTACTCCTTGATGTAACTTTCCCCCGCATCGCACTGTCGTTTGTACTCGTTTGTACCCATTGTCATGCACAACACCCATACCCTGGCGCAGATCATCGATCGTCGAGCAAGGTTACGGCAGCTAATCTCTTATCGCGGTGTAGCCGGAAATGAGTACAATGAGACCGCCCACACGCACCACCACCAGGCTCCCAGCGGCCAGGCAAGTGCAGCAAATGGCGACGTCAGGCCAGCCAATAATTTCTATCCTAACTATCCTGCGAACCAGCCCACCAACGCTGCCGCTGTACCACCGCTGGAGCATCACATGGACCACGTCTCTTCCCGCCCTCCGCAGCAGCATGCAGCCGCAGCTACGACCAAGCAGCAGGAGGACGAGGAACGCAACCTCGAGCTCTTCGGCGATCTCCCCGAGGCCAAACGACGCAAGTTCATTCTCGTCGATGACGCCCAGAGAGGCACCCGCGTGCGCGTCCGCGTCATGCTCGACCAGGTCAACATGGAGGAGATGCCCGATTCTTACCGCAAGAACAACTCTGTGTATCCCCGCTCGTATTTCCCCACCCAGATGCAGTCACCCCCTGCGTCTCCCCGTGGAACTCGGTTTTTCGACGACCCGGACGAGGAGAAGGAGGGCAGCAACGGCGCTATGCCTGTGACGGGCAGGACTCTGGTTCCTGTGCCGATGATGGACGGGTCGGAGGCCAAGGTCCCGCGCCCGCGGATGACCAGATCGAAGAGGAACAAGGAAGTCACTCTCAACGACCTCGGCTACCGCATGACTTGGAGCCAGAGCAGGGTTTTCGCGGGGAGGACGCTTTTCCTGCAAAGATCTCGTAAGTTTACGCCCGTGGACAGCGGAATCCGGCGTTCCTGAACGATTACTTACAAACCCCGCAGTCGATGCCTACCGCAACAAGATGCGGAGCACCATGGTTGCAGCAGGCCAAGAAGTCGCGCCGCATTTCGAGACGCGCGTGGGCAAGAGGCGGTGGCTGGAGCGGAGCAAGCGTGCGAAGCGCGACGCCTCGCCTTAAATACCTGCCATCCCCGGTCCAATTTCACGATGATCCGCGCAACCTCGAACAGCAGCGGTATCTGCACGACTCGATGAACCCGGCGTGGGACGGAAGACCTTCCGAATTGGGCCCATACCCTCCGCTGTCAAGAATTAAGCGAACGGGCCGGGAAAATTGGGATCCCCTTCCCTACGGCTAATCCACTCCCACGCGCCAGGGACAGGGGGCGTCCTCCACCTGCATGGCCTGACCGCTGCAGCCTTTGAGGCGTCGGGTGTGTTCCGATTTGTGCTACTTTCCGTTTCCTTCCACCTCAATACTGCATCGCCCTATCCAGAGCACCTGCTATCCTACCTTAGCTGGCCTATCCTGGTTATCGATGCGGCCCGGTATGCATGGTCGGCAAACATGCTGCTCGCCACTATTGCTCGAGTAACGGTTCTTTCCTCTTTCGGTCCAGTCGCGGCAACGTCTCAAGCACACCTTCCTGGAACGGGCTTGTCTTGCCTCCGGTCTGTAAACTTGTTTGCTTATTGCTTTCTACTTTTTCATTACAGCCGGCGTAAATGGGGGCGGCTGTGCGACGAAAGCTCACTGTTTCATATCTGTTGATGTTGTCTCTTTCATACACGATCGGTCAAAAGACATTCTGCAATGCGTAATGTGGATGAGTAAAGCCTGGGATATGGGTGGTTCGTTTCTGTTTTTTCTTGCTTTTCTTTTGAGTCTTTTCTCCAAGCGTTCGGAGGGGATGGAGTATGCTTTGCGATTCGATCAAAGGGTCATACGGAGACTCTACGCGAGGCTTTTCCTAGACTCTCGACAAAAAGCGCCACGAGCCCCGTCTCGTACGTGCCATACACACGAAGAGAAGACCGGGGAGAGTTTCAGGTGTTTGCTTGAATTATTTTCAGCCGCAGGCATCCGAACCGATGCTCTCTTCGTTTTTACCTCTTGCTATTACTTCTAGCTTTTTTGTTATCGAGGCGCAACGGGACGGGACGGCAAAAGAAATGATGCAAAAAAGCCACAGCGACTGGAAATTTAAATTTGTCTGCTATCGCTTTCATACACAATGTCTATTCAATCCCCCTCATGGCAATTTGAGCGCTTTTGCTTGCTGTATTCCTTTGAAGAGAACCTGAAGGGCAGGAACCCTTTCATTCTCACGGTCATCACGCAAGCGTCGGCAGATTAGTTAGTGCTTCACTAGAGCAAGCGTCCTAATTTTTTGTTGCTCGTGAATGGGGGTACCTAGATTAATGAACGGGCAAACAAACTTGCGTGTGTCAGCTGCTATGCGTGCGGTCTTTCCGGGCATCCGCGGTATCCGCAGAGCGGTATTGGGCGGAGCGGAGTCCGATGCGCGTGAGCGGGAAGCATAGTTTCCCCCTTAGTGTTGTGGTGATGGTTCGCTTCTGCTTGCTTACTCTCCGCCGTTCGCGCCTTTGTCTTCTTTCCTTGCTTTTTGGGTTTCGAAGGAAGCGTCGGACTACTGTGCTTCCCGAACCTAAAAACACATCAATCATCCTGACTAACGGAGCGGCCGCGCGGGCGCGCCGCGCGCGTTTCATCAGACGATGATCGCAGCAATAGAGAGTGGGTGAATCGGGGGCGGTGGGGGAATGCGATCGCGAACCCGTTTCTTGTGGTTGCCTGATGCGGTAAAAGATGCATGTGTGGTTTGGGGCGGAAGGGGGAGGGAGGGGTGTGGGAAAGATGGAGAAAGGTTGAAAGTATAAAAATTGGGAAAGCTGATGGGCTGCAGTGGCGGCGGCGCGCACGTTCATCTGTTGATCGGCGAAGCCGTGTGGAACTAGACCACGTCTATTTTTTCTGCTTCTCTTCAGACAGACCGGCCGGCTAAGGAATCCTGCTTGCGCTCTAAGGGTTCCTTCTCGGATTCCTTTCCCACGTGTCTCTTGCTTCGCCTTCCCGCCGCCAGGCTTGTCGTCGCGTGGGCTTCCTTCCACCATCCATCATCCTTCGACACTTGACGTCGTTAGGGGCGGTCGTTTCGGCAGAACTAATTCTTATCGACCGCAAATGGGATAAATCACCATGCCTCTCCCACCCCCCACCTACGACGGGGGGCACTACTAATGCATCTACTTTCCAATAGCTTCTTCCTTCCCACTTCCCTCCTGCCTTTCTGGCTGAAACCCGAGACCTTTGTGTGTGTCTAGACTTTTTGGTCTTTCATGCCCGTCATCGTGCCTCGGCGAGAGAGTGTGTTCACATGGGAAGCTTCTTTTTCGAACTAGCTCCTTGTTCGTCTCGTGCCGTTAGCGTGTTCAAGTAGTAGGTCGGCCGGCGGCCGGGGGTCGTCATGCAAAAGACGGGGAGGCGCGGGGAAGGGCGCGGAAGGGGCCGAGCCCAGACGCCGGCGCTTCAGTTCGCTGCGGCCGACGTTTTATTTCCAGGTCTGCGTCATCTCATCGAAGGATGACGGGTGGTTAGGGTTTTGGGATGGGGCGGAGTGGCGTGGCGGTTCTGGCGATGTCGTGATAAGCGAGCTGAGGCGGAAGAGCTGAGCTGGGACGGGAAGAAAGAGGAAACATGTGATGGTGGATATTTTGTTGAGACGAGGCTGTGCCTAAGTATTTGGCTCTGATGTTGAGGAGTGCAGTACACGTAATTGCTTGCTCTGCTCCGTCTTGCTTAAGTCTAGCTGGGATTACGTGGTATTGTATTTGATAGTGGCAGGTTCAGGCTTGAGCCCTACGCAGTGCACCACGGCACCGTGCGGGCGTTTTGAGAAGAAAGTAGTATTGGAATGAACTGTAAATGGGTTTTCATTGCTTATAAAACACGCTTGTCTCATGGCTATGACAAACAGGACGACCCGGTCACCTCCAATCCGGCTGGTGGTGAGTATACCTAGAACGAGGAAGGGAACAGAATACGGAGCGTCCACCGCTTCAGCTAAGCTAGCAAGGAGAAGTATTGATTGCAGTGTGTCATGGCATGGTGGAATGAACAGAGGGAAAGCAGGGTACACCATATCTCTGTCGATCTGTGTTGACACGCAAGAAGGGGGCGAGCGATGTGTTGACCGCGTACATGCCTGCACGAGAAACTGATCCTCAGGATGATGCCAGATATGGCGATTCCTACGCATGTTCGGTGCTTCAACTTTGTAGCATAACTGCCCTAATTTCTCCAAGTGTCTATGACGTGCTCTCTTCATCGCGCTCTCGATCCTTTGGCCAGATGCCACCTCACGTCATGTAGACGCACCGCTGTTAGAAAAAAGCGGCTTCTCTTCCTCGTGTCGAGGCGGCAAAGCAGATGATCTCTTCACCGACACAGTAGACAAGGGGCGAGGAGGGTGGCTCAGTGAACAGTAGCAACGTCTTGACCACCGATCTAGAAGTCGTTGATTGTCACCGGTCTGTATCAGATCTGTTTCTTCTTGGACTATCATTCCCTTCACCCGAAGTGGGCCGAAGCGAGGGTGTTCGGCTAACAATTTTACCATTGCTTTTTTCCTGCTACTTTTTTTATCTGGCGTTAACTGCGGGTTCAGATTTTAATTTCTCATGCTGCATTGCGTGCACGCACGGATTAACGGTTGGTCGTAAGTCCGGCGATGCGGGCAAGAAAAGAAGCTGCTGATAGGACGTGCATAAGAGGGACAGCATAAAGGATGACGCGGTCTTGGGGAAGGTGTTGGGCGCAGCAGTATCAGGTAGTGTTTTGATTATCTCTGATACTAACCACTTTCTACCGAGCATATCCCGCCGGTCAGGGCGTCTAATATTTTTTTTCGGCATCTCCATCTGCCAAGCGTGAATAATAGTAGACCATTTGCTGATCAGCTTCCCTCTCGATCCCAACATATCGAGCTAGGCTCCACTACGATTGGTCACATTTTCTCCCCTCTCAATCTTTTACCTCTTTCCGGGTGTCCCACATTTCAACGAGGGATCACTGGCTGGGTCAGAAGGGTCCAGACAAGAGTCTGTGGGGAACTGCTGGGGCGGCTGTGTGAGACTCGGCGGCAGCAGCAGCAGTGAGCTGCGAGTGCTTTGCCAGGCGAGCAGGTTTGTCAGAACAGGCAGACAAGTCACGCGTGGGTTGCCTTTCGGGGTGAGGGGCCCGGGTCGTGAGCAGTGCGTATCTCGGGATGGGTTTTGGCTGCCCCTGATACACATGATGACCGCCGCTGGTTCATTCTAGCTGGACCTGGTGCCTTTTCCGAATTACGAACCTACGTACACGGAACCCGCATATTTTGTCATGCAGGCAGAGACATGCAGCAAGCATGACGGATCCGTTGCCTGTTTGCTCCTACAGGGCAGGTTCGCGCGTTGATGCTGCTATTTTTTTTTTTCTGAGCGGCTGTCTCCGTGCGTGTACGAGCGAGCTTTGTGTGTCTGAGATCTGCTTGAGCTGTGTGGTCTACATTACGCAATGCACGTTGAGTGCAGGTGCCAATAGGGAGGAGTTTGGGGTAGCGGCATAAGCAGGGACGGATAAGGGTCCAGGCAGATAGGCAGCTGGCCAACCGGGGGGGCTATAGGAAGGGCTTGGTACAGCAGCTTAATGCATGCGCGTTCTCGCGTCTCGCGTCGCGCAGCGCAAGCGGCGGCGCGCGGCTTGGCTGACCAAGTGCAAATCCGCATCCGATGAGCTGGACAAGCGGCACACGGGAGGCTGGGACGGGGCGTTCAATCCGGGCTTTGCGCTCAGGTTGTGCGTCAATCCATCATGCAGCGACTCGTCGACTGCGGGCCGGTCGGCTCCCACGGCAGGCGTCTCACAAGTGGCAGATGACAGGTCTTTGACAGTCAGTTCCTGGATTCAGGTTCACCGGTCAGTGTGGGCGTTCCCGCTGGGTGGGGAGAGGCTGCAGTGGAAAGACCCGTTGCTTGGCGGTGGGTGGGTGTCCTCTGCGTGAGCCACACGCGCGGTCCGAAACGCAGACGGCCGAGTCGCGTCGGGGATGACGAGTCGCTTCTCGTGTGGAGATGGCGAGCGTGGGCAGCGAAAGACGGGCGGTCATGTGGAGATGGCGGGTGCCTGGCTGCGAGCGAAGCAGCCCCGAGAATGCCCGGTGGGGCGAGAATGCTGCTGCCCGTGTGTGCCTTAGGCTCGCTTGTTGCGGGCGTCGAGTGCGAGACATCCAGACGAGCGCTTCGCTCAGGTCTCGGAGAGGCAGAAGGACGCAGCGGCGGTATGCTTCCGACCGAGCGCCGCTAGCGCATGGCCGCTGACCGCACCTGACACGCGTGATGCGTGGATTGAGGCGTGCCGTGGTGGTAGGCCGACTGTTGCCGGCAGCTGGATGCCGAAAGCGGCGAGCGCAACGCGGTGTTGAGTCTTTCCGGCGCTGGAACCTGGACGTCTGAATCTGCGACGCTCAGTCCAGCAACTGTGCGCTTGACGAGACGCACCCCGCGTTGTAGAGAAGAGGCTGGTCTAGGCGCGCACGGCCATCGTGAAACCTCATTTTTGGACGAGTGTTGGCGCAACGGGCTTACGTACCTTGGGTGGATCTGAACGCCGAGCAGAGCGCACGATAAGACATAAGTATATTGCCGGGCGCCCGCTTAACTATACTTCGAGTTCCTTCTTCGCTTTTTCCGCCATGCTCTTCAAACTTGCTTGTAGCCGCTCCTATGACGAGCGAAGCTCCACCTGCGCGCACGGTCGCAGGCCTCACGGACCGCTGCTTTCAGATGGCTGACGTCGTTACAGTTCGGAGACCGAGCGAAAGCAAGAAAAACACACGACGGCGTCGCCTGAAGCCCCATTAACAGCAGGCGTTATTTCGCTTTGCTTCGTATCCTTGTTTAGCGGTGGCGGTGGCCGTGATGTCGCATCACTTCGTATTGTGGCTGGAAGGGGAAGGTAGGGATTTGCGCATTCCTGTGCAACCGCTCGCTCTTTGCGTACGCCAACACCGCCAACGCCCTCTTCGCGAGCTTGTTGATGTCTCGAGCCGCGCTGACGAGCGAGGGCGCGTCTTGCGGCGCTCTGACGGCCGGGATCTGCGCAATCGATAAGCCAGGTGACGGTGATTTGCGGGGGATTTTCTATTCTTGAATCCCGTGGGCGGACGTTGCCAGGGCAGGCGGCGCAAACAGAACCTTGTTTCACCCAGCCAGCGACCAGCCACTTCGTTAATCGCCTCTTCAAGTCTGCTTTGCGCCTCCGCTTGCTGCTGCCGTCGTCTGCGCCGGCTTTAGCTGACAGAGTTGCATTATCAGCCCTGCCGTTGCGGCTGTGTCGATTACCCACCAAGCTTTGGAACCCGGCCGCCAGCCAAGGCATCCCGCAGCCGCGGAACGCGTGAAACGCGAGAATGCCCTCTCAACCTCCTTTTCACAGAAGCTTCTCCTTCGACAACGACGACGACCAGGGCCATTTTTCCTCTCCTCCTTCATACGCCACCTATGCTTCGCCGCATCCCGGCCAAGCTCAGCCAAGTCCCGACCCGTTGACGCCGCCGCCCCCGCCTCAGCACCGCAATTTCGACAACTTCGCTCCGGCTGCGACCGGTGCCTACGACTATCGGCAGTCGATCGCGACCTCCGACATGGACACAGGTGAGTCGCCCGCCGCCGCCCGCGCGCCCGGTGTTCTCAATCACCCCGATCCGCTTGCGCGCGCCCTGCGCTCAGGCGGACAAGGGCCGCTTTGGGACCGTTTCGGAGCCGGTCGGTAACCGTCTTCCAGGAAACCAACATCAGCCGTACTCCCCATACTCGCCCTTCGCCAACACCAGCCCCTCCCAAAGTCACGCGATGAATCCCGCAGCCTACAGCTCGCAAGAGCCGCTGGCCACCAACGACTCTCGCCCGTCTCTCAACAGCCATTCCAACCACTCGGCCAACGACGGCTACTCATCCTTCTCCGATGACCCGTACAACTACCACTCTAGATCCGCTCCCTTTGCCGCCATTGATCCCAACGATATCGAGGATGATGGCGATGACGGAATCCCCGCCCCGGAGCCAAAGCGCAACACTCTCTTTGGCAAGAAGGGTGCCGTTGCCGGCGTCGGCGCTGCTGGCGTTGGCGGAGCTGCAGCTATGGCCAGTCTTAACCGTGATGGAAATGGAAACTATGGCCCGGTACCCGGAGGCAGCACCGAGTACACTCACGACAACCGTGGCCTGGAGAAGGGCGGTTTCGCCGGTACCGCGGTCAACAAGAACGGCAAGAAACGCCTGTGGACCATCGTTCTGGTCGCCATCATCGTGGTCGCAGTGATTGTAGGCGTCGTCATAGGCGGTGTTCTCGGCAGCAGATCCGGCTCGCCCGACGACAGTTCGAGTCCCGGAGCTTCCGCCGCGGACGACCAGTCGAAGAACGGGGATCTCGACAAGAACTCGGACGAGATCAAGAAGTTGATGAATAATCCCGATCTGCACCTCGTTTTCCCGGGCATGGACTACACGCCTCTGAACGCGCAGTACCCCGACTGCCTGACAAACCCGCCCAGCCAAAACAACGTGACTCGTGACGTAGCCGTTCTCAGCCAGCTTACTCCTGCGATCCGCTTGTATGGAACTGATTGCAACCAGGTGAGCACTGTCTTTGAAAAAAAGAAGCGAGGGGTGAGTTTTTAGCTGACGCAGGTCTTGTCTCAGACCGAGATGGTGCTACATGCCATCGACCGCCTTGGCCTCACGGACACCAAAGTGTGGCTCGGCGTCTGGCTGGGCAACAACGACACGACCAATGACAGGCAGATTGCGCAGTTCTGGCAGATCCTCGACAAACACAAGGCCGATCCTTTCGCCGGCGTCATCGTCGGCAACGAGGTGCTGTACCGCAAGGACCTGAGCTCGACGGAACTCGCCAAGATCCTCGGAGACGTCAAGAAAAATCTGACGGACCACAACTGGGACCTGCCGCTCGCTACGTCGGATCTCGGCGATAACTGGACCGAGGACTTGGCCGAGGAAGTCGACGTCGTCATGGCTAACATTCACCCTTTCTTCGCTGGTGTTGAAGCTTCGCAGGCCGCGAGCTGGACCTGGAGCTTCTGGCAGAACCATGATGTGGCCGTCACGAAGAATTTGCAAGGCAAGACCCATGTCATCAGCGAGACCGGCTGGCCATCTGGCGGCGGTAACGACTGCGGAGAATCGACATGCACGAGTGATACACAGGGAAGTGTTGCCGGTGTTGACGAGATGAACATTTTCTTGGACGACTGGGTGTGCTCAGCGTTGAAGAACGGCACCGAGTACTTCTGGTAAGGCCCGCCGCTCAATTTTCGAGCCAAGTGAGTGTTTTGTACTGACTTTGCGCGCTTTGCAGGTTCGAGCTCTTCGACGAGCCTTGGAAGATCATGTACAACACCAAGAACGAGAACTGGGAGGACAAGTGGGGCCTCATGACGGTCGACCGCGAGCTCAAGAAGGGCGTCAAGATTCCCGACTGCGGCGGGCAGAAGGCTACGCTTTCGTCGAAGAGATAGCACACGCATCGAAACCCTCCTGAAGCCGACAGTGTGAGGAATGAGGCATATTTCGATGTTTTCCTTTTTTTTTTTGTTCATTGTAATTCTTTGACCGGGTAATAGGCGTTTTTTGGCGGCTTTGGTCATGGGTAAACGTTGCTGGACAGGGTTTACGGTAGGGACTGGTCCATATTACCACATTCCTGAATGGTGAGGGGGGCAGCTGGAATATTAGAGCCCAGCAAAGGGCATTGGTCCGGAAGAAGGAGAAAGGGCACTTCCTTCATCGTTGTCCACAGAATCGGCGGACTTGTCGAGCATACTTGGAGGAGTGTCGATCTATGGTGTCGATGCTCTCTTTGTTCGATATAAAGTTATTCTTCTGGGCGGTGGATGGGCTGGGAATCTCTTGAAGTTTATTTTCCTTGTTTGGGAAAAAAAGCGGAATGGGGTTGATGGTTTGACCGAGCGGGTAGGCTCGGGCAAGGGGTGGAGAGGGGACGATGTGTGTTTGATACGTAATGAGCTCGTTGGGCGCGCATGAAGTTTATGAGAGCGGAGGTGGGGATGATGGAAGGGGTGGTGGTGGGCTTGTTTGGATATGCATTGCTTGCGTGGGATTCTGTAGATATGTGCGCGTCGTGAATGCATAAATGGAGACGTAGAGATCATTTTTGCCCCGACTGGATTGAGCGGTATCGTGTATAGGCTGCGGATGAGGGACTCTGGGGAAGTTAATGTGTGATAAACAAAGATTTGGTTATCATTCGCGTTGCAGAGGGTGTGTCCGCTGGAATCCTCTACGGAAATTTGTAGAAGTTATCAAGGTAGCTTGACGCAAACTTTCCGTTGTGCTTCTTAAGTACGTCCAAACAGCAAGAAGAGCAAACAACATAAGAATAAAAGGGATTAATTATGAGTCTCGCCATGTCCAACTGCAATGCTCTCTCCCTCGACGGAAGGTCCACTATTCTCCAAATATGCACATCACTGTGCCTGCTGGACTTTGCAAGGGGCATTGGGCTAATGGGTCACTCTTCATATCCACTAAGGTAAAGTTGGTTTCAGTGCTGGTTGCAAAACGAGTTGCTAATAATGTCGGAGTTGCAGATTGTATGGACCTATCGTCGATGCTGCCAGATCACCCATCCCACCAGCTATCTAAGTACTACTTTGAGCATCCAGCCACTGGTCGCAAGGTATGAGATGCTGGCACCCCTGGCAGAACACCCTTCCTATTCCCACCATGCTCAGCGTCTTCTTCGCAACAAGACTGCATCTCGGGCACTTGACAGTGCGATCCACCAGACCAACAGCATGTCCACTGCCGATACGGTCAAGCCATCTTCCTGCCTGCACACTGCCGAACATCATCCATTGCATTTCGCAACTTCTCATGATTCTTAGGACAAAGTTGGGTGCATCCGCTAACAGACTGGCCCATAAAGCTTCTCCAAAGATCGTGACGGGACTGAAACGAACTTTCTCGAAGAGTATCCGACCCCATTTCGTGTGGATGAGCGGATCGTGCTCGCACATTATCTCTGCCAGATGCGGAATGCCGGTGAGAATATCCTCAAAATGGTTTTCCAACAACAACTCGACAGCTTGGTTCGCCATGTCCCGTAGTTTGGGGACTTGGTAGATGTTTGCGACTACTGAAACATCTGCATGGAAGATAACATCGCCCGCGTCGTTAAATGTACCATTGCAGTACTTGAACGTGTACAAAAACTCTATCAAAGCTCTGATTGCCTTCGGATGGTCGTTTAGCATCTCAATGACTCCAGTGTAGCTTTCCTACAATAACGCGTATTAGCTAACACTTCAAAGTTGAGGATTCGGCTGAAAGCCTGCAGAGATGGAGTATTTTACCTTGAACCGCCCGGGCTTGAGCGCATTCTCGAAGAAGCTGCACTGGCTGCAAACAATGCTACGATGACACTGCAGCTCGGTGCCATCACGAAGCTTGATAATCAAGTCGCTGTGCTCTCCAGACTTGTACAAACTATGTAAGTGAATGTCAGTTGGCGGGTCTATCGTTCAGCTTTTGGTTCAGCGTACTCCGCTAATCTTTCCTAAGAGTCGGTTCTTGAGGTCGCCAATACTCTCGTCTTCATTCTCCGCCATATCCCGAGAGGTATCACACATGATCCAGAAATGTCGGGATGGCGACAGGGTACGGTTTTCCGATGAAGCTGGCGGAGCGCATTCAGTGGTGAATCAAGTTCAGGTGAGGTGGTTGGAGCAGGATTGGATTTGGACGAAGGAGGTTTATAAGTGTCCGCCAGAAGCCACTGATTGCAGCTTCCACCATCAGGTCATCTGCCTGCAGCATCAAGCCCGGCGGGCTCTTTGCTCATTCACCATCACGACAGCTTGCCCCGTTTGGGCTTAGCTCGGCTTGCTCTTACCGGCAAGCACGAATATCTTGCCCGCCGCCTCTCCACTCCACCGTCTTCACCTCAGTCACCTCGTTTCAGCTTCGACTCTGAGTCCGCGTCCCATTGCTGCCACCAAACCACCCCAGCACCGCGCTTGGGGTGCCCCGAGAGGTCGCCACGATGCCTCGGTATGACGATTACGACCTGCCCTATTCGTTCGCGGGTAGCCACGAAGGTCAAAGAGAACTGTTGGGTCACCTGAAGAAGTAAGTGGCAAAGCAGTCTCACCTGTTAACCTGCTCGCAGCTCACGCTTTGTACCCAGTACGTGCTTCTCGGATAAGTTTAGCGACATGAAGATCCGCCTCAGCAACGGCGAGGAGATCAACTGCCACCGCGCCATAGTATGCGCCCGATGCCAGTTCTTCGATAATGCCTTAAAGGATAATCGTTTTCGGGTGCGTAGCAGCTTCTATTGCTTACACGTTGCTTTTCCTTCATAGAAAGTTTTCTTATCTTGCCATGCAGGAGGGCCAAACGGGAGTCATTGACATGCCAAACGACCGCCCACACGCCGTCAAGGCGCTCCTGGAGTTTTGCTATAAAGGTGGCTATACTGTCAGCTCGGACCTCGATCTCTCCGACAAGCTGCTTTTCCAGGTCGACGTAATGAACGTGGCTGCCATCTACAAGATGGAAACACTGGAGAATATCCCGGCTGGCTGGGTCTACTCATGCCTTACTAACAACTGGGATGCCGTAATACCTATTCTGCCGGACGTCTACAGGATCCTCCAGCACCTGGACAGTCCGACTCGGTCAAAGTGGAGTCCCTACATGCTCGACACGCTTCTGAAAGGCGCTCTCGATCACATAGACCCGCTAATTGAGACGGAGACATGGGAAGGCCTCTGGAACCATGCACGGGATTTCATGGAGGAAATGTCCCGTGGGATGGAAGAGAAATGGTATCGTCAAGACTGGCACATCGACCTGGCGGAGAAATGGCTCACGAAGATGCTGGGCGCTGAGGCTCTACGGGTAGTGCAGTGCCCCACTCGGGGCTGTGCAATCAGAAAGAAGGGAGTCATTATCTCGGGAGAGCCTGTCTGGACATGCCGCAGCTGTCAGGTTAAGGTTAGGCTCGATTAACTGGCTCTCGTCAGATTGAGATACGACTGCGATCAGTGCTCGGCATATCAGTCTACCCAGGCTTTAGTACATCAGGAGCTGCGAAACCGAAAAATCATGGGCGAAAGAAGGATAATGGGGCAAGGCACAATTAAGGTTCAGGGAGAAGCCCGACTTGCTTAGATCACATTCGGAGGCCTTTTCTAGAGAAATCAGGCTTCTAATTATGACTCCAAGTATCTTTCGCATTGTGATCATCAGTCAGTGTATGTGGTCGCGATGTGCTTCGAGACTGTTTATTCTTCGGGTTCTTGAAGCCTTATGTCCAGCCAGTCTAACAGCTGGCTCTCCACAGAAATTCACACTTGATAGTTAGACCACAACAGCCTCATACTGACTGTTGCGGCAACAAGGTACCATTGGGCTCTTTTCGATGGGCTAAAGGAGGTGAAGGGAGGAAGGAAAGGAGGAGCATGCGTTATCATGCGAAAGAAAGCGTGGTTCAAGGCAAGTCGGCACGGATTTTCGAAGCGCGCAAGATACCACTTGCACTGACGTCCATGCTCCTCGTTCGTGCGTTGATTGCCAAAATCGAGAACGAGGACCAGCTGCTGGCGGTATTGCGGCAGACGCCTGTACGCGAATGCCAGCCAGGATGTAACTGCACAGGATAATCCAAAGAAGTTTCGAAGAGTCTCAAGTCCGGCAAAAAGGCTCTGGACTCTGGTGTTGTGGAATGGGGGAAAGTGGGCGATGCAGCCATGCGCTTAAAAATCACCCCAATATTTCTGCCGTATCTTCTCCATAGCCAGCTCCCTCGGCATGGGATCCAAGAACTTGTCAATTTCGTCTCGCCAAAAGGTGTTTCTTGGGTTCACATAGCAAGCCGTTGTGTATTCCCAGTAAGATGGAAGCCAGCCGGCAGTCTCCCAGTCGATGATTCTGACAACATCATCCCCTTGAACGAGAATGTTAAAGCTGCTAAGGTCTCCATGGGTGAAAGAAGGTGGTGACCAAGGGCCGTCTTGCAATTCGATGAGCTGATTGACCTCTGGATCAACGTTTGGATGGGTTTGCATGCCTCCGCGTAGATACTTGTGGAAGTCTTGCACGCTTTCAAATGGTCCGAACCGCGAAGAAGGTCCTGGCAAGCGGCAGTCGTACAAAGGACCGCCGTCAACATTACTTATGCCTGGACCCGGTGGAAATCATTTTCGCAATTGCTGCAGTAATGACTTCAATTTGGAAAAGATCTTGGCTTTTGACTCTTCGCTCCGCTGAACCCAGCCTTGGGCGAGGTAGGTCCCGTGGATTCTTTCCATGACGATGTATGTCCAGGCGCGGCTTTTAAAAGAGTAATAGACCCTGGGCACTGGAATGGAAGTGTTCTGGGCGATGAAACGCATTGCTGAAGCCTCGGCAAGATGCACGTGTGGTCCGTACTTGACGCAAATATTGTCGGTTAACATGAGGACGACGCCTTGGCGGGGTCGGAGGCGCTTGAGGAGCGTAATGGAGGCAAGGACAGTATACCGGCGTAGCCATGTGTTGTTGATAGAAGGTGACTCCATTTTACAGGCTCTGTGGAGAGCTTCTTCGCGTTGGCTGTGTGTAGAATGTGTTGTGGTGACAAGGAAGCAAATCACACAGTTGGCAACGCGTGTCAGAAGTTTCCAAGGGGTCGCTGACTAAATGGATAAGTGGCACAGGCGCAATTAGACCTGCCTCGATGCGTCGTATCACATTGTATTCCACCAAACCAAACGCACTTACTCAAGAAATACGCCTTCAAAGCTTCGCTTAGTGGCAGATATGCTTTGATATTACTTCATAATATCTTCGGAAACATGCACCAGCCGAGCCACATTCTCCAAATTGACACGGCATTACTTCCCTCTTGTAGCTTCACAAAGCGAATGGTGCTTTCGTAGAGGATCGATCCATCAACATCCAACGAAGCTTACTGGTCAGGCCGAGAAGACGCCCCGAAAAGGCTGAGTGGCCCAGTCAAAGGCGAGATTTCTACGAAGAACAGCTGTGGAAGGTAACTATGCAACAATAAGTCAGAGGGTGGAAGAAACAGTCTAATGGCAATATAATGAGACCACATCTGGCGCTTATGATTTGGGACTGTGTTTGTGGGTCTCCGGGCAGCACTGAGGTGGACGTAGTGGGTGATACCAGAGGTCTTAGGAGAAAGAGTGTAGGTGCGGCCACCTTGCGCCATTTCCTGGCTTAGTGTAGCTGAGGGCGAAAGGTGGAATCACGTGGAAGGTCACTTGGTGCCCGCGCTGCCACACAAAAACCCACCGTCCAAGCCCGACCCTCTTCCAGGCACCCTACTTCTTTGCCTAATGGCATCACTCACGTTGCGCACCTGAAATTGACCTCCGCCGTACATCGCGTCAGCCATGGATGCGAACGCAGAAAGGGCATTTGTCAACCAATGCCGCTCTGGGTTCCTGGAGCGCATAGCGCAGTATGTCCACCAAGCCCATGCGAGGGAGGCTTCTGCTAATATTTGTACACCAAGCCTACACAACCAGATTCATCAGCCGAACCCATACAGCGATATGACAATCCGACTTAGTGGCGGCACCGAGCTGTTTTGCCATCGCAATATCGTGTGCGGCCAATGCGACTTCTTTGAGAACGCGCTTAAGCCTGGAAGGTTTAAGGTAAGACTACAGATTGGTTCCAAAACGACTGCATTATAGCCGGAATTTCAGACTCATGCTGATGGTCGTTTAGGAGAGCTTCACTGGGATAGTCGAGCTACAGGCCGATCCACCGCGGGCCATCGAGGCCCTGATGGAGTTCCTATACAAACTGGATTACTCGACGCCTCCAGAGCTCGCTCATGCAGATCAAGCTCTCTTTCATCTGGATGTCTACAACGCCGCGGATTTCTGTCAAGTCCTTGAACTTCGGACATGGGCAGACCAGAAGCTCCACCGGGTAATTAAGAGCCAATGGACGGAGATCATCCCGGTTATCCCGGAGCTGGCGAGCGTTCTACGCAGGCGCCATGAGGAAGACTCGTCCGGGCAACCGGACAGTCTGAAAGCTTTGTCCTTCTATTGCGTTAAAAGGTCGTTCACACTCCTCGATGATGATATCTGGACCGGACTACACAGGGAGGCGCCCGGGTTTATGGCATTCATGGCGGGCTTCTTTGAGCTTCTGTGGAAGTCCAAACGACACCTCTTACTCGCTGGACAATGGCTTGATCGCCTCGGTGGTGAGCACGCAGTTGGTTTGGTAGTCGGTCAAGTGAAATGCCCAGGTTGTGGCCTCGTTCAGACTCAAGTGTTTGGGACAGTAAGAGACGAGCTCTTCCGTTGCAAGGCCGGCGAGCGGTGCAATTTCAAAGCGGCGGGAAACGTATGGTTGGCGGCAATGCAGACAAGAATAACGGATATAAGAAAGCTAATTACTGACACCATAGGGCATGTGGAAGCAGCAGCAGAGGAAGCTTGACGGCGGGCCGGCAGGTATGGGTAGAAAACCTATCTGCGAACACGGTTTCAAATCTGAGGTAGAACAATGAAATGCCCTTTGAGTAAAATTGATGTCTATATGCATCTCGTTGCATGGGTAGTTGAAGCTACCGTCCGGATGTAGATGTTGAATTATTAATTCTACATTTACGTCCGGACGATAGCCTCAACTACCCATGCAAGTCGGGAGCCGCTGCTCTCATGAATGGTTGTGTCAGGAACTGGCTCACTACGCTACACTGCCACGATATCACATTCTGGATGATAGCGAGGCCTAGTTCACCAGCCCAGACATAACACTCATTCACATAAATATAGCACCTCATATACAGAGGACAGCGGTTTGTTTCAAGGAACCATCGTGCCAGAATTGAGCGTGTTCATTACAGATTGCGCAGGATCATTCTTTTCTGCGTGGTGTTTACAAAGTCGGTGTTTGAAGCTGTGATTGAGTTTGTGAATGAAACGAAGTGACTGCCCAGTCGTTCTGGCAACCGTGAGCTGCCAGGTGTTAGTGTCAACGTACACCATAGGTCTATAAAAACCCTCTCCCTGTCAGTGCAACTCGATCTCCAACCATCTTCAAACATCTACCACCCTCTTCTTGCAACACTGGCCACTCAAGTCTAACCACCATGGGCCGCAAAATTACCATTATCGACCGCGACGGCAATGGCTACCTGCTTCCCTACGCCCTCTTCCGCCAGCACAAGACGATCAACTTCTGCCTCCTGAACCCGGAGCCCGCCTCCACCGTAAGCAATCCCTGCGGCTATCCCGCCCTCCCCCACCCCCCCAAATCGCCACCCACACAAACACCCCGAACTAACCCTTTCCCAGCGCTCTAGCCTCGTCTTCAAGCTCCACAATCACCCCCCCGCCGTCGCCGCCATGATCACCTTCATCCACACCAACGAACTCCCCATCCCGCGCCACATCGCCGCCAACCAGGACTCCCTGCGCTTCCTCGCACACGTGCTGATCCTGGGCGAGGAATACTTCTCCGAACTGGCTCATACCGCCTACACCGCCATCGAGAAACACCTGGGCGCCTGCGCCTCGCCGCACGACCTGATCGGCGCCATCGAGGTCATCTACGGCGACTACTTCGGACTCAGCAGCGACACGGGCGTCAAGGACCTGCTCGTGCGTTGGACCGCGCAGAGGTTCGATGGGGAGGTGGTCGGCAGCGCGCGGTATGAGGGCTTGTTCTTGTCGCTGGCGTTGGACGCGTTTAGGACGGATTTGCGGAAGGAGTTGAAGGGGTTGGGCCGTGTGGTTGTGGATGCGGATTTGGATAGTTGGGGTGGGGAGAGTGCGTTGGATGACTAGGGGGTTGATGGGGGTGTCGTGTGGGGGGTTGTTGAGGGGGCTTGTGGATTGTTATGAGTGCCTTGCGGCATGGGGAAAAGATTGGCTCGATGATCCCTGATTCCTGGACAATGGTGGAAGGAGTCTTGGCCTTGGGCTACCAGTTGGACACTAAGATTGAGTCCGTAGCTGACATGAAAATTGAAGATACTGGTCATGATAGCCCAAAAGTCTGTAGTTGGATGACTCGTGAATAAGGAATGGGTAGCATTATCCCGGTTCAAATTTGATGGCTGCCGTCGGTTGTCTTGTCAATCATCTGCTCTCTAAAAGAGGAAAAAGAAAGAGGATAACTACAAAGCAATTTTTAATGGGTTGGTACTTGTAAGGGGCTTGCTTGGCAATTGTTAGCTCGCTCTTATCTGTTGCGAAGCCTGGCTTAGCTGGAAATACTGTGGATAGAAGGTATGTATCTTTTGTTTGCGCGATGTCGGCGTAAACCAGAGATTCTCGGGTATCTGGCATGCAGCCAATAGGCTATTGTATACAATATCCCATTGGCTACATGCCTTGACAACGCAGGCTTTGACACATGTCAGAGTGGAGCGCGCTAACCGAAGATGCAAGGCTGCAGACTTGCTGTTGTGGGGACTCTGAAAGAAAAAAGAACCCCATCATGATTCCAACCTTTCACACACACCTCCCGAGCCTGTCAACCCGTTTGTATCGCGCCATCATCAACGAGAAGACCCGAACCGGAATGGTCTCCTTCTCGGTAGGTTGCATCGACTGAAAGCTATTTGCATCGCTGACTGTGATCATTACAAGGCTGCCTTTTTAGCGAAGTTGTGAAATGGCGAAACCAGAAGCGTATACGGTCGGCTGGATCTGCGCCATCTCTACAGAAGCCGTCGCGGCTACCCTGTTTCTGGACGAAGAGCATCCACCGCTCGCTGCTACGACCGTGAATGACAACAACACCTACCAGTTAGGCAGAATCGGACCCCACAATGTCGTCATTGCCGTCTTACCGGAAGGCGAGTACGGAACCGTGTCAGCGGCAGCCGTAGCAAGAGACATGCTGCATACTTTTGAGAACATCAGGGTGGGGCTCATGGTCGGCATCGGTGGTGGTGCACCAACCAGAAAAGATGATATCCGACTTGGCGACATTGTGGTCAGCTCTCCTGGAAACGGTTACCCGGGCGTGTTCCAGTACGACTACGGAAAAGCAATCCAAAACCGAGAGTTTCAGACTACAGGACAATTGGATCAGCCTCCAACTGCTGTACGGACTGCGGTTCAGGCCCTGAAGACAACACACGAAATTCATGGTCATTCTTTCAGCGAGAACATTGAAAGAATTCTCGGGAAAAGTCGCCCGAAGATCAGAAAGAAATATTCACGGCCAACTGCAGAGGATCGACTGTACCAGCCTGGTTACGTTCACCGAGCTGACCCCGAGGCCCAAGCCCACTGTGTGGATGTTTGCGGGGAAGATCCAACAAATCTGGTTCAACGCAGAGAAAGGGATGAGGATGATGACAATCCTGCTATTCATCACGGGCTGATCGCATCTGCCAACACATTGATGAAGGACGCCGAGACTCGCGATCACCTCTCTGGGCAGCACAGGGTCCTGTGCTTTGAAATGGAAGCTGCTGGTTTGATGAATCATTTTCCGTGTCTCGTTATCCGTGGGATTTGCGATTACTCGGACACGCACAAAAACAAGGAATGGCAAGGATTTGCAGCAATGACAGCCGCTGCCTACGCCAAGGATCTTCTGTTGAAGATATCTCCGACCAATGTTGAGAATGAAAGCAGACTAAAGGATCTTATTGAACCCCGTTAGTATATAGTAATCTTGAATGAAAGTAATAGTAGGCTGATTTATACCAGTCGCAAACGACATCAGAGACACTCGGCGCGAAATTCAAGAAGTGTCTTCATCCCTGAGAACTGCTGAGGAAGAAAGCAAGGTTCGTGAGCTTTACAAATGGCTCTCTCCTCCCAATGCTTCAGAGAATCGTGACCGTGCACTATCAATGCGCCAGAAAGGCTCAGGTCTCTGGTTCATCCAGGGTCGAGAGTTCCAGGAGTGGAAGAATACTCAACAATCCTTTCTCTGGTTGCATGGAATTCCAGGCTGTGGCAAAACAGTCTTATGTTCCAGCGCGCTAGAGGACGTCCAAAGAAGTCAGTCTGACTCTACATTGGTTCTGTACTTCTACTTCGACTTCAGTAACCTCAGTAAGACATCACCAGAGGGTATGATCAAATCCTTAATGGACCAGCTCTATCACCAACGAGCACACAGTCGAAAGCCATTGGACGAGCTTTGGGGGCGTTGTAGACCTCACCAACCAAGTTTCGAAGAATTGTGCTCAACGTTTCAGAAAATGCTTGAGCTGATTGATGGCGCCTACATCCTGCTCGATGCCCTTGACGAATGCCGGGAAGAATTAAGACCAAATCTACTCTCATGGCTGGAAAACATCCGGGAACTGCCTATCAATCTCCTCGTCACAAGCCGTGCGGAGCTTGATATCAGTTTTGCCTTACGCGGTTCGCGCCATCAAGGTCAAGATGTGGATATCAGAAGCAGCTTGGTGACCGAAGATATCCGCGCATACATCCGTTGGAGGGTTAAGCCCGAGAAGAGCAAGGAAAGTCCCTCCATAGCTCATGGATTTGAAAGATGGAAAACGGACACCGCAATTCAAGACGAAATCGAGACGAAACTTATGGAAAAAGCGAACGGAATGTAAGTATCGAATTCCCAATAAATAACCACACACGGGCTGACTAGCCACAGGTTCCGATGGGTCAAGTGTCAGCTGGACGCTCTAGAGCAGTGCTTGCATTACCTAGCACTTAGACAGGCTTTGAATTCACTACCGCAAAATTTGCATGATACGTACGCCCGTGTACTCGATAACCTGGACAACTCGAAAAAACCGTGGACAATCCGTGTACTCCAATTTTTAGCCTACTCTGAGCGACCTATGACGCTTGATGAGATGGTCGATGCTCTGGCGGTGGACCCAGATACGGAAGAGCAAGATGTGTCGAAGAACAGGATGCCGGTCCCGGATGAGATAGCAGGATACGCCTCTACTCTAGTGTCTTTTGTGGTAAGAGAGACAAAAGCAGGGACGGTGAAAGAGCTCCAGCTTGCTCATTTATCCGTAAAAGAGTATCTGACATCAGGGAAGGTTCTTGGAACGCAGTTTCAAGAGGCTTATGCCAAAGCAGACATGACAAATGTCTGCCTCGGCTATTTGTTGCACTTGGAGAAACCAATGCCGGTGAAAGATCTCAGGGCGACCTTTCCATTTGCGCAATTCTGTGCCAGATACTGGTTGGAATATGCTGCCGTGGCCGAAACGAAAGATGAAACGGCGAAAAAGATACGGAAGTTTGCGAATAGATTCCTCACCAACAAGGAAGGCTCTTATGCCAACTGCTACCGTCTCTATAGACCAGACTACCCCGGGCAAACTGAGCCAAACGATGATAAATTGGAGCCAGCTCATGCTTTGTATTATACATCGTTTGGAGGGCTCCTAATTTCCACAAAAGCTCTTCTCGAGAGAAAAGCCGATGTCAATCAGCAGGGGAGGAACTCCAACAACGCTGCCTACGGCAACGCTCTCCAGGCGGCATCGTACAATGGTCATTTTGAGATTGTACAGCAACTGTTGGATGCCAGAGCCGATGTCAATGCGAGATGGGGATACCGCACCGCTCTCTATGCAGCGTCAGAAGCGGGCCACGAGAAGGTCGTTCGGTTGCTTCTGGATCATGGGGCTGATGTCAACGCGAGAGATAGGTACGGCGGCGCTCTTCATGTTGCGTCGGGAAAGGGCTATGAGGAGGTCGTTAGGTTGCTTCTGGATCATGGGGCTGATGTTAACGCGCCAGGGGGGTACGCCACCGCTCTCTATGCAGCGTCGGCATCGGGCCGCAAGGAGGTCGTCAGGCTGCTTCTAGATTATGGGGCTGATGTCAACTCGAGAGGAAGGTTCGGTAACGCTCTCTATATAGCGTCGTCAGGGGGCCACGAGGAGATCGCTAGGTTGCTTGTGGATCATGGGGCTGTTAGCTATCCGGCAATTGCCGCTCGCCAACATAAAGAAGAAGCAGACCTGGCGAAGAAGCGCAAGTTACCTGATACGGCGCAGGAGGAGCAGCCGGCGAAGAAGAGAGGCCGTGGCATGCCTCCCAAAGAGAAGGCTTCGTAGGTTGCTAGTGTTCGCCATATATATGTGAAAGTCATCTCACATATATTGGAAAACCTTTTCCTTGGAACAAGGGAATGAGCATGCCAGAGACACGCTCATTGCATGTATTGATCTAAATATTGGTAAACAGGACCTTCATTCACGTATTTTCGGATTGGGATTAGAATAGCGCTTTTGCTTCTTTGGATTCAGGGTGTACCTTCGCGTTATCACGACGGATACCAGTGTTTGTTGTTTATGTCTATGCGTACCTCGAATAGCTATCTTAATCCCATACTCTTCTATCCCACCACAGACACCACATCATCGCCACCACACCCACAAACCGACCCCACCATCACGCCCCCTCCACCCCCTTCTCCCCCAGCCCCCCCTCCTCCTCCCCAAACGGCTCAAACCTCCCCAACACCCCCATCGCCTCCGCCGCCTCCCTCCTCACCACCTCCTCATGCTTCTCACTCCTCGGCCTAATAACACACTCAAACCTCTGCGGCCGAATATTAAACCCATCCGTATACGCAAACGAATCATACGCCCGCCCCTCCACCTTCCCAATCTCAAACCCCCACACCACCCGCGCAAGCGCCACAAACACACTATTCTCCGCCAACCCCGCCCCGGGACACACCCTCCTCCCCCACCCAAAACTCGAATGCCCCGACCTTGCCGGATGCTTTTTCCGCCCCACCAACTCCGGCGGACACATCCCCACATCCTCATGAAACCTTAGCGGCTCAAACCGGTGCGGGTCAGGGTAGTACTCCTCGTTCAAATTAATCGCCCACGAGTTCCCCAGCACGGTGGTTCCCGCGGGTATGTAGTACCCCGCATACACGTCGTCGGCGGTGCTGGCGTGCGGCGTGCCGCCCAGCACGGCGACGGGCCGCCAGCGCAGGACTTCTTTGACGCAGGCGCGCAGGTACGGCAGGCGCGGCTCGTCGGCGAAGGTAGGCAGGCGGTCGGGGCCGACGACGGCGTCGAGCTCGGCCTGTGCGGCAAGGAGTGTGGAAGGGTGCGTGAGGAAGGCGAGGAGCGCGGTGCAGAGGGTTGAGGCGGTCGTGTCGGAGCCGGCGCCGAAGAGGGAGGCGGGGAGGAAGGAGAAGTCGCGGTCGGAGAGCGTCGTGCCCGCCTCGCCGCGCGCGCGGAGGTCCAGGAGGAGCTTGCACAGCGAGTCCGGGACCGGTTTGCCGCTGGCAGCGCCGCGGGAGATGTCACCCCGCACGACGTCGACGAGGGCCATGTTGGCGGCGGCCTCGCGCGCGCCGTGGGCCTTGATGTCGGCCTTCCACGGCGCGAGGACGTCGGGCACGTACTTCAGCGCCGGGATGGTCTCGACGAGGTAGCGGCCCGGCACGTTGAGGGACGCGCTGTACTGCATGAACTGGAAGCGCTGGCGGATGACGGCGGCGTGCAGGCTGTCGATGCGGTGGCCGTACGCGACGCAGAAGACGACCGACGACGTGAAGCGCTCGATCAGCTTCTCGAAGGCCGCCGGCGCGTCGAGGAGCTGCGCGCAGAGGCGGGCCGCTTCGGCTTCTTGGACGGGTTTGTAGAGCTGCAGCGCTTTGGGTGTCAGGGCTTGGTGCAGGAGTTTGCGGCGCGCGGTCCAGGCTTTGCCGTAGGGTTGCACGAGGATGCTGCTGTTGTTCCAGAGGAGCTCGCCCATGGCGACCATGCGTGGGCGGGACGAGTACTTGTTGCTGCGCTTTTCGAGCAGCTCGGCGGCGATTTGTGGGTCAGAAATGACGACGGTGGGACGGCGCCCGATCCAGAGGGTGAAGATGGGGCCGTAGGTTTGGGCCCAGGCGGCGAATTGGTGCCATGGTTGCGATTTGGGGAGCTGGTGTTTGTTTCCGATGAAGGGGAGAGGTGGGGGGCCGGGCGGCATGCGCCGCCATAGTGTGATGTCGTAGATTACAGTGAAGATGGGCGTTAAGACGATTAAGAAAATAAGAGAGGGCCAAAGGTAGGAAGAGCTGAAAATCGCTGGAACGAAAGCATTGAGCGCCATTGTGTCATGCTGAGGGGGTCGAGATTTTTCTAAATTGACTGCAGCTGAGGAAAATGAAGAAGAGAAAGAGGAGACGCACTGAATTGTAGGTACAAGACTTGAGGTCATTCGGCAGTTACACTTTACCCCACCATCCCAGTCCATCCGACGCGGCTGTCTGTGCGGGGCTTGTCCGACCACGAAGCGTTTGCCTAATACGGAAAAGCGTCAGATGCGGCTGCAGCCACTGGCAAACCACTTTGCATTCTTTGTAAGCAGAGAAGCTCCGTGTACCGACCGCAATCCGCAATCATTTGGATAAGACGCGCTTGTTTGCCTTATTGGGAATTGCTAGTAAATTCCATGCGCTAAATCGGATCAGCTACCATCTCGGAGCTTTCAGGACGATTAAGCCTCTAAGCTGACGAATGAGCACCCGAGGGTGACGGAGGGGGCTGGACTTACGGCGAGGCTTTGGGTGCCACACAACTTGTATTCTGTTGGCCAGTAGCAACATCGAGGCAGCAACAAATTCTCAGGACAGAATGCCAATCAAAAAGAACTAACAACTATGGAGGAATGCAGCATGTGCCTGACAAAGAGCATTAGTTGGTCTAGCCTCGCTTCGTGGTGATACTTGGTCGTTGCCTGTAATTCAGCCGCACATTGGCTACACAAAGGCAGACAAAGCAGAAAAAAAGTGGCTTGAATGAGATCCATATTAGGAAAGTGTCAAACTCAAACAAAAAAAAAGCACGACGCCGTACTGATTTTAGTACGTGCTAATGAATGATATATAGTCAGACAGAAAGCTTGTAAAACTCTTCTCGAAGTTAGCGGGATTGCGTCTCGAATTTGTGGACCCATGGGGCGAGCCTTGCAACCTCAAAGGCCCAGCCTTGTGAAATGCTGCAGCACATTCAATGCCTCATGCGCGCATGTCGTATCATTGCAGCCTCCAAGAGTGAAATATCTGAGTGGTCTGGCAGATTCCCACACTGAATACCGGTACCAGGCCTCATCAGTAGGTGTAAGCTGAAGCTGAGACCCCTTGGCACACGAAATGCTTGGGGTGTACGCGGGGTGAACGAAGGAATAACTCAGGGTAGTAAAAAATTCCATTGTGCTATGGTATGTCCAAAGCCCGATTTCGTTCGCCGGTCAAAATGGAATAAAACAGGGGTCGTATAAGTGGATTTCACTGTCATTTTCATCGTTTTATTGAATTACTGGTGCGCCTTTTAGTTATAGTCTGGACTTGAGGTATGACCTTCATCAGTTTCGAAGGCCCTCGGATACGTAGTGCTGAGTCAGGAAGAGGCCTTCCGTTGCAACCGGCTTAAGAGACGGTTAATTAATGGAAATATCATGGCGTAACCCCAGCAGGCAGAAATACATACTCAGTTGGCAATGTTCAAGGAAGTACAAGCTCGCGAGGAAGGATTATCTTAAGCCTCACGTACGTACCAGATTGTCATACGTGACATTGCCCTCCATGGAAATTGGAACGAAACGACTCCCGAGCTATGTCTTGAGAAGTAAGGAGCCAGAGAAACGTTGCTTTATTACCCCGTGATACACGTTGTATGTGACTTTTATTTCCTTGCCAAGTGAAGTGACGTAAAGAGGCTGAACTGTTGCCCTACCAGTGTAGCCAGAGTTACTTAAAAGCACGACACGACCTACTTGCGTATCGTTATGCCCATCTCCTCCGAGACCACCCTCTCATTTAAGATCACATTGTTACATACCTCGGGGCTATGACACAGCCATGAGCCATCTCCAGGATCAATACTTCAAAGATGACAGTGTTTACACAGGAGCGTGGATCAACTGGAGCCGTGGCCGAATCGCGGGCGCTACAATCACCATGTCACACCAAAACGGTCAGCTTCTCACAGCATTCCTAGCACTTTTCGTCACTACAACCGGGACAAGTTTTTTCAGACTTATTTGTTTCGCCTTACACTCGATTCTGTCTTCTAAAGCCCCCCAGGACGCAATATACCACCAGAGACAGGCCATTCTACGAAATTCGACAACCGGTGTCAATGCACTGTGGAACTTTATTCAAGTGGCTTGGGCATGGCGGAACCAAAAGTGTAAGTCGCTTATTAGTCGGTTGATGCCAATGATCGGATGCGCAGCTTTCATCACTTCGGCCTTTGGCGTCGCTGGTGTCTTCGTATCGCGGGTATCGACCTCGACCGGTGACCAAGTCCTTCTAAAGGGCTCGAGATGCGGACGCATGGGAGAGCTAGTCCCAGATGATCTTATACCCTTGGCAATCTCTTATGAGGGTAGAATCGCGGTCGCTTCTTTCAACTATGCCCGAGAGTGCTACAATGGAAACGTTCTTGCTCAGAACTGCAAGACGTACATCAAGGACAGTTTGCATTACTCCAAAAACCTCAATGCATCCTGCCCTTTCGCCAATCACATGTGTCTTCAGAACAGTTCGGTTCTTCAACTAGATACTGGTTACTTGAACAGCCATTCTGACTTTGGAATGAACGCACCTCCAGAGCATCGTTTCGAGTATCGTAGTGTCGCGACATGCGCACCCCTCACAATGGATGGCAATGTCCGTACACGAACGAAACCCGGCGATGTTAACAAAAACATTGAGTTCGACTATTACTTTGGCAATATGGGAGAATCACAAAGTCCAGACCCGCCTACCTTTTCCCGGAGAATTACCCAAGAGCCAATCATGGAGGGGGCATTTGAAACCACATTCAGAGAATACAATCTATGGCAAGTATCAGCGGTCTTGATCGACTCGACTCTTAAAGTCTGATCGAGCCAATCTAACTGTTCGAACAGGTCTAAAAAATACTACGGCGGTGTCCCTATGGAGCAACAGCCACACTGGCGAGCGATTCCGGAGCTTCGCCGCAACGATGCTGATACTGGATTCATAGCACTAGAGACGCACGGCGTTATGTTTATGCAGCAAGTCGACGATCCGTTTTTTTCTGCACATCGACCGGGGAGATCGGTCGTTGCTGAGGCACAGAAACCTCAGAAACCCAAAAGAATACCGACATACCTTGCGGACTACCCACTTGGCATCATGGCCTGCGCGATGCAGCATCAGGTATGCGACAAGAGCCCGCGAAAATCGGGCTGCACGCCCCTTACGTCCGCAAACAACTTGCAAAGCGCGGTAAACGAGACGCTAGCGTCTGAACTTCAACGAGAATATGCTCGATCTTTCCTCTCTCTTGTTGTTGATATTGACATGTCGCTCGTCGGGCTTCTGGATTCGCTTGGAGTAATGGGTGTGGATGCTAGAAGCTCTTTCAATGGAGGCGTCCAGGGCCCGTTGTCGGATCGCCAGTGGGAGAGGGAGGTGGAAGTGTGGTGGCAGGCGGCACTGGCCATGTTACAACTGGGAATCACGGAACAGGCAACTGGCCCATCATTGGCCAGCGCAGAGGTGCTATTCACAAAGCCTCATACAAAGGCTGGGTATACTCGGTGCAAGAATCAGGTTAGTCGCTCCACTCGCTTCTCCTACAATAGCCAAACAAACACTGTACAAGAAATGGGCTCTACCACGCATAAAAACTTGCAAAGGCTAACAAATCCTTTAGATGATCCGCAGTACAGCATACGCATCTTTCAGCACACTTGGGATCGTAATCATCTTCTCCCTTGGCGGCTGCTTCATTATTCTATCATACATACTCGAGCCTTGTGTTAACTTTATTCAGCGCAAGCACGGTCTCGATGTCTACCACCGTCTCGAGTGGGCTACTAATGGGACTCTGCAGCTACAGCGGCTCGCCCATGAAGAGCTCGGTCTCGGCACCTGGACCGGTGCGGCTGCCGACGTCCCCATCGTGGTCGCCTCTGGAGATCGCCAAACGAGCTGCAAGCTCGCTATGGTGAACGTGTCAGATGTGGAGCACCCAAAGCTAGTGGCGTCGCCAGAGCCGCTGGAGAGACAGATGGTAGGAGAGACTGGAAAGACGGTTTAATTCTGCCCAGCTCTGCGCATGTTGTCGGATCGCGGCCCCTGTGTGGATTGCGAAATATGACGATGGTGACGAAATTTCGAGAAGACAAAGACTGGCGGGAATCCCTTCCGATAGCTGATCATCGCGTCTGGACACTGTTTGCACTGGTATACTTCATTTTTTTTTATTGACTCATGTAACAAATTTCTTCGAAATCGAATAGCATTTATTGGATTTGATTGCGGCCGCCTGACCTTCCCGACAAATCAGCCGCTCCACTTATATAGCCCCAGTGCCACGTACCACAGGCTGAAAGCTTCGTAGGCTGCTGCCTACCCAACTCCCACTCCCGTAATAAATGCCGCATCTCGGTGATGCGGCTAACTCATTGCGCCAACTGTCAAATATGGGTCTTGACCCGTGTATGATTCTTTCTTTTTAAGTCCCGTTTTCTTGCTTGCCCGTTTTAACACGAGTTGTTGCTATCTCGCACATCGACTTCCTCGTATGCTTATTTGAAATCTTCGTTGCCTCACAGCAACTACACATTCGTCAGTTTATGATGTCCCAAGATTCAGAGAGCGAGGATCAGGATGAAACCTTTTTTGATGGGAAATTCCGCGTACAAACTACTCGGCGGAATAAACGATTCTTCTGCAAATCGTGTCAAACAATCCTTCGAGAATCTTGCTACGATTCCTCTGACAATCCGGTCGAAATTCGCGAAGAAATACCGCGCGAATCTATGATCGGATCAGTAGAGTCTGGCTGTATACTTTGCGCTCAGTTGTGCAGCCCGCTTCACGACATACGGGTTGAACGGATCGAACACACCTGGTCCCGATATCGGAACGCGGAGAAAGACGTCTTGGAATTTCAGCTTTCCGATGACCTTGCACGTGATATATCTGGATTCATGCCGGGATTTGCGCTCATGCGATCTTCTGGTAAGAGTTCTTGTACCACAATGCTACAGGAGCATTTCTTTTTTTTTTTTTTTGATAACGCCTGACAATCAGTAGATGTTCGGGAAAAGTACAACACCAAGAATTTGCATGGAAATATGCTTGAAGGTCTACCCGAGACAACAGACAACGAAGCCACGTGGGGGGTCATCCAGAGATGGCTGTCAGAATGTTTGTCTACACATGGTGATTGCAATTACAACCTTCATTCGCTGGAAAAACCCACGCGCCTGATCGATGTCGAAATTCTCATGGATTTAGAACCTGAAAAGGATCGTGTGCTATTGGTGAAGTCCACAGCAGCCCTCCCTGCAGAAAAATATGCAACGCTCTCACATTGTTGGGGTGGCGAGGTGCCCTCCCAATTGAAAAGTTCCGAGACGTGCGAGCGGCTTAACAGTGGATGGGCAGTCAAGGAGCTTCCGAAGACATTCCGCGAGGCAGTCATCACGATAAGGAAGCTCGGTATCAGATACTTATGGATCGACTCGCTATGTATCCAGCAGGACTGCCACGAGGATTGGAAAAGAGAGTCCCAGACCATGGATCTGGTCTATACTAGGTCCTACCTCAATATTGCTGCGGCCGGAGCAAAAAACTCTTCAATTGGGCTTTTCCTTGAGCGAAAACCGAAACATATCCAGCCTTTTGAAGCAGACATGCGGCAGCACGGTGGGACTGGTGGGGAAGATATTTTCACCCCATATCTGTTCTTCCGACAGGACTTGTGGAGGACCTATGTCAACGAAAGTCCCCTTGGAAGGAGGGGCTGGGTTACACAAGAGCGGGAACTATCGCCAAGGCAACTCAATTTCACTGAAGCTGGAGTTCTTTGGGAATGCCGATGTCTCAGGGACACAGAGTTCCCTTTTGACTGGCCTCAATGGTCTGACCGTGGGAGCGATACTCGCAGTTACAAATCTCTTATTCGGCGGATAGAAGCTTTCGAGAAGAAGGGTACTTCGATGTCCGAGAGCGAGCGATCGACAGAGCTAGTCCATATCTACAATGAGTGGGACAACACCATTGAGGGCTATACCCCATCGAAATTCACAAAGGAGACTGATCGTCCCATCGCGATAGCCGGTCTAGCCAAAAGGATGCAGTCAGCAGTCAAGGATACCTATATCGCAGGCCTTTGGAAGAGCCGGCTACTCTCTCAACTGCTCTGGGAGGTTGCCTGGATACCACGACCGACGTCTTCTCATGTTGGCAGACCCGGACAAATACCGGTACCCACCTGGACCTGGTTGTCGAACGCGTCCCCAATCGAGATGTTTGGCTCTCCCCGGCATTCTTGGATTTGGTTTGGGGACTTTCATCCTGTGGCCGAAGTAGCAAGCGATGAGCCGAGCCATGTGGTAATGGACCTCACTGGCGAACTTTCAGGTGGGTATATACGTCTTCGTGCTCTACACTGGCCAGCTTCGATAGATATGGAGAGATCCTTTCGGAACGGCCTCCCTCATGTTCCAGTAAAAATATATGGAGCACCAGACAACGGTAGCGCTAGTGCGTGGCCAGATGAAATGACTGATCCTCAAAGTGGTACGCAACAATTCATCGCAGTACCTATGATGGTCTATCCAAAATTCTGTGTCGCCACTGGCCTTCTCCTCAGACAGACACGTGAAGAGCAGGAAAATTACGAAAGATTTGGAGTTTTCAGACTTCTTTGTGGCGAGGAGTCGGTGTCATTCAAATCGTGGGCTGATGAATTGCAAAGAATGACGGCGGAGAAAAAGCGTCACGAATTCAAAGAGTTTGTCATCTATTGATGGAATCTATTCTGATGGCTGATGAATCACATGGTAAACGGGAGAACTTTTACATTGGTTTACGTAGTTTTCATTTGACCTGTGTGGCAAAATCATAAAAGTTCGCTCAGGTCTATGCGCACTGAGGCATGGTAAAGTTTCAGCCGTTGTCAGATCATTAAGCCCATGTGGTGCGGAATAGACCACTTGTAGCCAGTTGAAGCCTCTATCTTTTTCCAAAATAAATCGTCAAACTTCCTTCACACAAGATCTCTTCACATGCACCCAAAATCTCCGAGCCTCTCCCAATTAGACCAGTAACGCCCTCACAACTGTAAACACAGAAGCACTTACCGAAATGTCCCACTCGTTCCCGGAATGCCACACAGTATGCTTATTGTGACCAAAAACTGACCTCAAGTGCCGGCGGAGTACACAGTTGACGTTGAAGCCAGAAAAGATTGTGTCAAAGAACGTGGAAAAAGTTGAGTATGGCGGTCTGACTATTGTCGATGATGTTCTTGAACGGGAAGCTAGACAGAGAGCTAGTGGAGCTTGGACCCTTGAAGTGCATTGTGGAGTTGCGGGGGTGGTGCAGGGGTGTGGAGTTGGTTTGCGGGGAGGGGGAGTCCAAGCTTGCCGGGGCCTCTCAACCACTCAGCACTTACCGCTCCGGAACGATCCATCCGACGCCAGCCAACGGGGGCAGCAGACCCTGTTGCTGTGACGCTATCAGGCAACCCCCCGGCCCAGACGCCATCAAACTCCAGCCACGCAGCCATCGGCAATTCCGCATCGGCAAGGAACCACCCACTTTCAACACCCGCGTGGTCACCATGCGGGGCCCCGCATTGTGCCTCGACGCGTGTCGCGACTTCTTTTATGTCTAAATAATATTTACTTTGTGAATCACTGACTCGTCGTTCCTGACCGCAGGCACCTCTCAATTCTCTCCTCCCGCGGTTCCTTACATCCAAGCAACCAAAGCATTTTTCTCAAAAAAAAAAAAAAAAAACCAGATCAAAACAATGACCACCCCCTCCCCCCAAAAACCAACCACCGTCCTAATAATCGGCGCCGGCTTCGCCGGCCTCACCGCGGCCATCGAATGCGTCCGCCACGGGCACTCTGTGACCGTCCTCGACTCCTTCACGCAACTCAAGCCCCTCGGCGACATCATCTCGTTCGGCCACAACGCCGGGCGCGTCTTCCGGCGATGGCCGGGCGTGGAAGCGGCGCTGGACCCGCTGTGCCACCGGTCGAAGGAGCTCGTGTTTAACAGGTGGGACGGCGAGCACGTGCTGACGCAGGTCTGGGAGGAGGAGGAGTTGGAGAAGGCGGGTGGCAAGAAGTTTAATGGGCAGCGGGGCGAGATTCATGGCGTGGTGTGGGAGTATGCGGTAAGTTTGGGCGTGGAGATACGGTTGGGGGAGAGGGTGGTGGAGTATTTTGAGGATGAGAGAGAAGCAGGAGTGGTCGTTGAAGCGGCGGCGGCAGCGGATGGGCAGCAGGACAAGAAGGAGAGGAAGCGCTACACAGCCGACGCGGTGCTGGCAGCCGACGGCGTGCGCTCGACGGCGCGCACCATCGTGCTGGGGCAGGAAGACAAGCCCAAGTCCTCCGGCTACGCCATCTGGCGCGCATGGTTCCCGTCGGACGACCTGGCCAAGAACCCCCTAACCAAACACCTCGTCGAGAACGGCGACACGCACACAGGCTGGCTCGGTACGCCCCCTCCTCCCTCCTCCCTCCTCCCCCCTCCTCCCCTCCCCCCGCTAACCCACCCCCCGCCAGGCCCAAACATCCACTTCCTCGCCGCCTCCCTCAAATCCGGCACCTCCTTCAGCTGGGTCTGCACGCACCCAGACACGCACGACGTGTCCGAGTCCTGGTCCGCGCCGGGCCGCGTCGCCGACGCCCTCTCCCTCCTCTCCGCCTGGCACCCGACCGTCCGCGCCATCGTCGCCGCCACGCCGCCCGACCGCCTCGTCGACTGGAAGCTCGTGTACCGCGACCCGCTGCCGACGTGGGTGTCGCCGCTCGGAAAGATCGCGCTGCTGGGCGACGCGGCGCATCCGTTTCTGCCGACGTCGATTCAGGGCGCGAGTCAGGCGGTCGAGGATGGGGTGACGGTGGCGGTGTGTTTGGAGATGGCTGCGAAAGATGGGAAGAAGGCGGATGTGAGGGAGGCGCTGCGGGCGTACGAAAGGATCAGGTATGACCGCGTGCGGAAGGCGCAGAAGACGGGCGAGACGACGAGGGATCGATGGCACAAGGCGGATTTCGACAAGGTGTTGCAGGAGCCCGAGGCCGTCAGGTTGCCAAGGGAGGAGTGGCTGTTGGGGCATGATGCCGAGGCGTATGCGTATGCGGTGTATGGGGAGACGGTGGAGCAGATGAGGAGGGAGGAGGAGAAGGGCGGGGTGGATGTTCGGTCTTTGTTGTAGATAGATTTCATGTTGGTAAGAGAGTGAAGAGAAAGAGATTCTATGAAAGCGCCTACAGCATCCTCGAAAACCGTTGATGCTACAAACATCACGTCAATTGAGAAACAGTGAACGGAGGCTGTCTGCTTGCGCTACCGCCTTCTCCAACCGAGGTAGCCTGCGAGGAACACTGAACACTTCCGCAATAGTGCAACATACTGCCACGCACCGCGGACCACCACCATCCGGCAGAATGGAAGCGAAGGCAGGCAAGCCATCTCTCCAAGCCACTGGCATTCTCCGCGTGTGAGGTGGAAAGAAGAAGCACCAAGAAAGGCAAAAAAAAGTAAGCTTCTTCGTCTTCCCTGTCCACCGCATCTCAGCTGTCCCAAAAGTATTGCCATCAAGCCTATCCGGTCCATCCCCTATTCTCGGGTATCTACAACCGCACATTACCTTTCCTAGTATGGACACGAGGAGCAAGCAATCTAAACGGGACGTATCCCCGTCCAGCACACCCTGGTCCATGCATCCCCACTCGCGGTTGTTCCCACTTTCTTACCCCACGACCGCCACCCCGACTCGTCTCTCCTTCCCCGCACGACACTAACGAGCAGCACCCGTCTTGCCGCGCAAGACTTGGCGTCCATGCTGCTTAACGTCACACGGGAGGGCCTGGCCTTGCTGCTCTCGGACGGGAAGTGATGGGCGAGCTGGTGAAACGGCACTTGCTGCAGGGGCTCAATTGCCGGGACGAGGGCGGCACTTATACTTTGCGGCTAGCGCACAAGCTGGCAGAAAAATAGACAGCGGTGCTTTTATAGTCCCCGTATGGGTGTTTCCTATGCTCAGCAGGAGACGTGTGGCAGGTTGTCCGACTCTTCGCGTCTCTTTTAAACGGGTTTCGACAACTCTCGCGATACGAAACACGGCGGCAACGACTGTGATTTGACGGACCGATTTTGCCCATCATGCCTTTCGGAATATTGGAAGACCATAAGATGGAGGTGGTGCCGGGGACGGGTTCGTACATGCGCTGTTGAAGAGCTGTGTGGCGACCGAGTGCTGACGGATGTGCAGCGTTGATGAACGACCAGTCGGACTTGCCCCCCGAGCTCCAGGATATACCAGCAGACCACCTCAAACATGGAAAAGGGAAGCACTCGCACATCCTGCTTGTACCGCAGCCGTCGGACTCGCCGAATGATCCGTTGAATTGGCCGCTTTGGAAGAAAGATGGTCAGTGTCCCGTGGTTGCCCGGCAAATGAGCGAGCACTGATGTCTGCGATAGTAATTCTGCTCATCGTCGGCTTCGCGGCAGCTGTTGTTGGCGCATATGGTCCAATGCTGGGCCCCGGCTTCGTTCCCATTTCGAAGCAGCTCGGAATATCCGTGAACACGCTCTCTCAATCGACAGCATGGCTCATCTTGACTCTCGGTCTCTGTGTGTTCCTCATCAATCCGGTTGCGAAAGCATACGGGAAGCGACCAGTTTACATCGGAGCCATCATAATTCTTTTCATTGTCAGCATCTGGGGAGCGGTTGCAGACAACTACAGTTCTTTCCTTGGAAGCCGTATCATCGGCGGAATCGGTAACTTGAGAACCATTCTCCACTTCAAGTCTCTGCTGACATTTTGAAGGGATGGCGCCGTACGAAGTCCTGGTTCAGGCCACCATATCCGACATCTACTTCGTCCACGAGCGCGCCACCCGGCTGGCCGTCTGGAACCTGTTCCTCCTCTGCGGCATCGCTGGCGCTTCTTTCATCTCCGGGTACATCATCGAAGACCTTGGCTACAAGTGGACGTTCGGCATATGCGCGATCCTCTTCGGCATCAGCATGTTTGCCATCGTCTTCTTCGTCCCCGAGACATCGTACGTCCGCGACAGCGTCCCGAGCAACCTCGTAGGCGAAAAGGGAAGTGACGGAGAGTCTGGCCACGTCAAGGAAGGCCGAGCGGTGCACATCGAACACGTGCTTCATGCGGGCGCGGACGAGCCAAAGTTGACCTACTGGCAATCGATGAGGCCGTGGACGGGGAAAAAGTACTCGAATGCCCCGATGTGGAAGATCATGGCACGGCCGTTCGTCATGTTCTTCTATCCGGCGGTTCTATGGGGCTTTCTCATCTACGGAACCACCCTCACGTAAGTGACTTGTCCTTCCCCGAAGATCCAATTCCCCCCTCGCTCACAAGTATGTTGAAAACAGCTGGATCGTCGTCTTCTCGGTCGTCAACGGCGTCATCTTCGTCGAGCCGCCGTACAACTTCACCGTCGCGCAGACCGGCCTGACGGGGCTCTCGCCATTCGTCCTGACCATCATCTCCGAAGTCATCTCGGGCCCGCTCAACGACTGGATCTGCATCAAGCTCACGAAGAAGAACCACGGCATGTACGAGCCAGAGTTCCGGCTGGTGCTGATGATCGTGACGGTGATCCTGGGGACGGTTGGGTTCTTCGGGTTCGGGCTGACGGTGCACAACGTGACGCACTGGATGGGACCGGTCATGACTTACGGGCTCGCCAACGCAGCGCTGGCATTCGCGGCCGTCTCGGTGTTCGGCTACGTCATTGGTACGACCTTCCTATTCCGGTAACTAGCTGGCGAGAGAGGAGAAGCAATGCTGACTTGTTGTGCAGACTCGTACCCGAACCTCGCGGAGGAGGCATTCGTGGCCATCAACGCTCGCAATCTGTTGACGTTCGGGCTGACGTACTTTGTGAACGACTGGCTGGCAAAGGACGGGCCGCTGAAGGTGTTTAACACGCTGGGGGCAGCGTTCTTGGCGGTCTGCGCGCTGACGATCCCGCTGTGGGTCTTTGGGAAGAAGATCAGGAGCTTCATTGCGCGGCAGGACTGGCTGGTGAGGTTTATGTCGGATCTGGAGTAGACATCGAGGGAAGGCGACGCGATGATGGCGGGGAAGATAGCAACACGAAAGCATGAGCCCTAACGTGCATCATTTTCGGCTAAAGTATGAGGCGATCCTGAGTTGGCGGGGAGTAATGGGCTGATGCAGATTGGCTGGCGGAAGAAGCGGGGAGATGCCGAGTTCTTGGGTCCGCCGACAATCCGAGAGGCCACTTGTCGACCCCTCAACTGATGCGAAATCTCGATTGCGCTCAGATGGCTGCGGCAATGAGTCAACAGCTCTTTGGATTGTTTGATTGTGGTGTCATGGTGTTGAGCTCGGGAGCGCGTCTTGGCCGGGTTTTGGCCGCGCGCCCCGACATCTCCCGCCCCTCTCACCTTTCTGCCTCCCCTCTCCTGTACCCACGCAGATCCTGCCGGCGCCGCATTCCGCCCGCGCGTGCATTGCGACATGGAGCCTCGTGGCCAGCTTATCGAACGTGTTTTCGACGATCACACCGTGTCGGAAGCCGCCGGGGGGCGTGGCAGGATTGGATTGCAGGCGACCGACGCAGCCATGACCTGATTCCGCCTGGAAGATTCTTCGACCCCAGATTCTCCGCCCACGCAAGGTGCAGGCAGAAAACGTAGCGGGCTAGACCGAAGCAGGCAATCTGGAGTCGGGGGTGGCCAGTCGGTGCGCGCCGAAAGGAGCTGATTCGGTCGGCCGATGCGTCTCGTCTAGGCGGACGTGTGGTGTGAGCATCACCAGCCCGCATGCTCACCACCGCCAATCCTCCCCCAAACCATTCCCCGCGCCCAATGACCGTCCGCCCGCTTCTCAGCTGACATCAGGTACACCCAACGATCAGCCCTCGTTTGCGCTCGCTTTAAATATGCCAGCCCACACTGCCAACGAGCTCCCCTGTCACCATTCAAGGATTTGAGCCTCTTCGCCTCATAACCCCGCCTGTACATACAACCCCTCTCTCCTCCTCTTCCTGTTTATATTTTAAGGCCTCGCCTTTAATCTCCCCCTCTCCCCTCTTGCCGCCCTCTCCACTCTGGGAAATAAACCCATCTCTGCTCTACTCTACCGATCGATTATCTCCGCTCTTAAGCGTACCTACCATCCATAATGTTTGCTGCCAACCGCGCAACCACCATGCTCCGCGCACGGCCCGCCGTCGACCTGCTGGTCAAGGCCCGGCCCGCCGCCCGCATGTTCCATCAAACACCCAAGATGCGCTCCATGCCCAAAGACCCTCACTCCGGTACATTCCCACCCACCTCTCTTTCTCCAACCCCCACGAAAACTAACCCGCACTCCTCCAGCCCACACCGTCTCTCAACGCATCCGCCAAGGCATCAAAGCCATCCCCGTCGAAATCTATCCGTTGGGTAAGCGCGCCCAACTCCCCTCCTCGTCCTCCTCCTTCCACACCGCTGCGAACACCTATCGCAATCATCACGCCCGCCACGTTCGGCCCACGACCATCTCGGAAGCGATATCGCGAGAGCAAGAGATAGCTGAGTATGTTGAATGTGCCACAGTCGCCGTCATCGCCTGCGGTCTCAGCTTCGGCGTCTACTCGTTCATCCGGCCCGCACGCGAGGACCCGACGCTTCGCCTGCACCGGAGGGGTCCGGAGCATTGAAAGGGAGGGAGAAAGAAGAAGAAAAAGGAAGCATGGTGTGGGTGGGGACGGTGGGCGTTTTTTGTTTTTAGTGTGGAAGGACTGGTTGATACCACTGGTGTACTAGTACGATGATGTGCTGGATTACTCGCGAGTTTATTTGATTGATTGAACAACTGTTCGTTTTGAGATTAACCACTTGTTTGTGTTCTGTGAAAGACGTTGCTGCGTTTATTGCTTCAGTTGAAGCGAATGCTCAAGTAAGTTGAGCGCGAGGTACTTGAGAAAGCTCGAGTCACTTCATTTGATTTGCATTCAGTATCCTAGATTGCTGACTGCCTATCCAGACTCGAAGCCGTAGTCCATCCAGGAAAAGTAAAAGCAGTCATCCAGCCAGCCTGGAAAAGAAAAGTGTGTGTGTGTCTACCCGGTCACGAGCAGCAGGAAGAAGAGGACCCCCAATCAGACACTGTGCGCATCAGCCGTGCCCTGAACAGCCTCGAGCTGGGCCAAGAGGCTGTCCCTCTCCTTAGCCAAGGCGGCGCAGATGTCGCGGCCAAAGCTGTTCAAGAGCTCGCCCTCGTCCTCGCCGCCATCCTCGTCTCCGCCGCCCTCGCCCTCACCCTGGGCCTCGCCATCATCACTGACGCTGCTCTCACTGCCCTCATCACTGCCGCCCTCCTCATCCTCCAGAAGCAAGGCATCCGTGTGCTTAGCCGCAATACGCACAACAATCTTCCTCATCTCATCTCCCTCACGCGTACTCTCATAAACCGCCTTAACCACACGCGGAAACACCATCGACGCAAGGGGCCACAGCTCCTCCAAGTCGTGCTCGAGACGCTCACACGCCATCTGGCCGAGCGTCTGGTTCTTGTGCGCGGGGACGTGGAGCGAGAAGCAGAGGCTGTTGTTGTTTGGGTACTTGTTGCTGTTGCCGGCGTTAGCGCGGCGGACGGCAGCCGTGTCGCCGACGCGGTACTTGTCGGCGAGCGCGTGGACGTTGACGTGGAAGAGCAGCATGGCAGCGACGTCGCCGAAGAAGATGGGCGAGGGCCCGTAGGCGCCCGTGTACATGTACTGGATCATGGCGCGCACGGCGGCGGGGTCGTCCGTGGGGAGGTGGACGAGGTTGTCGTGGCTCTCCTGCGGGGACGGGGTCAGATCTTTCTTCGCTGGTTTGGGCGGGTGGAGGAGGAGCGGCGGGAGGGCGCTGGGCGAACCTTGAACGTGTTTTCCTTGAGGGCGTTCTTGAAGAAGTCGCTCTGGGTGCAGACGACGAGCTTGTGGGCCTTGTAGATGTGGCCGTTGCTGTCCTTGATCTTCATGTCGCTGTACTGGCTCGACTGCATGGAGCTGAGGATCCTGTTTCAGTTTAGATGATTCTAGACGGAGGCGGCTGCGCGGTGCGGGAGATGGGGGGGACGCGCCTGTGGAAGCTGGCCAAGAGCCCTGTGGGGATGCTCTGAAGGTCGGACATGTTGTCGAAGTCGCGCGACATCGGGCGGGATGCTTCGCGTGCTGTGCGGAACGTTGGAGGGTGGGAGTAGGAGTAGTGACGAGCTTGGAAGAGTGGTGGCGAGCTTGGAGAAGCGGGTAGTGTGTAGATGTAGCTGGGGTTCCTTCCGCGGATACTCACCTGCGCACGTGATGCGAACGCCCATGGAACGGCTTGGACACGCTAAGAAGGCTGGCTCTGCGGATTGTTTCGAATCTCGAGTCTAAGGGCTAGTTGGAGCCGTCATCGAGCTGCAAATGTCGAATTAACAGTCATGCATTTACGCCCAAGCAACAGTTCCCACAGCCCACGTATGTTAGAAACTGCTGAGGCTCACTAATGAGTTTTGAATGCATCATGAATGAAAACTCTAGCTAAAGATTATCTTTGCTGCTTCTCAAAGAATTTCAACCGCCTTCGCTCCCTTAACGATAGCTGATTCAAAGGTACTAGCTAAAGCTAAAAGCATGGCTGACTTCATATGCCAGTATCTCAGTGCAAACGCAACGGGAGGTCATTTGCGCCCGTCTCCTCCTCGACAAAAGTATTTTTAATCATTCTCTGACCCCGAATCTTGAACTGGTCGGCGCCTTGCAGCGCCAACAGGTCCCTCGCAAATTCGGGCAATTCCTGTATCAGCGAGAGGATGCCTTCGTGCGCTAAGAGCTTGAAAATGTTGTCCTTGGCCAGACTCACGACCAGAAGCTTTATTCGTTTGCCCGTGTATGGGAGCTGATCATACGCAGCGTGTGCTATGCGCGGGAAGTTTGAAAGAATCCGCTCCAATGACTCAGCAGGGATGTTGGTCGTTTGTTCCTTGAGCCTTTCGAATGCGTAACGGCAAAGCGGGTCGATATGGTACTCGTCTCCCAGCGCATAGAGGTTGATAGCGAAGACAATATAGTCCGTCGCGGTCTTACAGCTACTGGGGAAGCGGAAGTTATGGTAATAAAGGTAGCGTAGCATCGTGTAGACCGTCTGGGAATCCTTGTCCTCGAGGTGGATCATGTTCTCGTACCCCTCCTAAGAAACTTGTCAGCCATAGAGTGACTACCTTGGTAGTGAAGTGCCATTGTACCCTGAATCGGCCCTCCTTCATGGCGTTCTCGAAAAACTTGCTCTGGTGGCATAGGACAACCTTGTGCACGTGGTAGATGGTTCCATCGCCAGCGACAAGGCGCATGTCGCTGTACTTTCCAGTACAGAAGTCGCTGTAGTGAGTGTCAGTATGAAAATCATTCGTGATGGGCAAGTGAAATGAGTACGTACTCCTGGAGACCCTCGATGATGGGGTCAAAGGAATCGTCCATCTTGTGCGGTGTGTCGCGGAGGAGGTTGACAAGTGTTGGGAGAATGACGAAGGTGGAGTTATATAAGCTAGAGCAAGGTGCTTGCGCTGGGGCTCCATCCGATCGGAATAAAGGTTTAGCCGTGTGGTGTCAAAGATGGAAGGAGCCCGGACTACTGTGCCTGTCAGAAACTAATTCCTTCCGTCTTACTGCCACAAATTAAGAACCAACAAGAGACAATATCACATGTCAGATGTCAGAGAGCACGGAACTCACTAGTCCAGACATAAGCGTACAAAATGCGTATATATAGTGAGAGAGATAGTACAATTACAGAGGCCAGAGATTCGTCTCAGGACTCGTGTCACAATTGAGCATTCTATCTATTCAACTTCTTACAGTGCCCGGCCCCCGAGGGTGGTAGCTTCGGGCATGCAGTGCCTAGACGCGGCGGTGGCCCCAAACCTTGATGGTAGTAGTTTCTGGGGCTATTCTAGCACATGCCATAGGAAGGAAATGGATTGTTTAATTTGACATTCTCGTCCGGACAGTAGCTTTAACTACCATGACATGAGCAAATTTTCGGGGTTGCCAAAGAAAAATTTGAAGTTGACGGTACACAACTTCAAGGTAAAGCTTGCACAATTTCTGGTACGAGGTTATGACTGATTAACCTTTGTAGGAGTCCTAGACAAACACCATCGAGCTCCATAACGACCCGGAAATTGTCTAAGCTGCAATCAAGTTCATGTACCATGAGGACCACTTCGACTCCACCGACTACAACTACATGTACGGCATGGAGAAAGTCAACTTCCACCTCCAGAAGTACATCTTTGCGGATAAGTACGTTATTGGTGGCCTTCGAGAGAAGTCCACGACGGTGATCGAGTTGATCTTTGCCAATGACTGGGCGTTTGACCCTGAAGGATTCCTATAAACTGTTAGCACTGCTTGGGAGTTCCTTCCGGAGAACGACGAGGTACTTGGTCCTATCTTGGTCCGAATTGCTGAACAGACCCTTTGCAAGCTCTGGGACCGCGATGCCTTCGAGGAGACTGTTCAGAACGCTAGTGGTTTTGGCGCTGCCTTGCTTCAGAAACTCGTCAAGTTTAGCGCGATTGACCGGAAAAACAGCCATGGAGTTCATTCGTAATTCTTCACGAAATGTTGGGGAAATTCCCTCATGAAGCTCAGCGATGATCGGTCTACGTTCTGCCCTGGCTGCGGCCGTTGCATCGAGAACGCGGAGTGGGAGTCGAGGCGCTGCTCCTGAACCTAAGCCCTTGAGCTCATGTGAAATCTGTCACCGAGTGCAAACTCCTCACGTTCTGCCCGTTGTTATTTGTCTACCGCCATTGCCCACAAGCCAGCAGTAGCCGAGCGAAGGTGATGGAAGGAAGTGTGTTAGTGCACTAAGCCCAATATGGGAGAAGCGTCGCGCCTGCGGAATAAGTTGCTGGCTGAGACACGTGATGGCCGTGGCGCGGGAGGGTCCAATGCTTCGGGCTCCTACAAGACACACTCCACTTTCCGATTCTTTCAGCTCACCACCACCTTTCCTTCTTCCACAAAGCGCCCAGCTGTCGCCGCCATGGCAGCGTCTCAAGATGAGAGCTTTCCGACGCTCCGCACAAGCTTGGCACGGTAAGCTTTAATAGAAGATGCATTGGCACGCAAATTGCTTACAGACCTCACCTAGATACTTAACCAGTGGGGCGGACAGCGACATGAAGATCATATGCGGTGGAGTGGAGCATAAACTTCACCGTATGATTGTCTGCACGCAGAGTACCTTCTTTGCCAACGCGTTAAAGAAAGAGCATAACTTCATGGTAATGCAGTCAATATTTTCTGGCCGAGTATCCAGAACTAACAGGTATCGTTCTTTTAGGAGGCCCAAAACAACACCGTGACGCTAGAGGATGACGATCCAGCGACGGTCAAGGCCGCGATCAAGTTCATGTACCGTCAGGTCTACTCCAACACCGGTTATGGTTCGGATAATGAGCAGCGCGTCACCTTTGAGATCTCTCTCTACACGTTTACGGACAAGTATGGCATCGGCGGCCTCCGAGAGTATTGCGCGAAGCGCATCACGAAGCTTTTGGACGTTAACCAGTTCTTACCCAAGCTCTTCCTTAACGTGGCCAGCGCTGTGGAAGACAACATTCCGGAGAACGACAACGTCATCCGCCCTGCCTTGGGCCTGATTGCTTCTAAGCATATCCATGCACTTGTCGACGATCCTCAGTTCTGGAGCATTGCTGGCGGAATTGGTGGAGCGGTGCTTAGGAACCTCATTGCAGCCGGTCGGCTTGATGGGACACACACTGGAGTTCCGCAGTTCACTTGCCCTGGCTGCGATCGGGATATCACGATGGCTCTGAGTCAAGATACGGTCCTCCATGACGATGACTCCTTCTCGCGCACCGGTCAGAATACCTTCTGCCCTGGCTGCGGTGGTGCTTTTAGGAACCTGAGATGGGAGAGCTCCCGCAAGAATGACTTCGATGGGGATGCCAGCCCCCAATGGTCAGACAGGAGGGACTTGTAGTCGAAGAGGGCTTCGGGAATGGTCTAAAACGGCATGGGGATTAATGCGGCATTGGAATACTTGGAACCCCAGGGGTGGTTGGGGTAGCTTCTTGATGGAAAGACCCAAGTAGTCTTAGACGGACATGACAAAAGCTACCACAGCATCACAATAGTTGCAATTCATAGCAGTCACAGTCTTATCACTGACCTATTTCATTGCTGTGATTGCATTGTACTATACCTTGGCAAGAGCGAATGTTGTCGAACGAACCTCCTGCTTCCTTTCCTCAAGCTGTTCATGTACTAACGCGCCAACTTCTTTCATTTCAGGCGCATCAAGAATACCTTTAGGACCCTCAAAAACCTTTATCCCCACTTTCGGCCTATCTTCCTTTGCCTGCCAGATGCCTACCGCCAACGCGTTCACGAGCTAGCCTTCGGCGCCGTGCCCTGAGGGTGAGTGTTGGGAAGAGGTTTGAGCACTTGCATAGCGCTAATCCTAGTTCGGAAGCAGTAGGCAGGCGAAGGAAAGAGCCAGCGCACCCACGTGATGGCGACATGATGACAGGGTCTTTCCTCTGTCCGCCTTTAAAGCGGTCCAAATCTCAGATCCTTCGCGCCCAGAACCTGAACAACCAAACTCCCTCCCCACAGGTTCCGTTGCTACCATGGCGTCCGACGACCCGCACGAAGATAATGGCAACCCTACGCTCATCGAGAGCATGAGCAAGTGAGCGAACAGCCCAGGAGATCGTGACGACCAATCAAAGCTAACGGCCGACTTCACCCAGGTACTTCGCCACCGGCGAGTTCAGTGACATGAAGATCAAATGCGGCAACACGGTTCATGCAGTTCACCGCACCATCGTCTGTGGTCAGAGCTCCTTCTTTGCCAACGCTATGAAGCAGGAGCATGGCTTCAAGGTGAGATGACTTGACCTGATTCCGGGAACAACACTAACATGAAGTCCTCACCAGGAGGCCCAGACCAACACCGTTGAGCTCAACCACGACCATCCTGCAACGATAAATGCCATGCTCGAGTACATGTACCTCGGAAATTACTCTGACCTGGCTTTTGGCCGCAAGCCAGAGGAGCGCATCTCGCTTCACATCGACGTCTACGCAATTGCCGACAAATATGGAGTCGGCGGCCTTCGAAAGCATGCCGCGGACAATATCAAGCCTCTATTTGGTCTGGATGAAGTCCCACCTAAGGCGCTGGCCCAGATCATCGGTAATGCTTACGAGATGACTCCGGAGAACGACCAACTCCTTCGCCCACTCCTCCTCAAGGAAGTGTTCGACAAGAGGTCCGAACTGAGTTGTGACTTAGAGTTTTTTACCATGATGGAGAGCGTGCACGGATTCAGTGCGAAGTTCATCAAGATGGTAGTGGAAAAGGACTCTGAGGTAGATGTATACCATTGCCCTGACTGCGGAGGTAGATTCCACATGATCTTAGGAGAGTCTAGTACCTGTAACACACGGGAGACGGAAGACAGGTATGATACATACTGTCCTGGATGCGGTCTCCTATTCAACAACGAAACCTGGATTTTTAACCAGTAGGTGCTCTTAAAGAAGGGTTAAAAATTACACAATCGAGCCTTTCTGGTTTAATCATGCTCAAGTCGTCCTTTTTTTTTCGATTTGTTGGCTTTTAATCCTTCTTCGATACCAGCTATCTCCATTAAGCAGGACTTCTTTAGGAAGGTCTAGCTGAAAAACAATGCTGCATATTTAGAGGGCAAACCCGAATCTCATCCTCAATTTTTAGAGCTTGACTTTGCTTGTATTCTAGGCCCACCACGCCTCGAACTCTACTAGCATGCATAAACTTGTCGCCTATATTCTCTTGCCTACTATTTAGCCTGAGACAACGTGTTCTGAGTGAGTCTCGAAAAGAGTTGTAGTTGATTCTGTTGCGCTAAGCCTAATCTGGGGGCGGCACGTAGATAAAAGCAACCGCCATCTGCACGGTGACAATGTGATTCCCCTGCATCATGGTGACACAGAAGCCGAGGTTTTGCCCGGCCCGCCCACAACCAGGCAACAGCGGGCATCACAAAAGTTGGATTTCGTTTCGGCAAATCAGTCAAACCACTCTTCCCGCACAACTTTCGGCACCATGGGTAAAAAGCCGGTAGAGTGGTACGTCGATTGCCTCGGAAGGAATGGAAAGAAGATGTATAGGTGAGGAGGCAGCTCCAATGGCCACCCATTGATCGACGGAAATTGATACAAGATTGCATGTTAGTCTACTGAAGACTGGCGAGTGGGGCGACATCACGGTCAAATACGGCGATATCACCCGCACCCTGCACAGCGCCATCGTTTGCAGCCAGAGCCCTTTCTTCGCGGACGCCGTGACGAAAGCCGTGACGGTAATTCCGACTTCACCGGACTCTTGCGATCGATGACTGACACGATGTTTCTACCAGGAAGCACAGCCAGACACCGTGATCGAGATCAACGGATGGAATCAATGGACTGTCAACACCGTGATCCAGTACATGTACTTCCTCGATGATTTTGAGTTCGTTTTCCACGAGGATGGGGACTGGAGAGATCTTGTTGAATACGCCGTCGACATCTGCGGCGTTGCCACCCAGTTCGGCCTCGACGAGCTTACTGAGTTCGCTGTGCGCGAAGTCGAGCATTACTTGGGGGATTGGTGGGAGTGGTGGGATCATTCGTCAGAGGGGTTGGCCAGAGTCATCTGTGACATTTATGAACGCGACGAGTTCCTTCGCCCCCTTCGCCCCGTGGTGTTGAGGATCGTCTCGAGGGATTTCGACAAGCTCGTCGGCAACAGGGGCTTCTTGGCCGCGATGAGGAGCGTGCAGAACTTGGATCCTAAGCTGCGAGAAGTGGTTGAATCTTTGGCGGAGGCCGGTCAACCACGTCGGACTCGTCATGCACGTAAAAAGAGGAGGCGTCTCTGATCTTCGGAAGCCATATCTCTGCCCTCATTGCCTTCGTCCATTCTATTACGATAGCATTCGCCAGCCATGCATCGTTCGTCACGGTTCCCACAGACAGAAAGCCTTTTGCACCGCTTAATCGAAAAACGGCCTTTATCGGACTATTTACACCTTAGAAAAATATATATCCCGCAGCCGCTCCCATGATCACTCGTTTGTAGTTCCACTGAATTGAACCTTGCCAGATGAGCTACTCAGATGACTGGCATGTGCCATTGCCCAGCGCAAGGAATCCCAAATTAGCATACAACCCCTTCCTGCAGCCAATGGCTAGCGTGGATTTGTTTATCGCTCATGTCATGAGTAGTCGAAGCTATCGTCCGGACGAAAACATGGAATTAAAAATTCTACGTACACGTCCGGCCGATAGCTTCAGCCACCCACATATGCTATTGTTTCAAGCAACTCCTTAAGCAATGGCCGCGTTCTTCCGCGCATCACGATAGTCCGCTTCGAAGCCGCCGACCTCTGTAAAGAGCAAGGCACGCGCATACACGATCCACGTAACGTCGACGCGAGCTTCCAAAAAGTAAACGACGACCCTCTTCATAGCTGAGATCATGTCCTGGCCGTCGATGCTGCTCCTGGGGTACGCGTAGATGGTGCGCACAGCAGCGATGAAGTGGTCCGACGACGTGCAGAGGTGGAGTTGCTGTGTGAACAGGTAGTAGGCGCGCTCGGCCATGCTGGCAACGGCGTACTCGTCGCCGACGCCGGCGACGTGCACGAGGTACTCGAGCTGGCGGCCGCCGGCAATGATGGATGCGGGGATGTCGAAGGTGCCGTTGAGCAGGACGTGCGCCATGGTCTCCACGCCTTCGGGGTTGTCCGGAGGACGGCAGACGGGGTTGTGCCACTGTTTGCGGTTAGTTCAGGTGAGCTCGTAGGGGCAGAAGGCGCGGATAGAGGGGCCCTTGGTGGGCAAGAGCGGCTTTTACTTACGGTAGACTCCTCTTCTACGACCATAGCCTTGTCTAGGAACGCATTGTTGGCTTCGATGATGCGGTCAACCGGGATGTCGAACTTTCTGCCACGCACGTCGATGATGCTGAGGATGCGCTCTTGATTCTGCATGTTGAAGGTTGGAATGCGAGTTTGCGGATGGTGGATGATCGAAGGACAGTGACAGCTGGATGTTTTATATGGGGCAGGAGGGCAACCGGTGGCCTGTTGCACGTGGTTGCCTGCAAAGAGTGGTGCTATGGCAATTCTATATCAAACAAGATAAAGGGCTGCTGAGGTGAATTCGGGGACTGCAATGCAGCATCCCTCATGGATTGAACTTACGTTTACTCGTGAGACAATTTAGCAAGGACAAATAATGTGACATGAGAATCGACGCGACATTTCGCAGACAGGCTTTTTGCCACTTGGCGCATTTGTGTTTGATATGGTCTTGCCTGCAATATTCCGCATGTGGGCTGAAAGAGTGCGACAGATCAAGCAACAAGTGGAGGGTTATGGTGCTCGGTGATCCATGAAGTTGATTCACCCCGCGGAGTAGTCATGAGAAGATAGCATCATCGCTAAAGGAGGGTTACAGTGGGTGCCAAAACATCTGAGCCATCGTAATCAATTTCTATCAGCTAGGGAGACAGCCACTGGACTTGGACAGATAAAAGATAAGAGGATGAAATCGACATGCAAAGCATAGATGAATTTGAGATATTGGTATCGTTATTTTTATGTCTTGAATTTCGGCAGCGGGAAGGAAAAATGTAGAATCACCTGCTTTTCACACAGCTTGGGTGTGTTGAGGTTTCGACGGGCTCGGAGACATCCAGAGAAAAGTTCACTGACACGCACCACATGGTATCCTTGACCGCGCCGAGAAATGCTCCATGACTCCAGAAGTATACCGGGGATATGATACAAGGTAGGCTTGCTCCGCTTTTGCGCAGCCTTAGAAACCAGGCGGGTTGAGGCGCTGCGATACTCTGGTCCACTTCGGAAGCTCTGTGCTGCGTGTTAGCCACATAGCCGCAACATGAACATTGGCCGGTCCGTGAACAGGAATGTGTGCGCAGTCCACATACTGTGAATTCCCTTCCTGTACTTCTTTTCATAACGAGCGAAGATCGTGTATTTGTCTTTTGCCAGCATCTCCGGCTCGGTGGGCATCTCGTCTTTCCAGCGGTCCAGCTTCTTCGTCGAGGTTCCCTCTTTTGCAAGTGCCTTGTCGACAGTGGCGACAACTCTATCGACCGCGCGCAAGCGCTCCCGTTGCCGTGCCTTTTGGGGAGCGGACATCCGCCACGGAATTTTCCTATGGTAGCGAATCAGCAACGGATCGCTGGTTTGAGGGACAATGGCATCAGCGGCCAGAGGGACGGGATCGCTAACCAGAGGAGACCTCCAGAGAGGGGCTGTGAGGGTCTGAATGCTCCGAACATGGTGGGCTTGCTGGGTGGACGCTGTCGGCAGTACTGGAGATGGCGCGCGATGAGGTGAAGGCGGCCGCTCGGACGCTGGGCTGCTCACCGCCCTGGCAGAATGCGGGCCGGGGGCGTCACCCCGGAGCTCAAGGTACCACGCTTCCCCACCACACCTCGCAGCTTCCTCGCCGCCGCCAGCTTCTCGCCATGTCGTACTACTTCGCTATCGTCGGTACGAGAGATAATCCGCTCTTCGAGCATGAATTCGGCACTTCGAGGGGCGGCGGCGACGGTATCGCGCGCTTCAGAGATGATGCGCGGCACATGAACCAGTTCATAGTGCACAGCAGCCTGGACATCGTCGAGGAGGTGCAGTGGGGTACCGGCCAAATGTGAGGCAGAGATGAGCGAGGCTACCTATGAAGCACAAGCTAATGCATCGCGTCGCAGGTACCTCAAGCACATCGACCGCTTCCACAACAACTACATATCGTGCTTCCTGACCGCCGGAAACATCAAGTTCCTCCTTCTGACCTCTCCGAACCCGGACAACCCACGCTCATCCGCCGCTTCCATGTCCTCGGTGCGCAGCTCTGCGTATCCCTCGTCGAGCGCGTACAATCCCACTGCGCCTGCTGCCGAAGAGGCTATCAAGAACTTCTTCATGGAGGTGTACGACAGCTGGGTCAAGACCATCATGAACCCTTTCTACTCGCTCAACCAGCCGGTGAAGAGCCCGGTGTTCAGAGCGCGGGTCGCTGCCGCCGCAAAGAAATACCTCTGAGAGAAAGAAAGCATATTCCACGTGGAATACCATACGCTGCGCAACGTCGCCAGATTCCAGGCCACGTCACAAGTGGATAGTTCTTGGGGTGCCTATCACTGAGACCACTTGACTTTTGACCAATACTCCCGGCGTGGCAATGGCTTTATTCGGTTGGATTGGAGGAGAAGAGGGAGCCTGGCACCGCCCGCCCTACCATGACTCGCAAGCATCACGCGTCGGCTCAGGACGGCTATGGGCTCGCTCAACAGTTTCGCAGACGTACACTTCCAGGATTTTGCCTGCGAAACGAAACAGCGCTTCAAGGACCAGATATGATCGGAGATAACGATGAGGAGCTCGGCTGTAAGGAATGGACAGGCGCCGGGCGGTCGGATTCAGCACGCAGCTCTTTAGGCTGGAAGAATTCGACGAGCGGATGCTCGAAACTCAGACGCGTGTAAAACTAATCGATAATGAATGAATGCATGCACGTCATGTGTTGGTTGCGGGACGCGTATGCTGGAAATCGTGGCGCCTAAATCGGGCAGGGTCCGTTGTGGCGCGTGGTTGAAGGCTGTGCGGGCAGCCAATGAGCGGGAGGTAGGGCTGTATTTCGTAGGGCCGAGGCGCACCACTTTTGTTGCCGCCTAGGCAGCAGCTTCTTGCACTTCGTATGCCCCCCGCGATCTTTTCTCTGGGGCCTAGTCGGCATTTCTTCTAAATATTCGATACCCTTGCGCCTCTGCCGCTCCATGACACACTTGCTGGACTAGTTTCGATGTTCTCATCATCTCCTGCAGCGGCCTAAAAGGGTGTTTCCCGTGCTGCTGACCGCGATCTCCACCCGCTCACGACACCCGACCCGGCCCCGAAGCCTCAAGCTCGCTTCAGTTCTCAAGCGAACATGGCTGCTTTCGCCCACCTCCCACGGCGCCTGACCAAACTGTACTCGGACACGAAGCAAGACATCAACGCCGGTCAGGCGAAGCTGGAGAACGTGCCCGAGCTGAACGCTCTCCACCGCCGCTTCCGCATCCAGAGAGATCGCCTCATCGCATGGGGTCTCGAATGGAGCGACAACAGCTCAACCGCATCCCAGGGCAGCATCGATGAATCTGTCGCCCAAGCTGGCCTGACCGAGACGGTCACGAGTGTTCTTGGCACCATCCAAGATATCCTGGACGAAGCCGACCGCATCAGAGATTCAGGTGACCAGAGTCCTTCTGACACCAAAGACGGAAAGAGTTGGCCAAAATCGTCTAGTTCGAATAGCTGGACCCCTGCCGACAAGGCCCGCTATGAAGACCTAGCTCGAGATCTTACTACCTCAATAGATACGCTCTACGATCTTTCCAGAGCAAGGAGAATATCGGCCTTTGGAGCCCCTTCCCAAGACACCAAACCACATTTGGCCAAGTCCGAGTCCCTCCCGTCCACCCCATTTAAGACGCCTTTCCTGGACGACGAGTACACCGAATCATCTCTCACTCTCGTCAGCCCGCCGACAGTCTCTAACTCATCCACGATTGAGACGGAGTCCATTCCCAAGATAGACCCATCGTGTCTCATTCTTCCTGAAGAAGAACCCCCGCCATACGAGAGCATAGGAGTTCCTTCGTGTACGCGCTTGATCGGTCACTTCCGTCGAAGCCAGCCCTCAACCAACCCCTGGAGATTCGAATCTGGAGATGTCGTGACCATCCCTGTCCTTATCGAGTATGCAGGCTTCGACCCTGTCTACCGCATGAACGAAATTTCGCCACCTCTAGAACGTTTGGAGCATCTTCTTGATGTTCTTGCCCGAGGTGTTGGTCGCTTTGGAGAGGGTTCCGAAGCCCCTGCTTTTGGAACCCTAAAATGTTTGGGCTACTTTGAGGACCCTAGTCAGCCCCGATTCGGATTCGTCTTCGAACTGCCAAGTTTTGTGTTCAACGGAATCACTCGATCACTGCGACCTGCAGAATTCCAAGCAATGCGCCCTGTTACCTTGTTAAGCGTGTTGCAGTCCAGCGCGAAGAACAACGTTGCTGTACCAAACATTCCCGCTCTGGAAAAACGGTTCCGCATAGCCCTAAACCTCGTGCTTTCGTTCAGCAAGCTACACGCCACCGGCTTCGTCCACAAAGATGTCAATAGCAGCAACATTCTCCTCTTCCGGAAGCCAAAGGAATCGGGTCATACGGGAAGTCACAAACACCCGCAGTATGAGCTGCAGTCGCCTTACGTTTGCTCCTTTGACCTGTTCTCCGAATTCAACGTGGAAGTGCAGTCGAGCGGTTCCAACATATACCGCCATCCCCACGACCCTAGAGCACAGACCCCAGCACAATCAACTTATGCTCCACACTTTGATATGTATGGTCTCGCCCTGATTCTTCTCGAGATTGGCTTGTGGATCCCCCTTTGCGACATCTTCAAAGCAAAGTACACCCTTGCGGATTTCAAGGTTCGCCTCGAGGATATATGGATCAGGAGATTAGCTGGCAAATGCGGCACAGCCTACATGCAGGCGGTGCGAGAATGCCTTTCGGCTGCAGACCGACACCTCTCGAGCACGGACACCAAGGCGGTCTATGATCGCGTATTAGGACGACTCCACAGATGCACTCTCCTGGACGATGCAGACCCCTATCCATACGATTTAGGGCACCATTTGACAACTAGCCCTTCTCCTAGTCCCAGCCTCCTGAAGCGCGTGCACGACCAAGGGCTAGGCCTCAAGCGAGCGAAGCTCCAAAAACGGAACGTCGCACAATTCGCCGAGCGGTTGACCCATGAGCATAGCAGACCATTGCTTTCTCAAGGGGAAATTGTAGAGGGGAACCCTGAACTTACCGCCTTCTTGTCTTTGGCTCATGCTCAAGAGCCAGGAATAGAGCGCGGTGGGGACAGCATTGTTGTCAAGCACCACCAGAACGGCCACGACATCGATACCCACCCAAGAGATGCATTGGCGTCATTGCATGTGGACAATGTGGTAAATGCTGCAAAAACCATCCAACGAGCCTGGCGAAGGTCTCGCGGCAAAATGACTTTCAGGGAATACAAGAAGAAAGTGGTCATAATTCAAACCCATTGGCGAGAAAGGAAAGTCCGTTTGGCATCTGCATCTCGTCAGCAACAGCCGCAGATGCTGCATCGAGCCGTGACGGATATCTTCCCAGCTTCTGAGTCGAATATCATCATTGATGAGATGAGTGTGCAAACATCCATCAAATTGAAGCAACAGAAGGCTGCGACAAAGCGGAAGCTACTTGTACAGCCGCTCTGGAGGCCGACGTCAAGCATTGCAGCCGAGTGGGACGAAACTATTCTTCCACGTCTGATACGCATCTGCGAGAGAGCACTCCGTGATTCTCCAGAGAGCTCCAGCATTGATCTCTTCGGAATTGGTCCGTCTCCTGCAGAGGCAAGACCTACTATTGTCGTTACCTGTGCTAGCACGGCAAAGGTGAAGGCAGCATTGGCGAAGAAGTTCAACTATGATCGTTCCGTCTTCGATCTCAAGGTCCACAAAGGAAAGATCAAGCGCTCGAAATTGACGAGATCAACTCGGAGGCGAAGAGCTCCATGTAGATCTATGATGGATGAGGACGAGGTACCGGCGTTGAATGGTTGTTTCCAGAAACGCCCAGTCTGCGGTGCGTCCATCGGAGCATACAATGGGGAACATCTGCCACCAGTGTCGTATGGGGGAGTTGTCTTGGTCGATGGAGAACCATTTGGAATGAGTGTCCACCACATGTTGGATGCTCCTAGTGAAGATGAGAGTGAATATGGCGACGAGTACTCAGATGTGGAGTAAGTATTTTCCTTGAGGCATTGCGCGCCCACCATTCTCGAAGCTCCCTTCAATATTTCCATCTGCGCCGATAAAGGTGGATCTATCTCCCTCGGTAACTACTACACTCTCTCAAATATCACCCATACACGGTCCAAGGCTTCAACTAACATCGATGTACAGAAGCGAAGACATTTTGCGGTCCAGTGCGAGGGGTTCCAACTACAATTGGACCTCGCAGATCGGCTCGCAGCCTTTGTTACAGGATCTACCGGACGTTCCGCAAGCTTTTGAAATCTCAGATGATGAAGATTTCGATGACAGCGCTAGCAGTTATACCTATGACTCTGCTGATGAGGCTTTTTCTGACTCCGAGAGTGAAGACACATCGTCCGAACCCGGCGACATCCCAGGCATTGAGGCAGGCGACGGCGAAGAGATTCTCATCACTCAGCCCGCCATCGACGACGTCGAAGATGACTTTTTTCCTTGTGAAGAAGACCGCGACGAGGACCACCTCGATTCACACGGGTTGGGTCACGTCCATGCCTCATCTGGGATTCGGCGCTGGAACCGGAACGGTGTGATCCACGAGATCGACTGGTCTCTGCTCAAGTTGAAAGATGAACGCCTGCAGCCGTACAATCTTGTACAAGGGGGAAAGAGGTACTGCACGCAACCAGCAAAGCTATGCCCGAAGCTAGTAGATCCTGTGGACAGATGGCAGTCCAAGCCCGAGGAAGATGAATACCCAAGCCAAGTAAGTCCTTTCTTCAGTACTGAGAGCGTTGCGGGGTTGTAATCTAATTTTCTCAATCAAGGTTGCTAAGGCAGAAGACCTGGGTAGCCTTCAAGTTCACAGCCTCGGGCGGACAAGCGGCCTGAAAGGCGGCATCATTAGCCATACAATGACCGCCGTCAAAATCCATGGGCGCAAGTCCTACGCTCGAAGCTGGCACGTAAGCGGCGGGTTAGGTGGTAAGTGAGCCCATCTCATTTTGTCTCTCCTAGTAGTTAACAACTGTTACAGTTGGCGGTGATTCTGGCGCTTGGGTCATCGACAATGAGCAAGGCCGCATCTGTGGTCACATCCTTGCCTGGTGTGACAAAAACCATGTCGCATACATTTGTCCCATGCAGGTGCTTCTGGAAGACATCAAACACACGCTGGGCGCGAAAAAGGTTCTCTTGCCGGGTCAGCAAGAGGAAGACGCTGAATCGTTCACGTCCCAGGTCAAAGGAGGGTTTGACCTGCCCGATATCAAACAACTTAACATTGGCGATGTGGATGGAGGGATCAGGAGTCGTTTTATGCAGAATCCGAGCAGGATTGAGGTCGTGCGGGGAAGAGCCGGGCAGATGGCGTGATGGAAGCGCATATATGATACCCATTGTTTTCATGAAAAGTCAAAAATAGTTCTCAACAAACTGCGGTTATGTACAGAAGGGCACTGAATCTAATGGCTAGATGGTTCCCTATTACGAACTAACGTACTTGACGGGGGTCGCATCTTCCAACGGGAGAGTCGGCTTGATTCGCTGGACATGCGTCTTGTTGGCGGCCAAAGAGAGTCTAGAGTCACGATCGAGATTATGGTTGGTAGATGCACGACCCCGTCAATAATCGCAAAACCAGTCAAACACGTCGTGTGATAGGCCGAGCCCACTAGTTATCTGCTGCTTTTGGCCGGTGACAGGGCTCTGATACACAGAAAACTGGATTCACTCCAGGGGTCAGCTGCAATGCCCGTCCGAGCCCTGCAATATTCCCCATCATCCGTGATATCCTGATATCGCGTTCTTCACTGCAGCTCTTAATTACGCTTGTTCCGTTTGCCGTTCACCATTCCACCCACGGTGTCAGGCCATCACAGTATCCTTTGGCGGATGACTCGTGTCGCCTTACCGGCTGATTTACCGCGTGCAGCCGCTGAGCCGGGAGACTGGGGTGCATGCCAAGCTCTTCTGACCTTGCGGATGACGTCTGTCGAACGTCGTGGCTGGACCGAGGGAAGGAACGGCCAGACCGCCGACATCATCACCGAGCATGTGAAGGGCAACGTCCAACATCGCTGAGACGGCAGATCTCATTCCAAACTGTCCTTGCTCGCGGACGCAGACGTCGCAGCTGCAACCTGCCTGAAACGTGAAGCCAGCGGAGCAATTATTGACTGCCACGACTTGCAGCAGCTATGGCCGACAGTGACGAGGCGGGATTCCTGTACAACAGCCAGCTGGTGCGTCACGAAACTTCATGCGAACAATTCCCGCACAGCTGGCCTGCGCTTTTTTGCTGACGCTTCGCCTTGCAGGATGCTTTCGATCTTTACCACATCGTCCAGGAAGAAACTAGACCGCGGCGAGCACCTCTCGGCCCCGCGTTGCCCGCGCTTGGCCATGCAACCTCCGGCGCACTCGGTTCCGCGATATCGAAGCTGATCATCTACCCACTCGACTTGGTCATTACACGGCTGCAAGTACAGGCCCAGTTCAAGAATGGCGATAGTGAAGGTGAAGGCGACGACGATGCGGACTACAAGGACATTGTCGATGCGCTCAAGAAAATCTATGCCAAAGAGGGCGGGTTGCCGGCTTTCTACAGCGGCCTGGCGCAGGACCTGATCAAGAGCGTGGCCGACTCATTCCTCTTCTTCCTGGCGTACAATTTCGTCAAGAGCAGCCGGCAAGCGCGCAAGCCGGACCCGAAGAAGGCGCTGCCCGCATTCGAAGAGATCGCGGTGGGCATGGTCGCCGGCGCCTTCTCCAAGTTCTGGACGACACCCGTGCAGAACATCGTGACGCGAAAGCAGACGGCCAGCATGGTTGCGGCGCGGGACCGGACGAGCAGCGTCAGCCCGGAGCTCAGCGCGCGCGACATCGCGCTGCAGATACGGCACGAGAAGGGTGTGGGCGGCTTCTGGTCCGGCTATTCGGCGGCGCTCATCCTGACCCTCAACCCGGCGCTGACGTTCCTGCTGCACGAGTCACTACTGCGGGTACTGGTGCCGCGCGCAAAACGCGCGAAGCCCGGGTCGACGGTTACGTTTTTTATCGCGGCGCTCAGCAAAGTGGTCGCGTCGACCATCACGTATCCGGTGTCGTTAGCGAAGACGCGCGCACAGGTGTCCGCGCAGCCGCCGACGTCAACGGCGGGAGAGGAACCGCTGCAGGAGAACCAGGGCTCGGCCGCGAAGGAGACCGAGCCGCTGCAGGAGAAGGCGGCGGCGGCAGGGTCAGCGGCTACGAGGGAAACCAAGAGGGCGGCGGCCCGCGCCACCATCTTCGGCTCGATCCTGGCGATCGCACGGAAAGAGGGCACGGCGGGCCTGTATCAAGGGTTGGGCGGCGAGGTGCTCAAGGGCTTCTTCAGTCACGGCCTGACGATGCTGATGAAGGAGCGCATCCACGTCCTCGTGATCCAGCTCTATTACCTCATCCTCAAGGCGCTGCGGCGGTATCCCAGTCCGCAAGAGCTAGCGGTGCAGGCGCAGGAGGAGATGCGTGAGGCGGTCGAGGCGGGCCGAGAGCTAGTGAGCTCAACGTCACAGAAAATGGCGGACGCGCTCGAGAAGAAGTCCACGCAGCTAGGAGACGTTTACGGGAAAAGCGTTGAGAGAGCGGCGGAACTGGTCACACGGGAGAGCGGTAAGGCTAGCGTGAAGAGTGACAGGCCCAAGACCAAGGAGTGACTATTCAGCGAATTTTCTTCACGAGGAACGGCATATGTAGGCAGTTGGAGCTATTGTCCGGGCGTGGTCGTATAATTGTTAATTCGTCCGTACGATAGCTTCGACTACCCATGACATGAGCGAAAATAAATTCACACGCGGTTAGGGGACGTTTACGTGACAGGCGCTGACCGGACGGCGCAACTGTTCAAAAGGGCGGGCGGTAAGCAGCACGATTAAATTAATCGATGGGTCTCCGGCGAATTTTTCTCATCGTGGGTTGCTGGTCCAAGTCATGTGCTCGAAGGGTGGAGTCCCCGTCGAGGCTGGGTGCCCAGCCCATGGGCGCCCTACAACGTGCCTGGCGGGCGCTGCGCGAAACCATTGGCTGACGACGAGCGCCGTAAAGCTGCGCACATGGTTGCCGTGTTATGAAAACGGCGTTGACGTGGTCTCGGGCGCGCTCGACGAGATCGGCCTTGGGCCTGCAGTCGCGGGCAACTCATGCAAGTGCAAGGATTAGATCCCTACCACTGGCGTTGCTTCCGCGACCGTGCGAGCGCCGCCTGCGACTGGCGAGCCCTCTCCCGTCTGCGTCAACACACAACCCACCCTCCTCTTCCGACTTCCACCCCACGGAGCGCGCGCCGTCGTACCTGACATGGACGCGAACCCGCGCCAGTAGAACCCCTCCGACCGACCTTGCGCGCGCCCCGACGACGACGCGCCCTCCCCGACCCTTCGTGAAACCGGGCAGCCCTTCACACCGCTCGGTCCGGACTGCGGCAGGCACTCCCACAGCGCCTCCGCCTTGTAACGCGCCTCCACCGCATCGCACCGGAAGACGACACTCACGACACCCTCCCCCGCCACGAAGACATCACGACCACGGCCACGACATCAATCACGACAACCCCACCGTACCTCGCGCAGCCGCCGCCGCCAGGACCACCGCGCCCCTGCGTAGCGCGAGCCGACGCACACCACCGCCCAGATGACATCGACACAGGATCGCCCCCCATCGAGCCCCGTGCCGGGGGGCTCGCTCGAACAGGACCTCGCCTACTACAAGTCGCAGTATGAGCAGCTCGAGAGCGAGCTGCAGGACTTCCAGGCCTCCAGCCGCGAGCTGGAGTCGGAGCTGGAGAAGGACATCGAGGCGTCGGAGAAGCGCGAGCGCCAGCTGAAGGAGAAGCTGGAGGCCATGGGCTTCGAGGTCGAGGAGTGGAAGGTAAGTCCACCTCCAATGTCGCGGTTGAGCGCAATCGCGACCCTTTGGCCGTCGCGGTGCCTCGGCTCTGGGGCCCGTGGCAGACCCCGTTCCAGGGGGCCTGTGTCGTCAACGACGTGAACGGCAGCTAACGCGCATCGTTCCGCGTGCCAGGCCAAGTACAAGCAGTCCAAGACCGAAGCCAATGGAGCGCAAAATGCCCTCCAGAAGGAGATTACCACGCTCCGCGAGACCAACCGCTCCATGCAGCTCCGCCTGCGCGACATCGAGGTCGCCAACGACGACTTCGAGCGCCAGGCACGGAACCAGACCTCGTCGTTAGAAGACCTCGAGCAGAAGTACAACATCTCCATCGAGCGCGGCGTCATGCTCGAGGAGGAGATCAAGGCAGGGGAACAGGAGCGTGAGGAACTGCGGATAGAGAACCAGCGGTTGCGTGACGAGCTTGCCGATATCTCCATCGAAGCCGACATCGTCAAAGAGAAGCTTCGCGTCGCCGAAGATACCATCTCCCGTCATCGTGCCGAGAAGACTCACGCCCTCGTCACTGCCGACCACGGCAGGTCGCGGTCGCCTGTGTCGGAGACGTCGACTTCGGCTACGACCGTGTCGTCGCCTACCACCTCCACACCGCCACCGACGAAGTCCAACCGCACCAGCGCCACAACTCCACCATCCCCCAACTTTGCGGAGTTCATGGATCGCTCCAAGGATATGCGTGGCGTCGCGTCCCAGCGTAAAGGCTCCATCGCCTTCCACGACAACACGCCACGTCCCAGAGACTTTGGCCCACAGCGCACGCGGCACAATCGGGCCCCGTCGATGCCCTGGAGTTCGGCGAGTGGACGCTCCTCACCTACACGGGCACGCAGACCTACTCAAGGCCATTCGTACAAGCCTAGCCGTGATGGGGCCCTCCCTCGCTCGGGCTCCTTGTATCAGATTCGTGGGCTGATTGGCAAGATGCAGAAGCTCGAGGCCCGCGTCCACAACGTGCGCAGCAAGCTACCTGCACCTACCAACACGCCGCCACGCGCCAGCCCTCGCGGTGGCAGCGCTCAGAGCAACCACTCGCACATGCCATCCAACGTCACGGTCCGCTCAGCCGGTAGGCAACGGACCAGCGGAAGCACTAACAGCTCTGTCAAGGACGGCGAGGACAACAACACCATGGGTGTCTCGAGGTTGAACTTTGGTGCATCCGTGGCGAAGACTAACAGCATCTCGGGCTTCATGAGCGCCCCCAGCGACACGCTGAGTGCCAGCAGCCGTCCCACCAGCCGCGGCAGCGAGCGCAGTGGAGTTAGCGGCGTCAGCAACGGCTACGGTCGCCCCATCTCCCGTGGCAGCGGCCGGCCTCCGTCACGCAACAGTCAGGGTCGTGGCACCCCGCTAGGCCACTTCTCCACTAACAACACAACCGAAGCCCGCCGCCCGCGCACCAGCGCTGCCAACTCGAGTTTCTGGAACAATGACAGATATGGCGGCCCCGCCCGGCCAATGACACGCACCAGGGCCAACACCCGCTCTCAGTTCGACGATCTCGATGAGCCCGGGTCGACCCGCGAGTCCACACCGATCACTCGCAAGCACGACTTCAGCCGCAGTGTTGGCTCAAACACCTCGGGCATTCCCACCCCGAACGGTCTCGGCACCGGCATTCCCACTCCCTCTGGTCTACCAAGGAGAAAGAGCGTGTCGGCCGCCAAGAGCCGCAGGCCAAGCATCGACCAGGGTGTGGGCATCCCGCCGGTGCCCCCGATTCTACGGGCCCACACCAGGCAATTGAGCGAAGTCGGAGAGACTTGGTAAAGAATGATCGAAAAAGATGAATACGCAGCGATCCGGTCAATCTGGGAAATCGAAGTGCTCGGCCAGATCGGAGATGGAGATTCCAGGGGGATTGTGGAGCATAGAGTGCCACGAGGCGTGGGGCTACGAGGCGCTGTCCCTGCCCCCAGACCGGACACCGCTTGCGTCCGAACAACGACAACATGACCTAAAAAAAGCTTTCATGCTTTTCCTATCATCATCAAGACTTTTTTTTGAATCCGACCCATCACAGCAGAGTTCAGCCTTTTGATCCGGGAAGGGAAAAGACGGGCTTGAAATTCACAGATTGTCCTCCGGTTTTTTGTTTGGCGAGGACATGGGGCGGGATTTCAAGGCGTCTTTGGCGTCCTGGCGTTGCAAAGCATTTTTCGTTTTCTGGTTGGGTTTTATCTCGGAACCTGGGGCTGGCGCTTTCCATCTGCTGTTGCCATTCACTGCTGCTTTCCGCGTCATTTTCCTCTACCGTTCTTGCACAGAACCTTCACACAGACTCGACACATTGGCGAAACTCTCGAGTCGCGACCACCTTTCCTTTTTCCTACAACACAAAACTCCACAACTATTAGGCCGACCTTTTGACTTTGCATCACCTGCTACTCTCTCAGTCGTGGCTTTCTGGCCCAACGACTACCCTTGTCGTTTTCCTCTTTTTTTTTCGGGTACATAAGATCATCAGTTCATCCGCATGATACCCCCTCCTCTTTCTTGTTTTTGCTGCTTTTCCGAAGACTGCTGCTATACGCAAACAAACACTCTACATCAAAACCGACCAACTGGCGGTCCCATTTTATTTTCACGACCATCAAGCCAGGACCAGACAACGTTCAATCATTCAGACACATTTTTTTCCTACAACTTTTTCCTTTACAAACAAAACCAAACAAAACCTCGTACGATCCTTCCGAATTTCATTATCATGTTCCTTCCTCTCTTATCACACCGACCTACTACAAGACAAATTGCCTGAGAAAACCGTTTCTTTGAACCAACCTTTTTCTCCTCTTCTCTTATTTTTTTTCTTCTGCCCAATTTGAAATTCTTTTCGGTTGTACAGATTTCTTCTTTCGCTTCTTGCTTATCTGATTCTTCGGCAGCTTGGAGGGTTTTTTTCAATTTTTTTCTTCTTTCCTTTGAGGACGAGGAGAGGGGGTATGGAATATTGACGGCGGAATTCTCTATCTCTCTTTTTCTTTATCTTGGGCTTGCTTGGCTGGAAACAAAAAGGAAATCAAAAAAAGGAAAATAAAACAAAAAGGCCAACCAAGGGAACAGGAAAATAAAAAGGGAGATGAAGAAGGAACATAAGTGAGATGAAGGCACGACAAGGGAGGGTTGCTGGTGGGGGGAATTAGTTGTTTGTTATCTGTATCTGTTTCTTATTCTGGGCTGGGAAATTGCTTGTTTTTGAGATTTGATTTTTTTGCGCGCGCTTTGGAGGAGGGGAAATAGGAACTCTAACAGAAGTTACCTACCGCCGCTGTTGCTGCTACTACTGCTACTACATAGTTTACTACCTTGCCTACCCTTAGAGTGGTTAAAAGGGGGGTTGTATATGTGGGGTTTGTGTGCGCGCAAGCCGTAGGGATTAGAATGATTGAAAGACAGATAGCACCAAAAAAAAAATGGAATGATGGAAAAAATTTAAAAATTCGGAGCGCCATGGTTTCGTGATTGTGTGGTTCTTTTGTACGTTGAGGACGGCGTGGGTTTCAAAAAAAAAAAAAAGTGTGTGATGTTGCTCAACTCTATACGAAGCTTTCAAGCTAGAATCCTACCATTTTACAGGGAGAATATTGAGAACTACCTCTAGCTTACACTAGACCCCGCCTACAAGATGGTGCAATAGTTAATGGAGCCCCTTCACCCCAAACCCAATACGTGTAGGGTACAAGTGCAACGGCACTGACCACAAGGTCCTTTCCAAATTGTCCAAGACCATCCATCATCTCCCTGAATTCGCGGTTCTTCATATGCTGTTCGATCTGCCGTTTGGCCATAATCACAACAACATCTCTTAAGCCCTTGTCGCTTTCTGGAGTGGCCTCATAGACAGCCTGGATAGCTGAAGCGAGGATATGGCTTTTCTTGATGTACTCGCCAGCCAACCAAAAGCGTTTTTTAGCGTGCTCTTTTAGGCCATTGATTGCGTAGATTTCTCCCAGTGTGTACACAGAGACGTGGAACAAAAGGGATTCTTCTTTCTCGCCATACGGACTTGAATAGTCTTTGGAGTATAGGTAGTCGAGCATGGCTTTCACTTCGGAGGGGTCATCGTGGGTGAGCGCAATGACACCTTCCTTGGATTCCTGCGGAGAAATCTTTTGTTTAGCAGCGGTATAGATTGGGGTATTTCTAGTAGCCTACCTTGAAGCCTAGCTGTGGATCAAAGGACTTGGCTAGGACCTCGCTCTGGCTCAAGACTGCTTTGTGGCATTTGTAGGTGTTATCGTTTACATCAACGACGTCAATGTCCGGATCGGTCTCTGAGTCGAATCTGTGCTCGCTTAGCTCGAATCGGTGAAAGAAGGTTGATGGGACGAACTCATACCTGTACACCTGGGGCATCGGTTCAGCCGCCTGGCACGTGCAAATCCTTTGTTCTTTTGACATCATGAGGCTTTGCGGTGTTTCAAAGCCTTTCTTGGAGGAAGAAGGGTTCTTATATCTGCTTTGTTTGCTCCAGGTGTTGTGTTCAAAGTGATTTGGAGCCACGTTTGCAGTGTTTGAGAATCGCGGAAAGATTGAAAAGAGCCCTGGCTCTGCTGGAGCCTGTCCCACGGTTAGGCTGGGGAAAATAAGGGTTCGTGGCGGAACAAATATGGAAACCGCGAATTCAGCACTACACGTGGCAGCCAGCACCGGCAGTGTTGAAAGCCTCATCATCATGATTCCGAATAAGTCACCTGAATTCAAAAAACGTTACATAATGCAGCATAATACCATCTATATTAATATCGAGCGAATTCTGGAGAAACAGAGTCCGGTATCCCATTGTCGACGACGCACTGGTATGCAATGTTGCAAGATCGTGATCGTGTTCTTCCTCACTTTAGTAATGCGGTGCTAGATCCGTAGGTCATCATGAGACCCCTTTTCCCGGTTCTGACTGCGAAACAGGCGCTGGTAGACTGCTCCTTCTGTTCAGTGGCCTGCGCGCAACGTGTCTCCCTTCTCACCTGTACCCTCCGCCCATGTTCTTCAGTCCGACATCGAGAACTACGGCCATCTTCATCAAGAACAGAAATCACGATGCCATCATGCATACTAAACCCGGCGTTCTATAAGCAGCTTATCAGGTAAGCGCTTCTAATCACTGCTCGTGAGACATGCTCACCAGGTTGTACAAGAGATTTGACGGCAAATGTAGCGACTTGTGGCTTCGGTCAGCGGATGGAGCTATCTTCGCCGTGCACAGACTCATCGTCTGCACTCAGAGCGACGTTATCAAGAAGCTACTCGTTGACGCGGAGACCGAGAGCCATGAGGTGACAGGAGCCGCCAACTTCATAACGCATACCAATCATACTAGGCGATCATTGATCTAAAGCTGCCTGAGCCTGTCGTTCGAGCCCTTGTCGACTATATGTACATACATAGCGGATTACTCGGACGACGTCCAAATCACGCTGCATTGCGAAGTTTATGTCGCTGCACACTCTTTCCGAATCGAGGCACTTGAATCGCTGGCGTTTGACAAAATCAGTCGACTACTACAAAATGATTGGTCAGCCCAGCAGCCCTTCTTCTGTCCCATCATTGAGTACATCTGGTCTCGTGGTCCGGACCAAGATGCACGACTCAGACCACTCCTGCTTGACCTGACTAGGACCCACTATGAGGAGCTCTGTGTTTTCTCAAATTTGTCTGAGTGTCTCAGCCGGACTAGCGGGTTTATAGGGGATTAGGCCAGCTTTTTGAAGGCTCTACGTAGGTAGTATGATCGTTCGTGCAGGCACTTTAGTCTTAGATGAATCTGACTTCCATCCTGTTGAAAATTGATGTCCATCGTCATGTTTCTTGTGATATTGCACAGTAGTATTGCAGCTGAAAGCAACAGGAGTTTGGTTTAATTCGCTCATGCTATGGGGAGCTGAAGCTATCGTCCGGATGTAAATGTAGCATTAACAATTATACATTTCCATCCGGACGATAGCTTCAGCTCCCCGCATATGTTTTTTTTTAAAACAAAAACGGTTGGGAAATAACTACTATGTTCCTTACGCTAGCGGACCGGCTTTAGCATTCTTTAAGTTGGAGCTCCTTTGTCTGAAATTCTGGAATTTCTTTTACACGCTGAGCCGGAACCAGCATTCAGAATCTTTGTCTGGAAGTTCGCTTCTCAAGATTTTCCCCCCATACCCTAAAACTATACCAATTGCAATCTCCAGCCCACGGGGGATCAGCGCCCCTCAGTGGGCGGGCCGACGTGGAGACGAAAATGCGGGGTACTTCGTACATGGACGTTGTGGAGGCCCGGGTATATCCACACGCATTTTCCGCCTTCGCCCAGCCAAGCAAAGCTTGCGCACCTTACCGCCGTCATCAGCCAGTCTCAAGCAGCCCATTACCACCACTACTACGCGGGATTCCTTCGGTTCCGAGCACAGTTTACGAGTCTAAAGCTACGATTCCCGGATCGGCATGCCGCAACCGGCAACATCCCAGTCGCGGCACCGGGTCGGGAAGAAACCCCGCCAACGGGTGAGCCGGGCCTGCGACCACTGCAAAGCGTACGTCCTGGAGCTTTAATTGTATTTTTCTTTCCCCTCTTTCATACCCTCTTCTTTCTTCTTTTCCCTTTTGGCTTATTGTGAGAGGAAAAGAAAGAAGAGCCGCTGCACCGGCATCAAACCTTGTGCGCCATGCTCGGCTCTCGGCTTGCCGTGTCGGTTCACCGCGCCGTATGCTCGAGGCCGGCCGCCGACGCCGCCGTCGGAAGCGTCGCCCAAGGATCTATCCGAGCACCCGGTCCAGGATCGGGGCGAAAGGACAGCGACCCGTGCTGGATACCGCCGTACTGCTTTTAGCACATCGCCCCATGCTATCAGTACCGTTGAACCTTCGTTTTCCCCATATGACAACAGCCCCGCGGCGGCTCTCCAAGCCACTACTGCTGCCGCTGGCGGGGACAGGGCTGTCTCAAACACTCCGCTGGTGCCAGAGCCGGAGACCGAAGATTTCGCTGGCGTGATTACTGGGCAGGAGGGACATTACGTGGGCGCTTCCTGCAACGTATCCTTCTTTTTGCGGTTGCAGCGGCGGCTACGGGATGGAGGAGGAGCGGGAGAAAGCCTGACGCCGCAAACTTCGATCTTCACTTCCGGCGATGCACCTCTCCCGGCTTTTAATCCCCATTCCTTTACTTCCCCATCCAAGGTGGAAGCCGCGGTGCTCCTGAATAGATATTTTGATATCGGTTCGCCTACATACCGCTACCTCGACAGAGCGTCGGTTGAACAATGGCTCGAGGATGCCTACAAGCCCGGGTTTCAGCAAAGTCCGGCTAAGATGGCGGTTTTGTTGGTCCTGTTTGCGACGGCAGCGCGGTATGCGGTAGGTACGGCACAGAAGTCGGAGTTCTATGAGGGGTGAGTTACCCTGCCACAGCGTGAAGTCTTCTATCTTTAATGGAGAATTGCCAGGGTCCGTTATTTTCAAGCATCAGAGCTTCAGCTCCAGGATGAGAAAGGACCAATAGAACTGGAAAGTATCCAAGCACGCCTGGGCCAGTGCCTCTTCCTTCTGACATGTTCTCGTATTAACCATTGCTGGAGTCTCTTCGGGACCACATCACGCCTTATCATTGCCCGAGGGTTTCATCGAAGAGCTTCGAAGTCCAAGATGACGGATCCGTTTATGAAACGTATCGAGGAAGAGTGCAAGAGAAGACTGTTTTGGTGTTCCTACAATTTGGACAAGTACCTCGGTGCTATGCTGGGGAGGCCATGTGTATTCCACGATGAGGATATCGACCAGGTAACCATGACCAATATCTACTTTTGTCTTTCGAAATCTAAGACTTACCACAGGATTATCCTTCCATGACCGTCTACAATCCAGATCTGGGTGTGTGTCTGCCAACCGAAGAACCCAATCGCCGCATTCTGATAGCACCAGTCTTGCACTTCAAGTACGCGCCCTGCACTTTTTCCGCCATCCAGGCTCCTGGCTGATATGTTTCACTCCGCAGGCTGGTCCGCATCGTTAGCCGTGCGCTGCGCGAGATGTATAGCGTCCGGCCTCCGACACAAAAGCGCAGTGCCCTGATCAGGAGGCAGTTGAATGACAGCCTGAAGGCCTGGAGAAAAGAGCTACCGGCCTTTCTCGATCCGGACCAGGTGGATGCCAGACTGCTCGTGCCCAATTTTCAGCGGCAGAGCAATATGCTCAGCTTGGCATATTCTCATGCGGTGATTCTCGTAAACAGAGGCTCGCTCATGAACAAGCTTAGGAAAAGCGACGTCAGCTCCGACACGGCTGGAGACGAGGAGGACTCGAATATGAAGGCCTGCCTGTCCGCTGCCATGTCGATACTGAACGATGTGGATCAGATACGGCGGGGTGGGAAGATACTGCCCGCATGGTGGGTAAGTGAAAAAACGAAGCTGTTCTCTCCGCGTCCCTGAATTGACAACGCTTTCTCCCGCCAGTTCACACAATACCAAGCCTTCTGCGCCGTCGTCATCATATACACATACACCGTCCATGCTGCATCGTCCATGGTCCAAGAAACGCAGACGAGGCATTTCCAGGCCGCGGAGCGCTGCCAGGCACACATCGAGGCTATCGCACAAGACGGAACTCTCGCGCAGCGCTACTTTATTGTCATGGAAGAGTTCCGCTTGGAGGCCGTGGACCACATGAGCAGAAGCAAAGCCAAGACAGACGGCGCCATTGCTGGACCGCTTGGTAGCGGCACACCATCGACGAACCTCTTTACGGACGAGGAGCTTATCCGGGTGATGAATGGCTTCATTGATCCTGGGGTGTCCCTGGGAGCCATGGGCCTTGATGAATGGCCGGACCTCGACGGAATGGTATGTACAGTGATAACGCGAATGGGAACATAATATGGGAAGTCAAAGCATGTTGCTGATTCATGTGCAGGATATCGGAATCAATGATGATATGAATGAGGCGGTCCGCTTTTGAAGAACCTGTAAGTACGAAAGAATATCTGTGGACGGAGGCCGTACGAGCATCGGAACAATAAGGTTGTTCGGTTCGAGGCTACTCAGCACTCCCGCTCGGAGTGGCTTGTTTCAGGCTTGTGGCAGGGTCTGGCGAAGGAACGAAAGAATCTACAGGGGAGTCCCATAGCCGAAGACTAGCGTGAAGAATAGTAAGACCCCAGGCATAACTATACCCCAGCTCTTTTCTTAGAAAATTAACAAATGTGGGTAGCTGAAGCTATCATCCTGATGTGTATATAGAATTTTAAATTCGACATTTTCGTCCGGACGATAGCTTCAACTACCCACGACATGAACCAAAATCCACGCTTGCCATCGGCTACAAGAGGGGACTGTGGGTCTCCAATCCTCCATATTACAGGCAGGGATCACAAGCGGATTAGCAAGCCGCTTCGTACCCCACCATAGCAATGCCGTGAGTAAAGCACAGACCAAAACCTCGTAAGCATATATAAACATGTCACTCCATCCAAAAACCCGGGCACTCCGCCATTCCCTAGAACTCCCACAAACTCCGGCAATAGCCTCCACGACCCTCACCATGGAACCCGCCACCTCCACGGCCCCGGCCGCGCCACGAAACCCCCTCACCATCGACCACACCATCCTGGCCCCCAACTCGCTCGTCCTCGTCACCGGCGCCAACGGCCTCATCGCCTCGCACATCATCGCCCAGCTCCTCGCCGCCGGCTTCCGCGTCCGCGGCACCGTGCGCTCGCTGGAAAAATCCGCCTGGCTGCTGCCGCTCTTCAACGGGCCCTCCTTCTCCCCATCCTCTTCCTCCTCCCCTTCCCCCTCTTCCCCTTCGGGCTCCACCTCCCCCTCCCCCTCCCCCTCCTCGACTTCCACCCCGCCCCGCTTCGAGCTCGTCGCCGTCCCGGACATGGCCGCGCCCGGCGCCTTCGACGACGCGGTACGCGGCGGCGTCGCGGCCGTCGCGCACGTCGCGTCGATTATCTGGAACGACGGTGCCGCGTCCGCCGACGCTGTTATTGGGCCGGTCGTCGCGGGTGCGGTTGGCGTGCTCGAGTCGGCGGCGAAGGAGCCGTCTGGCAGCGTGAAGCGGGTTGTGTATACGAGCAGCAGCTTGGCGGCGTACACGCCGGCGGTGCGGGGGGACGATGTCGACGACGGCGGCGTAGGAGGAGCAGCAGTAGGAGAAGGAGGAGTAGGAAGAGGACGAGAAGTCAGCGCGGCGACGTGGAACGAGGAGACGGTGCGGGCTGCGTACGCGGAATTGGGGCCGGGCGCGGGCATGGAGGCGGTGACGCGGCGGGCGTTGGATATCTACGGGGCGAGCAAGGCGGAGGCGGAGCGGGCGGTGTGGCGGTGGGTGGAGGAGCATGAGGGGAAGGTCGGGTTCGAGGTGAATTCGGTGCTGCCGAATGTCAATTTCGGCCGCAGCGTGGATCCGGACCATCAGGGCTATCCGTCGACGATTGGGTGGCCGGTGATGCTCGCGACGGGGACGATGCCGGAGATGCTGTGGGATGCTATTAGGCCGCGTGAGTAGTTTTCTTTTTTTAATCCCCTCTCGAGTACTTACCCGGCGGTGGCGGCGGATGCGCTGACGATGGGGGACGCATACAGAATACTGGGTTGATGTCGAGGATACAGCGCTCTTGCACGTTGCTGCGCTTACTCGTCCGGATATTAAGAATAGACGCATCTTTGCGTTCGCGGGCAGGTACAACTGGAACACGCTGCTGGCGGCGTTGCGGAAGATGTACCCGGAGAAAGAGCTTTACCCTGACAGGGATGGCCTAGGCCACGATTTGACTAGGATCATTGACGCGCCGTGGGCGGAGCAGATCTTGAAGGATATGGGAAGGCCGGGGTGGAAGAGCTTGGAGCAGAGTTTGAGGGAGAACTTGGAGGCTGTGCAGGTGTGATGCTTTTCATATCTTGCGCGATTGTCCACCAATGATTCTGAAACCAGAACTTCAGCGCCTGGGGCCAACAGCTGACAGCTTCAGTTCAAATTTACATAGCTTCATAGCCCCTCTGGACCGCTCACAGAGCTTGGCAGACGTTGCATCTGGGTTAACTCAGAGTCTCCCCACGGCCGCTGCCCCCAAAAATCGAGCAGAATTTCCAGTCCTCATTTTATAGAGGTACCTACGGCTGTTCAAACATGCCCCGAAGGCTCTTCAAATATGTAGAACCTCGCCGGATATTCAGAAGATTTGGTTTTCGCGGAAAGGTCTTTATGTACAGCGCCGAAACTCTGTAGCAATTTCGTGAATTCAAGCCCCGGATGATCAACAGCATGCTTTATCGGCGACCGGCCTGTATTGTCCTGCCAATTAGGATCTGCGCCAGCTTTAAGCAAGGCTCTGGCAATTTCAATTGAACGGCCATCAGCCACCGCGTGGAAGAGAGCGGTCTTCCCGTCGAAATCGGAGTGGTTCAGAGGCGTCTTTGCGTTAATGAGTCGTATGGCCGCCTCTCTTTGACCGTTGGCGACGGCTAGGATCAAAGCTGTTCGACCGAAAGAATCTTGGTTCTCCACCCTCGAGCCAGACTGGATCAAGAAGTCTACCATATCTGCACGGCCAAACCACGCAGCATTGAAGAGCGATTTGCCCAAGCTTTCCCCGTTATGGATCAAAAGCCGTGCCAGGTCTACGTTGCCATTAGATGCAGCAATATCTAGTGTTGTCCAGCTGTTGAAGCCCGGCAACGTCGCCCTGGCTCTGTTTGAAAGTGGAAACCGACCTGGAAGTGTACTCATCAATCTGCCTCTCCTACCCCGATCCGGATATTTTGCCAGAAACATTTTCTCCGGGTCAGCATTTGCGTACAATAGTTTGGCAACTATCAATGGATGCTGCGCAATAACTGCAAGGTGAAGTGCTGTAGCACCGCCCATTCTTTCCAGGTTGACATTCGCCCCTGCGTCTAGTAGCGCTTCCACCACGCGCTCTTCCCCGCAAAAGCTTGCAAGATGGAGCGCAGTGTTCCCATAAATATCCTGGGTATTCACATCTACTTTTGCATGGATCAAGTCCATTGCAATTTCGAATGCAAACCCAATAATGGCATACATGAGTGGTGTCCTACCCTCGCGATCCCAAACTTCCAACGACGCTCTTGGACAATTAATCATGCGTTGAAGAGGTGCTTTGAGACCTGACAGTGCGAGGAAGTGAATCAAGCTTGAACCACACAAGGCAAAATGCCAGACGTTCGTTGCAAGTTCGTTGTGAAAAGTATTTTTCACGTTCCAAATCCTTAAGAACGTATGTTGTAGCTCGTCCAAACTCTCCGAATGGCTCAATCCGTTATGGAAACGGACACAGATTTGGAGGAATCTGTCGGAATCAGGCCACGAGAAATAGTCCAGTAGGTCGCATTGCTCGTACTGATCGGGGAGATTTTGCCACTCCGTTTCATCTTGGGTTGTGGGGCCTTTGTAGTCCCGATAGCATCTGGGAAGAGGATGCCGTTCGCTTTCAATTTCAAGAATGTGGTGTATCCAGCAGCCCCACCAGTACCTGAAACGGCTGCCAAGTTCACGTGACGAATATGAGCCCAGATCATCTTGTATGTCGTGGTCGTCTCGATCAAAACTCTCGAACTCCGGCATGAACAGCATCCTTAAGCATGACCTTGAGAGCTGAAAATGCGCACGGACGTTTATGCTGCTTGATATTGTCGTATCCTGAACCACTTCAAGTGTCTGGATACCAGAATCCAAAAGATAATCGACAACAGATTGGTGAATGAAATGGACGTCGGTTGGCTCTGGGTGGATCAAAAATTCAGAAATGTTGACCGGGTCTCTAACTTCAATAAGCCCTTTGGAAAGATCCATGATTCGGGCTTCTAGATCGTTTGCGTCCGTAAAATACTTTCCAAATGAGTAATCCGAGATTGAATTTTCTGGCATGTCGTGACTGAGAGCCATTGCGTGCTGTAGCTCGGGAAGTTTAAGGGGTCTCTTCGCGAACAGAATCCACTGAAATAACCTGATGGCTTGTACGCGGTCATCCCCATCCAGTTCACTCAAAAGAGCCTCGTATAGTTGGTACAGGTCCGCTTGACCTTCTTGAAAGGTTGAAAAGACAGTCCGGAAAGGCTTCCCTTTTTTCCTTTGGCGAACAGCCCGATCGACCACGAGGGTTGCCCAATGGAAGATGCCTTTGGAGTTTTTGACAATCTTTGTTTTGAACATCGTTTGCTCCTCAGGTGCTAATTGTTGGAGAATGTCGTCGATTACCGTCTGGATGTCCCGGCGGTTATGCTCCTCTACAGACACGGCTACTGCATGGCTCAGACGCAAATCGGGATAATGGCGACAAGAGAAGCAGACCTTGATCTTTGAGTTAGACTTGCTGAGGCCGTCAAGCAATCCGTCGAAGTCACGGATTATTTTCCGTGCTTCTTCTTCCCCGGCCTCATCAAGGGCATCAACAAAGATCATAATGGACTTCGTTTCACTGCCGAGTTTCAAAGCGTCAAAAAGATGAGACCTGATGTCTTCCAGGGTCCACCTCCATTTCTCGCCATATTTTCCACGTGTGTCGGTTCTGTTCTGGAAATCCCAGATCAGGCCTTGGAAGGCGGTCGAAAGGGGCTGGTAGAGCTGATGGATCAGGGCACTATAAAGCCCCATCCGCGACTTCTGCAGTGGCACTCCCTGTCCGTAGATAAAAAAGGAAGCCACTACATGCGTTTCAGTGTTTTCTCTTGTCAAGCGTTGCACCACGCGTTTCATTAGCATCGACTTCCCTGACCCAGGCTTTCCACCGATCCAGAAAAGTCCAAGAGAACTTTGCAGCCACGAGCAGAAGTCTTCATGCTCGAATATCCAGTCACAGGTTCCTTCTGCTGGCTGGAGCGCGTGGGCGCGTGAGTCTTGTTCCAGGAATGACAATGACTGCAAGCATTCTGATGATGAGTAAGCACTGCTCATTTTCCTTTGAATTTGGACAAAACAATCACTTACCGTTTTTCAACTCTTCACGCTTCTCTAGAGTTAGGGAGTTGGGCGAGATACCGGGATATGTGGTAATTCCCACTATGCTCCTAGTATTAGAATTGTTTCTTCTTTGTGTATTCAGACACATTGGTAGTCCACTAGATCTCACCTATCGCATGGCGCCTCGGGATGACTTCTGCAGATTTCAGTGCAAAGTCTTTGAGTCGTTTGCGAATCGAGGAGTATCCTCTGTCGTGCTTGTTGGGGAATTTGACCATTTCCGAGTGCGTTCGGTTCATGGCAAGAGTATTCTGAATTTCGGTTTCCCAAGTTCTCAGGCATTTTGCAGAGTCTTTGCTGACGAAAACCGTGGCTGGTCCCTCCATTTTCCAGACTCCTTGATCGTTCTACAGCACATAGTCAGCCTGTGAAACAAACTTTCCAAAGATTCAGACGCACCTGTTGTGCCGTAGGTGATCGCTTCGTTTCATAGCAGCATAATATCTCAGAATCCGGAAATGCGAACGCCTCAAGGAATAGACTTGTCTGTTCCTGGAGAACTTCTGACTCTGCTCGTAGCGTCTCTAACAGAAATCGATTTGGTTGATTTCCGACCATGGGAACGAGGCTCTCCATGGACATACCCTGGTTTGGTACGCCGAATAAGAGGATTCCGTATATTGAAAGCCGATTTTTCCGGTCAATATCGTCTCCTCGTAGCATCTGGATGACTGCCTGTACGCAGTTGATGTGAATAAAGGCAGTGGAATTTTATTCTTTTTAATCTCACATTACTCACCTCCTTTATTATGACTCCTCCTAAACTGTGTCCAAGAAGAACGAGAGGCTTATCGGCGAATTGCGCCTATTGCAATCAGGACCGTGTTAACTTTGACCGTCTCTCTCAAGCCACTAGGCTCTCACAAGGAACTTACCCTGATCTCGTTCAGGGTAGAGCGGAGTCCATGACCAAGATGGCTTAGATTCTGGAAGGAGTTCCCTTCTTGAAGCGTCGTGTCAGTTCCATACACGATAACTCTGGCACCAGGTAGGTCTTTTGGCAAAGCATCCCGAAGCCACATGAAGCTACCGCCTCGAGCTTTGAACGATCCGAATGCGTGGCCTCCCAACCCGGAGACTGCAACTAGGCTGGGATAAAAAGGTCAGGTGACATCCATATGTGTTTCTGAGCTTTAAATCTTACTCCAAGTCCCATTTTTCGTACGACGGCATGTGGAGCGGAGTAGGGCCGAGGAAATTGGTGTCAAACAGCAATGAGAGGTCCTCATCGTTGTAGACCGTGTCGAGACACCACTCATCACCTTTTGCTGTGCTTTTGAATGCTATGGGGACAGGAGAAATTTCCACGGTTGCCACGTCTTCGTCTAAGTTGTCAAGGTCACTGGCCAAAGAGCGGACACGAATGTTTACGTCGTTGCAGTTCAACGTGTTTTGTACGAGGATCTCGACATCCTTCTTGCAAAGCCCTGCTGGTATGCCTCGCAGTCTGAAAGTCTTGCCTTCCGAGGGAGCCATAGCCGATAACGGATGAGTGGCCAACAAAATTCGGTATGACCGCTGGACTCCACGACAATGGACGTTTTAATGAGACGGATGACGGAGAACGTCAGGGAGGCGAAAGACATTTCATTGTGCGGGGTTTCCAACTCCAATACCATCAGCAACAAGATGAGTCACATGCAAGCGATGCAGCAAATTATTGGGCTGCGGCGTATGTAGCAACCTTGGTTTTGCAGGGGCTGATTGGCAGCTGAGCGGGCAGCCCGTGTGCGCAGCAATGCACGCTCGGCTAGCAGAGGAATTGACTGGTCACACAAGCTGACGGCCCCCACGAAAATCTTCGAGAAGCTTGGTATTACGACTCCTGTCATTCGCTTCGAGTCAACCGACCTGGCTCTCAAGAAGGTCGACTCCGATCTCAAGCGAACGAGGCGTCGAATGCTCGCCGAAGCCGATGGCTAGCGCGAAGAATAGCGGGATCCTCGAGTGTAACTATGCCTCATCTTTTTCTTTTCAAACACAAAACAACGTATGGGTAGTTGAAGCTATCGTCCGGACGTATATGTAGAATTTTTAATTCGACATTCTCGTCCGGACGATAGCTTCGACTACCCATGACATGAGCAAAAAAACATATCCACACTAGCCATCGGCTGCGAGAGAGGACTGTAGGAAAAGCCGGCAGCTTTCTAAGTCTAAGCTTTCCAGGAGTTCGCTCACACGGAGTTCGGCATCTGGAAGAGTAAAATCTTGGTCGACCTCTAGAACGGCCAAAAGCTGAAGGAAGGTATAAGCTCGATCAGCAAGTCGTTCACTGAATATACGTTGAACTTGGTCCAGAAGCTACTTTCGGCGGGATTCGATGCGACGGATATTCTCGTGGTGACACCGTATGCTGCGCAGAAGAGGCAGTATATGGGAGGCTTGCGCCACATGAGCGCAAAGAACGTCGTCTGGGCTGTAAAGGCTCACGGCGAACTCAAGATTACCACGGTCGACGCTATCCAGGGTGGAGAAGCGGTCATTGTTATTGTCGACCTAGTTGCTGCAGGTGAGACGGCTTCACCCTTCGTCCAAGACTACAGGCATCTGAGCGTCGCTGTCAGTCGCGCTCGCGATGGCTTGATCATCGTCGGCGATTCGAAGAGTGTCGACCAGGATACACTGAAAGACGCCACGGCAGCAAACTCCAAGACCAACAAAGTCAAGAAGCTCTCAAAGAGAGACCTGTACACTTCTATTTTCTTTCAGGCCCAGAAGTAGGAGTGGGTTTTCGCGGCCGACACACCTGAGAATGCTGGACAGCTGTGGTTGACCGACTACACGGAGGAGGTCACCACGAACACTGTCAATGAAGACTGGCAGAACGCGACCGGCGATACCTTCGCGGCCGGTGACTGGAACGAGAATGGAGACTCTGGTGGCAGCGGGTCGGGCAATGCCGGTGATAGCGCTCCCGTCGAATGGTGATGGGTATGGACACCTCGGTGCTGGCGGCGACTTGACGATTACCTTTTCCAGAAGCTGTAGCTTCGTCCACTCTTTCAGAAATTCATTAACTGGAAAGCTTTTTCTCTATTTCAGTTGACGACTGGGTCCTCGTCCATTCCTTCAAGAGCTTTTTACACGATAGCGCAGGCATTTCTTTGTCTGACCTTAGGTGGCGATAGCGACTGCGGCAGACTTACATCTGCTACTCTATAGAAATCAGAGAGAAAAGAAAAGGGGGGGATATGTCCCCATTCCACTCTTTAACAATGTCTTGCCTGCATTAAGTGTGAAGTTGGACGTGACAAGTATCATGGAAAAATTTTGAAGTTTAATAGTCCCATTCCACGTAACAAAACGGACGAACGTTCGCCTTCGGGTCCGTGTTACTGGGCCGAATCAGCGTAAGCGATTTCAGTCGAGAGCCATGCGAGATGGGCGGTAAGTCTACACACAGGAAGTCTTGATAAGATGCGGTACTTCATTCTACACTGGACGGGTAACTCGATCTCCTTTGAGTGGTAGTAATGGTTTTGAGAGGAAGTAATGTTTGATCTATTATCACTAAACTCGATAACTTATAGCATGAACTCGTGGAAGCGACGACACCGGACCCTTGACCTTGACCATCTCCAAGATCCACCGATTAACCGGCCCTGCAGCCAGTCCTGCCAGCGAAATGAGTGATGAAGTTGTTAACCATGCAGTCGATGGCGGCCTTGCCAGCGGGGCCGGCGACCTCGTTTTGATCGACGACCCAGCTGTTGACGGCCGAGCTGTGGTAACACGCGATATTGTTTTGAATGGCAGCGCAGTCTGGGAGATGTTAGTCAGGAATAGAGGCTGCGGGCTGAAGTAGCCTTACTGGTGGCAGGGTCGGCCTTCTTCCAGAACGACTCGCAAGCGACCGCCTTCATGTCGACGTTGGCCTTGCTCGTCGAGAAGGCAACGCGGTAGCGCCTCAGGCCGCTCTCGGCCCAGTTGGAGATAATGGCGGCATTGACGACGCAGTCATCGCGGGCCTCTGTTGCTCAATCGTTAGGTTTTTGCTTCTTGGGTATGGGCTATGTTCTTACCAAGGGCTTCAGCGGGGGCAGCTGCAGAGGAGGAGATGAAGAGACCGAGGACGGCGGTGGTGACGGCGGTGCTGAAGAACTTCATGGTGACTGATTGTTGGAGTGGAAAGACGTTTGAGTTCTTGCTGTGGATGTCGGTGCTGTGGTGCTGAATGAATATTCGAACGAATATCCCGTCTCCTTATATACTGTTCCCGCAGCACACTTGATCATCGTTTGGCACACTGAGTTCGGCACTTTGCACGCAGCAATGCCACTCTCAAACTCCCACGTCTACCTCACCAAGAAAATCCTTCATCCTGCCAGAAGACGATACGGTCTTCACTGCGGTCTTTGCGTAGTAGATCTTCGGACACTTCCACCGGTTACGAGCTTGAAGTGGTCCATGAGGCGGAGAGTGGTAGCAGCGTGCTGATACCTACTGTAGTCGGTGTGGGGAATTTGCGGGTGTAGCTCCGCGGTACCAGCAAAACATCAGCCGACGGGGATGAGCGCTAACCAAATTTCACTATACACGGGGCTGGAGCAGACGGGTTCTGATTCGTACACACGTGTACGGACTACAGCAGGTCAAATGTCGGTGCGTGCGCATGGGGGCCGTTGGGGGCCATTGGGGGCCAACCCAGAACGGCAATTGCAAGCTCCTTCCAAACCCTAACGTTGAGAAGGATACCGCATTACGCCCTAAAGACTTTTCCAGAAGTTCGCTAAATCTATACATATACTTCTCTTTGTGGCTGGAGTCAAGGCTCATTACGGCAGCCTGGTCTACCCTGCCACAGCAGCTAGAACTAAGTGCGTACGGCTTCCGCGCGCCCTACCGGCATTCCATTGCAAGGCTAAGCCTTGTTGCAATACCTAGTGTCAACGTTCATGAGGTTTTGACTGCTTTGCTCGTCTCATTCCCCAAACTTCAGAAAACTCTGGCTGTCTCTACGAGTCATTTAACACCTTTTCGGGTTATAAAAACTGTAGATCCCAACATTTGTGGACCTCAAGGATCCGTATTCACATTGACCGCTCTCATCACCTCCCTCAAATCCATCAACACCGTGGCGCGCGTTATTGGAGTCTTCGGCGTACCAATCCTATTCAGCAGCATTCCGGGAGGTCCTATTGATTTCGCTGCACCTTGAGAGTCATGATATGTTCTGGCTGGCAGATGTTGCGAGAAAAAAAAATGAGATGACAGTGAGACAAAAGTTGATGGGAAATTCCAGTTGAGCAGTCATGTTTAGAATGACATCGTATTGAAGTATGGTGGAGGATTCAATTTTCTGTATTTTACGTGTTTTAAACCTTGTAAGTGCAATGTATGGTGTCAATACTGCTGCCTACGTAGAATGAACAGTCAAATAGCGTTCATTCCATGAACAAAGATAACCCACGAACCAGGCATCTCTCATCCCTCATCCCAGCCCAGCACCGCCAACTCTCGCTCTCCCTCAAATCCCAACCCCCGCCGTATGCTCTCGGTGCTCTCCCCGTACTCGACGACGATGCACGTCTCGATCCCGCCGTCGCTCTACGCCGCCCCTGGAGCTGCTCCCCATCCCCACCCCTCGGCCCTCGTCCTACTCCTCCCTCCTCACCGCTCCCTGCCGCCGTGCTCGTCCACTGGCTGTCCATATCGTCAGTTCAAGCTTACCGACTTCGAAGGCATACAGCCCATCAACCCGCTTTCCATCGTACCTTTATCTGTAGCCGAGCGAGACTTGAATCTCGTGAATAGAGAAGGATGAGGAGTGGGACAAGGTCATGATGAATGATTTTCTCGAAACTGAGACTCGGAAGTTCCGTCGATGGTAAACCTTGGAATAACCTGGAAATTCCAACAGGCCATAAGGAGCTATCACTTCGAACCTCTCTACAGACAGATCCAAGGGATTGCAGTTTGATCTGATAAGAGACAAAGTAAGTATCTTAGCTGGTCCACTTTTGATTTTACTCTATTTCCCCTCGCTCGCTGATGTTCTACGTTCCCTTTGATATCCTATTCCTTCAGTTACGAGACGTAAACGCGCATGTAGTGGTGATTCCAATTTAACAGGAGTTTTTACCCAAAGAACAAGAACTGAACCGACTGCCCTCCCCTGAGAAAATTCAATGTACTAGCTCGCCTCATCTTTCCTCCGCATGCTGAAGCTGAGCACACCACTGTTCCTCAATCGGCGACTCCAGCTCTCCAAAGTACCGCAAGATATCCAACTCCACCACAGGCCCATCTCCGCCGCCCGTCTCCACACGCGTCCAACTCAACGACACCTTCACATTACACGTACGAACCCGACACCGATGTATCGAAATCTTGCCACCGCCAACATCCTCCCACCGCCTCTCCAACCCCACCCACTCGCTCTCAAACGACTCGGGCACCCCCAACTTGACATGCCGACACACAAACACGCCATCCACCTCCTCCGCCGCCCTCAGCCACCCCCACACCACCTCCCTCGTCACCCCCATCCCCTCCCCCATCCCCTCCCCCATCCCCTCCCCCATCCCCTCCCCCATCCCCTCCCCCACCCGCACCCCGCGCGCCACCACCACCCTCCTCCTTGCCCAAACCAGCTCCCTCCACTTCCGCGGAAACACCAACTCAGCCCTACACCCCTCCCTCCCACACCCGTACCGAAAATCCCCCGCCGTCCTCCTCTTCGCCTCCTCCCGCAACGCCCTCATCCGATGCCACCCCACCACCTCGTGCTCACACACCGGCGTACCGCCCCCCTCCCCTCCCTCCGTCCCCCGACACCGCCTTAGCTCCGGATCGACCCGCAACTGCGCGGGACTGAACCAGTGCCTCGGATGCGCCGCGACGCAGCCCGCGCACGCCCTCGGCCGCTCGTCCAGCACAGGCCAGGGACGGAAGTTTAGCGCAGCGCGCTCGGCGGCGCAGGTGGCGAGGAAGGCGCGGCGGGTGTCGTCGCGGGCGAGGCGGTGGCGGAAGTCTTTGGCCGCTGCGAGGGCGGCGCGGTGGGAGGAGGAAAAAGAAAAAGAAGGGGTGGTGGTGGTGGGAGAGCTGGGAGGAGAAGAAGAGAAGGGGGCCGGGATGAGCGGGTTGTGGCGGAAGTCGTTGCTGGTGGCGCGGAGGGAGAGGATGTCGGCGGCGGAGGAGGAGAGGTGGTAAGTGGCCAGGTGGGCGAGGAGTTCGAGCGGGAGGCGGTGGAGGAGGCTGTGGGTGGCGTTGTGGGGGAGGGCGGCGGTGTAGGCGGTTTCGAGAGGCGGTGATGGTGGCGGTGTGGGAGAGAGGTCGGGGGAGGGGAGGGATTCGGGAGGCATGGCGGGTTGTTTTGGTGGTGTGGATGCATGTGGGAGGAGAGGTTGCTCGGGTTGCTGAGAGCTCTCCGCATTGAGGTCCATGGTTTCTGCTGTGAATATGTGGGCATGTAAATTATAGCAGTATTTAAGGATAGAAGTCTGGTAATGACAGCTATGCCACGAGTAATATGACAACATTGCAGGTGTGGGGGCTATCCTGTCAGAAGCGACGAAAAGCTGGTGCCTGAATGTAAGCGTTAGCAGCTAATCCGTGCGTTTGCAAACAACCATGGTTGAAGATGCCACTATTTCTTATTACCCCGGAAAACACCGAAAGACAGATGTAAGCGATGAGCCACCATTTTGCGAGACATTTCTTTCTTTTTTGGAAAAGTGTCAAAACACTTCAGCAACGATGGCAAGCGTGTGTGGGTAAGCATCATGAGGACTAATATATTTTATCTGTCTTAGGTTTAGCGCACTGATACGTGAGCCATGTAAGGCCGAATTTATAGCTCAGAAACCGCATATATGTCTGTGTGTCGTTGGCCTCAATGAACCTTATCCCCCTTGCCAAGATCTTCGACTCCTCCCTAACCTCCTCCGCGATACCCTCCTTGATGCCAAGATCCACGAACCACTGCACCGGCATCTTCCTTAGATGCGCAAGATCCTTACAAGTGTCCAGCAGTAGCTCCTATATCTGCGTAGTTACATCCTTACGGGCATCTGTTACTGATTGCCGGCGCAGATAGCTTATAAACTCCATCAACTGTTAATCCTTCTTCCTACCCAACAACACCAAAGGCGACGACATGAGGGCCTCAGGCGGCATGGCGGAGCTCGGCGGGGTCACTGGACTAGCCGCAGAAGTCGGCACAGGCGTGGAATTGGGGTATATATGCACCTGAGCGGCTGGCGCAGGCGACGAGGACCCAGTTGGTGAATCGCAGCGAGGCCTCCGCCTCTGCCGGCCACCACCCTCATGATCGCGGCGAAGCTCCCATTGACGGATAAGCAGTTGCTCAGGCGGGCAATTGACGGTAACATTGTGTTGAACAGTGCAAAGTGATTGAATTGTACACTGCTTTGTTGAATCTGGTTTGGATCCAAGAGATCACAAACACAATGTTCCCGTTGAGATAGTGTTTCTCTGCGTGTGTTAACAGGAAAGTGAAGCCTGATTTGACGCATTCAATGTGTGTGGCCCATTTGTCTTTGTTGTATGCTGCTTGAAAGAAGAGAAGATCAAGAGAAACACGAAAGGATGTTTCTTGAGAGTCAATCTCTGGTGTGCCCAGTCTTAACACAATCCTGTGGGTTTTTGCCAAAGCACAAGTCTCACAGTTAATTGTCTTTGGGCTTTCTTGTGGTTGCGTAACCACTACACCATTTGTTGCTTCTTCCAGGTGAGAAATTACTTTAGGACCTGCATGAGCAAGAATCTCATGCCATTGTTTGCCTGAAGCTTGACGAGTTGCAGAAAAGGCTGAGGGGATGTTGTTTGCTGGTCCAGTGGTGTTGTCTTCCAGGAGAAAGTGACCATTTCGCGAAATCAGCTTGCAGAATGGCTTTTTCTTGGTGTACAACTGCATCTTCTCAGTGTTCCAATACATTGCGCTGATTCTTCATCAGCGCATCAGTCCAGATACGAAGGCCCTCCGCCGTGACGTTTATGTGAGGGTATGTGCTAAATCTGTTTTCTTCTTGGGCCCTAAACCGTCACCTAAAGCGGATGAGGCCCGGCGGCGACGTTCTGTTGCGTATTTGGCAGTAGATTCTGGTCCAGGAGGACCCCCCCATGAGCCCCAGGAGCTTCCAGATTAGGTGGTTGGGTCACATCTTGGGTCGTATCTTGCGACCCAAAGCCCGCAGGCGGCGGCATATCCAGCTGTGAGGATGTCGGCGGCGGCGGCGGCGGCGGCGGCAGCGAAGAATCGTTCAAGAGGACCTCACGAACCAGCTGGGTAGCTGTCATATGGCCTCGCGGAGCCTTGCGCGGTCGCTTGGGCGTGGCGGAGGCCTTAGACGCCTGCTGGGCGCGCTTCTTGGTCGGTTTTGGTGGCATCTTGAAGGTCAACACCACGAAGATCGTCTAAAACGGAATGACGATAGGTGGTGGAACGATTGCACGAAGAAATAAGAGCATGGGTTGTGAGTACCAGGCCGTACATCTCCTGGCTGTGGGCGGTCCCGGAAATCTCTATGGTGTAGGCCCTGTGGGGTGCAACTTCGTCCGCAGTGCACCAGTGCCGTGGGGGACATGGACGCTACATTCTCGTCTTCTTCCCCTTCACCCTCGCCGCTTTCTTCCTCCGTCTTCGACTGGCGCTCTTGCTCCAGGCTGTACATCTTCCGTGTCCGCTTCACAATTTCATTCTTCGACTTCGAGATGTTGAATAAGACCCGGTTCGCCCACGTCGAGTATGTGGTCAAGATGACGGTCATTGCCGTTGCCGGGTTCTCGGAGTGGAGGCCATCTGGGTCGTCCTTGGAGTTCCCATCGGACAGGAGGGCCGATCGCGAGCTGCATGGTCGAAATCCAGTACTTTCGGCTTGCGTCGTTTGCTCTCCCCGCCTTGTAACCGTGGAATTTACGGACAACGAGGCCGGACTCGGAAAAGTAGTTTATCCAGTCGTTGATGAAGCTGTCGATGAGGTGAGGCTCCACCATGAGGACGATGTGACGGTAAGGGCCCTTGGCCGCCTTGGCTCTGCGGCACGAGTGTAGGGCATCATGTCGATCGCCTTGCCACTGTCCGGGTCGTCGCTTACCAGGGCAGCGCACTGATCGGCATTAGTATTGTGCACTTCGCGAAATGATCCCGGATGTGGGTAAATGCATCTATCTCCTGTGATAGAATCCAATTCATTGCTAAAGTCAGTTGAATCCATTTGGATATGGATAAACGGCCCGGTTGACTGAAAGGGTTGAAGAAATGGGCGAGGCCTCGGCCTCCAGTTTCGAATCCTTCTCATTCCTCAGGACATTTTCAAAGAAGTACTCTTGCTCTGCAGCCGCGACAAGAAGACTGCTCTACCAGTGGATGTGCACTTCAACACTCGAGCCAAAGCCGCAAGAGACGTCTACATGCGTGTTCATGTAAAATGAGCGGCTATCCATTTTGGCGGCGATCTTAAGCCAGATACCATATTTCAAGAGGATCAACAACACCAGGGCCGGCAGGCGAATACCGGAGATACCGCCTGGTGGGGCTTCTCAAGCGGCTGGTCCTCGCTGAAGACAGGCGGCGGCGGGCTGCTGCGGAGGTCACCACCAGAAGCAGGCGCCGAACAGTCCAGATCGATGGCCTCGCTCGCTGCGGCGCCTGGAGGAGGCTGGCGAGTGAGGGCCCAGACCTCATCTGGCGCGACTGTGGCGATTGCTGAGGCACCACGGCAGTAAGCACGATACTAGGCCACCGGCAAGGATTTTGCGGCGTATTTGGTAGAGAGAGATCGGCCCAGAATCGCCTCCAGGAGCCTCATCAGGAGCTTGTGGGTCCGGCAGTTGGGCCGCGTGTTGGGTTGCCGTCCGGCATGCCGACTGCCCAAAAGACCTAGCAGCGGCGATAAATAGCTTACGAACATCTCCGGTGGCTTGCTTTGTGAGGCTCGGGCTGATTCGGGGAAGTCATCGGCTCCTGGTGATCATCTTCAACTAAGGCGAGGTCTCCGGTTCCAGCTGATTGCGGGAGAGGTCATTGGCACTGGCTGATTGGATCTTATCGGCTCCAGCTATTGCGAGGCGTCTCGGGGATAGCAGAGGCCATGTAGGCTCTCTGCGAGCGTTTCGTGGTGGAGTTCGGAGGCATGGTGAGGCCGAATCCCCGAAAATGACCTAATCCGGCAGGAATATAGGCAGCGGAGCGGTTACACAAACAGGTTGTGTGGGTGGGAAGGACGGTTTTGCGCGCAATTGGTGGTGAGTAACATTTTTGCTGTGGCTCGCTAACAGAGTTTTACACGCGGCAGTGCGGACGGACCCCCTTGCATAAGGCGTTCATGCAAAACCTTGTACATGGGTGGACGAGCGATTGCACGAGTAAGTCGGAAGCGGCTGGAACAACGTTTGTGGGGGAGGTGATGAGTTGCGGGGATGAGTACGGGGACACGGTTGTTGTTGATCGGGGTCGCCAATGGATTTGTGACCGCACGCGGTGTAATCTCGGTGGCGCCCGGGAAGTGACGCTCGCAGCCAATGAACAGGCAGTAGTGCAGCGTGCTTTCTTCAGATTGTATGTTCCACTTGCAGAACAGGTTTAAGATTTCAGTGTGACTTGTGTATATTACATCCGTCGACCGTGCCCCCCAGCAGGCCTGCACTCTTTCATTGGTCTTTCACCGGACCCTGGAGCGCATCACGAATGATGCAAGATCGTATTCCGGTAGCACTACTGTCATCATCCCCGTTGGTGCGGCGAGGTGACAGGCGCCAGTAGTGCCCGCTGTAGCTTACACTCGGGCCGTGATTAGCCTTTCGAGCCACTGCACCGCCTTGCACTAGACGCGGGAAGCTCCAAACATGTACTATTTCGGTGAGACTGCTAATTCAGAGAAGAGGCCAAAAGATGCTCAGTAGGTAGAGAGGGTGAAATGACGGCTTTGCACGCACCGATCGGCATACTCCTCCAGCCACTGACCTAAGGCGCATTAGCAAAAGACGTCTGAAGACTTTTCTGACCAGGAAACCAATCCTTCAGATGGCGTCCTCGATTCATGTAATTACCCGGCTTGGTGTTGACTCTGCGTGCTTCGTCAGCTTTCAAGTGCCGTGCCGCCTGTCTGTGACTGCTCAACAGTCATCTGCCGTGTCTCCACAATGAAGATCGTCTTCGGCCACATCGTCAGCCGTGTTTAGGTGTTTTAGACTTTTGCCCCTGCATGGATTCTAGCACTCGTTCCTGCATCTGGCGAAAGCGGGCAGCCAGGATACACCCTTCACGCAAGAGGGTTCGCATTAAAATCAGGCCATTCCGCACTTGCCGATGCACGCCTTGGGCCGGAAACCATGGTCAAACCGCGCCCATGCTGTCTTCAGCCTACGGCGACGATAACAGAGCCCGTGGCGTCCAGGAATAGCCTGGTGACGATTCGGTTTCATCTTCTGGCGGAAGTAAATCCGGGTAGCCTGTGTCGATCTAGCGACGGGCGTGGCGCTGCGACTACTGCCCGCCACCCCGCACAAACCCGACGCCTGGCACCTGTTCCCATTGGCTGCACAGCCGGGTGGTGACCACGCGGGAGCTAAGGCGTGAGGCCCAACGCTGACGCCCCAAAAAGCGCAGGCTCGCCTGATTGGTCGATATCCTCCTCATTAGGCCCATATCAAGGATGCGCCTCACGGATGCGTCCGAGTCGTGAGGGCGTAGCTGAAAGGATAATGGGCAGATGATGCGGCAGAGCTGTCGCGGCCCTGATTGTGGGCTGCGATTAGCGACCCTCCTGCCACTAGTACTTGATAACTGTACCTGGCGGCAGATCCTCCGCATATACTCTTGCTGCTGCCTCTTTACTTTTTCTCCCTTCCTGCAAGATCGACCCGTGGTTGAGAAGCTCCTTCGGAAACTTCGAGATTAGCTTCTGGATGAGAGTGCAGGATGGGTGCGGCTGAAAACATACCACAGGTGAGGAGTCTATCGAGAAGCTCGAGATTGAGTTTCCTGCTGAACTTTGTCAGTTTTTGCCAGAAATATGGGGCCTGTACGTCTTCGGATGCATCATATTCGCCATGCGATTCATCGTGCGCCTACGCACGGTAGGCATCACGAACCTGTCAGGCGATGACTACTTCGCCATATCCGCATGGGTCTTCTACACCGTAGACGCGGTCGTCGTCGACAAAGCTTGTACGCACCACCAACACACTTACCCGCATCCCACATTCCCTTTGACGTATCGCTGACGAGGACCCCCCCATCAAACAGACCACTACGGCACCAATGTCGACTTTACCGAAGAGCAGTTCGCGGCGATGTCGAGCTCCCAGCTCCACGACGTCTCCAAGGGATCCAAGTACGAGCTCGTAGCCTGGTTCTCCTACTCGGCCCTCATCTGGTCCATGAAAGGAACAATGATCTTCTTCTAGTACGCCGAAGCCTCCCCCCTTCTTCCCCTCCACCTCTAACCACGTTCACAGCCGCCGCCTCACCTTCGGCCTCTGGCAACAACGGCTAGTCAGCTACCTCAGCGCCGCCTGCGTCCTCACCTACATCGGGGTCCTCCTGACCATCTTCCTCGGCTGCCGCCCCTTCAACCACAACTGGCAGGTGCACCCGTCGCCCGGCCTGCAATGCACCTTCCGCACCCAAAACATCGGCGTCGTCTCGTCCTTCAACATCGCGACGGACCTGGCCCTCCTCTCCGTCCCACTGCCCCTCCTCTGGCGGCTGCAGGTGCCGGGGCGGCAGAAGCTGATCATCGCGGCGTTCCTGCTGACCGGCGTCTTCGTGATCGCGGCCGCTGTTATTCGTATTGTTATCACGCTTGGGAGTAATCCGAGCACGACGACGATTAATTTGTGGGGCGTGCGCGAGACCATCGTCGCGCTCGTCTGCGTCAACGCGCCGATGCTGCGACCGCTGTTTTTGAGGAGGTTTTGGAGCATCGAGCCGTGGAAGGCGAGTACGCGCGGCGAGGCGACGACGATCACGGGCGGCGGCGGTGGTGATCCGTCGTCGCTGTCGGGCGCGTACGGGCAGCGCAGCAAGCATCGGTACAGCAGGAGTCGTGCGGAAGGCAGCTCTGGGGTAGCGGGACTGTTCGGGTCGGGCGGGAAGCATCATCATGAAGATGAGAGTCTGAACGATACCGGAAGCGAGGAGTACATCATGCGGAACATGGCCAAGGATCACGCGGACCGGGTGGTGGTCGAGGTCGAGGTCGAGATCAAGAGCGAGCAGCGGAAGCAGGGCGAGCGGACCGACGTGGAGATGGGGAACTCGTGGGGGCTCAGGGATTGAGGGGTTTGCGAAAATAGTCCGGGGTCGCTTGTCTGGTCTGCACGACAGTCTCATTTGTGTGAACTTTCTTTGTTTTGTTCGAGCATGTTTTCTTTTTTTCGTCCCATGTGTGTCGCCTTGAAGATGTGGATGAAGTAGTTCTTAATTAAATGCGGCAAGGAAAGAAATGAAGTGTTCCTTTCGCGCTGGTCGCACAGCATCCGTTCGTCGCACAAGGCCCTCCGCCCTCAGTCAACCTCGCATACGGCGTGAGACCTCAGGGCTGAGACAGGCGAAGCTGCGTGTAGGAAATTGAACGACCCTTGCAGTCGTCGGCGTCACTTTTTTTTCAGCTCCCCTGAATCCGATTGAGACTTAACTCGGCCTACAAGCCTCGACTCAGCGCCCCCTTCACAGACAAGTTTCTCGGCCACCAACATTTTTCACCAACGACGTCCGACCATGCCTCTCCGGCTCGACAATGATGTATCGGCGAAGCAGGTGGCCGACATGAGCATTGCCGTCGTCAATGGTTGGTACAGCTATTGCAGCGACGATGACAACAGCCTCAAGGACAAGCTCGTCATGCACATCTGGGAGAAAACCGCCTTTGTGGCCTTCGCCATCAACGCATTGAACGACTTCTTTTCGAACCCATTAACTCGGACGCTCTGGAAGAACGAAGCTTTCGCCACGACGAAGGAGCTGGTCGAAGCTTGCTGGAGTCTGTATTCCGAGCTAAACACTTGCCTGGAACGAGCCAAAGACGAGAAGCCTCCGTGGCCATTCCGGCATATGAGTGTCGAGGAGATTTGCGCCAAGGTCGATTGCTTGCACAGTGCGCTGGTACTGCTCCGCTCGGTTCTTGAGAAGGCTTCGCAATGCGGCTCAGGAACGCCGGACGCGCGAGATCTGCGAGGAATTCAGCATCGCCTGGATGACGTTGCTGCATGCGTCGTAGAATACGAAAAAGTTCTCTTTGGCGACCTGTCGAACTATTCGCCGGTGGAACGGTAAGTGACGAATCCCAGAGGTGCTGATCGAGAGGAAACTGACTGGAACTGACGGAGAACAGACGAGTCACTTCTTTCATAGACTTGGGCAGTGCAGCCAGAGCTTCCCGCGACGCCCGCTTGACCATGGAGACTGTCGAGATCTGTCTTCCCCACACAGAACACCCTTGGGATTCGATGAATTGGCGGCCTGATTTGGACACACTGAAGGAGGGAAGACCCATGTCCCCCGACCCAGCACAGGACGATAACTTGATTCCGCGTTCTTCGTCGGAACTTGACAAGTGCATAATCTATCTCGAAGAGCTACTGCAGCAGCTGAAGGTGGTTCAGAAGTCTGGGGATTCTGGGTCGCCACAGGATTTTGCCGCGGAGTACGCGCAGATGAGAAAAGCACTTGACAGTCTGATTCTTGGCGAAAGAGAGCAGAAGCCCCCTTCATCCAGGAGACAATCGTTCCAGATCGCACCGGTGAAGGCCTACCTCCGTCGCGCAAAGTACTCCTGGAAAGACTGGCTCTTGCTGGGACCCATCATGAAGCCCAAAAAGGAAACCTTTACAATCGCCGAGCTGCACGAGGGTGGTCAATGTCCTTTTCCGAGCTGCGGTGCTCATTCATCACACTCGAAGGAGGCCGCACAGTCAGACACGCAGGCAAAGCAGGAGCATTTCAACGAGAAGCGGGTGTTCGAAATCCCTGAAGGCGTATCGAACAACACCGCCACGGTGCCCGGAGAAGATTCGACGCCGCCCGCCAGATTGCTCACTCCCGCGCCCAGCGCGCCACCCAATCTTTCCTTCACGACCATCTACACGGAAGATGACGATTCGTCGTCCTGCCACTCGTGCTCATCCCACGAGTCTGCTTCCAGCTTCTGCGTGGTCGGCGAGGGTTCCTCAAAAGGGCAAAGCCCCTCGCTTGCCAAAGAGGCATCGCATTCGACAGCGCAGATGCCGTGGGGGCTACCCGAATGCATTCGTAGCATGCCAAAATCAGCGACCGATGCGGTGCGTCTGTGGACGACGCTGCCGGAGTGATTGGCAGGAGGCCCTGCATGGCGTTCGTCTACAGCTCGGTGTGGCGTTCGAGAAGCGGAGATAACGAGTACTCGCAAGCAAAGGGCCGAGGGGTCGAGGAATGAGCAAATGCATGGACTCGGCATTTCCTTTATTTTTCCTTGGGCAAAAGTGCCGACAGCATCACGCCAGAGCCTCAGCCTTATGCGGCCCGGCTTATCGGCATTTCCTTTTGGTGAACCTTGAGGGCACATCCGGAGGTCAGCATCTTGGTAAACGGATGGTATTGATTGGTTCAGCGGGCGACGTCCGCCGGGGGGCCAGGCTGCCACGCCGCACGGCTTATCGACTTTTTTTTCTGCAGGACCCAGGCCCCTCGCAAAAACAAATTGGCAACAGAACCTTGTCAGGATCTCCACTCTTACATGTTTAAGCTTAGTAGCTTGAGGGATGCTTTCTCTTGCCTCCCGAACCCAAACTTTTCATCATCTTCTGCCTCTTGTATTCTCTTTTACAATCGCAGGAAACGCGGCTGATTTTCTAACGAAGACGCGCATACGAGGTGCTTGGCTCGTCTAGTCTCGCGCTTTATCGATTCTAATGCAAGCCAAGACATTATTCTTAGGCCGTCCTTCCCGATTAGGAGAGGTCGAGCCGTGTGGCCCGCAACCCTCTCGCACCTCTTGAGCAGAAACGGGGCCGTTGTGGCTTGCCGTACCCTGCACATCCCGATGCCCCTGCTGCACGCAACAAGTCGGTTTGCCGGACATGCATATCTAGATCCCGCCACGAAGGAGCAGGCATACGAGGTAGGATTTTATTGCAATATATGCTCGCAAACGTCCGCAAAATATTCCCCTCACCATGCATTATCGTGCTCTGCCCGCCTCTTTTCCCTTCTTCTCTGTCGTTCACCAGCACGCCGCTCGCTGGCCGTGATTCCATCCTGTCGTTCCCCTCGTACCCTTCCTCCCCCAATTGCCCTGGTCCCCAATGGCAAAAAAACATCCCTGCCTGACCCTCGCCTGGGTCACCACCACCACCATCCTTCTCCTCCTCCCCACCGTCCTCGCCGCACCAACATGGCCCTCCCCCCAAGACGAACTCGAAGACATCATGTTCCTAACCAGCGGCCACCGCTCGCGCGCCTTCCCCGCGCCCATCCTCCCCTGCGGCGTCTCCTCGACCGGCGACCCAGGCCGCGTGCAAGCCGCGGAATGGATCCGCACCGCCTTCCACGACATGGCGCCGGGCAGCGTGTACACCGGCGTGGGCGGGCTGGACGCGTCGATCGCGTACGAGACGCGGTCGGGCGAGAACCTGGGGCCGGCGTTCAACACGACGCTGGCGGCGTACGCGCCGTTCCTGAGCAGCCGGTCATCGATGGCCGACGTCATCGCGCTGGGGGTCTACGCCGCGGTCAGGGCGTGCGGCGGGCCTGTCGTCGCGGTCAGGACGGGGAGGGTGGATGCGAGGGCGGCGGGACCGCAGGGCGTGCCGCTGCCGCAGAACTCGGTGGGGACGTTTCAGAATCAGTTTTTGCGGACGGGGTTTAGCACGACGGAGATGATTCAGCTGGTGGCGTGCGGGCATACGTTGGGCGGGGTGCATGCGGATGCGAATCCGGAGATCGTGCCGGCGGGGAGCGTGGCGGATGATGTGGTCAGGTTCGATACGACGGATGCGTTTGATAACAAGGTCGTGACGGAGTACCTGGCGAATACGACGCAGAATGCGCTGGTGGTGGGGAGGTCGACGACGAATGGGAGGAATTCGGATGCCAGGGTGTTTGCGGCGGATGGGAATGCGACGGTCAGGGCGATGGCGGATCCGGAGACGTTTAGCAGCGTGTGTGCGACGGTGCTGCAGAAGATGATTGAGGTCGTGCCGAGTGGGGTGACGCTTGGTGATCCGATTGCTGTGTATGATGTCAAGCCGAGCGGTATGCAGTTGACGCTGTTGGATGGAGGTGAGTCTATTAAAGTGACGGGCGATATCCGTGTTAGGACTACGGAGCGCGCGGCCAGTCAGATCGAGAAAGTTCAATTGGTGTATAAGGACCGGGAGGGAGGCGATGGTGGAACTCTGGACACTGAGTCGTCAGGGTCCGCGGCTGGTTTCGACGACACTTTCGAGGTATGCTTCGATTGCAGCAGCTCCTCCTCCTCCTTTTTCAACCTGGCATTCCACTGACGTGCAAGTAGTTCTACGGCGTCTCCGCAAACATCCCCTCAGACTCCTCGATATCATCCTTCAACGTCCTCATCACCCTGACATCCGGCGAGACCGAGCTCCACGACAACAATGGCAACAGCTTCCCCCTCCAAAACAGCATCATCTTCCAAAGCCCGCAGAGCTGCCTCAGCGGCACACTAATGACCATCACCGCCGCGGTCCGCAGCACCGCCTCCTCCGCACCAACGCTTAACGTCACCTACGGCGTCCCGAACTCGCGCTCCGTCCTGCCCGTCCTGACCGCGTCCACCGTCTCCATGACGAAGGGCGCATCCATCGGCCCGTACGATCTCTACTCCGCCAGCTACACCCTGACGGCCGCCCAGCTCGACTCCACCCGCTTCGACGTCAAGCTAGCCAGCGGCGCGACCGACAGTTTCAAGAGCTCCGCAGACCTGTCCGACACCTGCGCCGACCTCAGCCCGGACCCGCCTTCATCGTCGTCCAGCACCACTGCGGCACCTCCGGCATCCTCGACCTCAGCCCCAGCCTCCTCCTCCTCCACATCGGCCCCCGCCTCCTCGTCCACAACCCCGACAACAACAACGCCAACAACACCATCCACCTCTACTACTCCCACCCCCACGCCAACCGTCCTCGCCTGCCCGGACGCCGACGGCGCCACCTGGGCCACCGCGTCCGGCACCGCCTTTACCATCCGCTGCGGCAAGGACTACCAAGCGGGCCAGATCGGCGTCACGTATGTCGCTGACTTCGCGGCGTGCTTAGCGGCGTGCGTGGGCGCCGACGGCTGCGAGGCGGTGGCGTACGTGGGCGACAACGTTAGCGGCGGGAACTGCTATCTGAAGAATGAGGCGGTGGGGGCGGTGGATAATGAGGGGGTGTGGGGGGCTGTGAGGGAGGGGTGATGGGTGGTGGGGTTCTTGCTTTTATTTAATGATGTTGATACAGGGCTGAAATGATTAATGCGTAGTATATAGATACGAAAATTGTTAAATTGGGCTTGTGGGAGCAGCTGGAGCTACTTTCCATACAGTGATGCAAAAAGTGAGAGACAAAAAAAAGGGGGCAAAACTGAACCCCGCTACATGCGGGTTAAGCTCAGAAAGACTCTTTGGGACCGTCTTTTTTGTCTTTCCTAGCCCGTTTTCGAACCTTCGACCTCTTTATCACCCACAGAGGACGGATGGAAACTTGGACTGCCTTACGTAAACCTTCAGGCTCTCATTTAACCAAGCACCACCTCTTCGAGCGTGACTAGCATGCTAGAATGGCTGACTGAGCGGCTTATGTATCGACACTTCTCGTACCTGCGGGCCATACTAGCTAATCCCGAGACCCGAGACAAGCGTAACGAGTGCAGGGAAGCGAGGACATGGCCGTGACGTTTGTATCCAGTGAAAAGCTTCAAGTATTCCATAAGAAGATTTTACGGAGCATCCAGAAGAGATTCGCATCAAGAGCTCAAAGTCATTTAACTAACAATCTCCGCAATCACAGTTTATATTTCAATATGGAAGGAAGAGATTCACTTCATGTCATGAGGAGTTGAAGCGATTATCAGGATGTGAATCTCGAATAACTCATTGTGCATTCACGTCCAGATCATAGCTTTCACTGCCCACATAAGCCGAGTGTCGTTCTCACAAAGAAAACTGCTGAAGTAAACTTACCCTTTGTTCTAAACCCCACTATTTTTGACGACAAGCTTAGTCAGGTACTGCTCATGGGACAACATATCACTCACAACAACAAAAAAAAAAAAACGGGTGGCCAAATTGTTACTTTCAGCGCCAGGCGGCGCCAATGGAAAATAGTATATGGTATCATGCACAGATGTCTTAGTACAGTAAGGAAACAGACCCCATCAGGTGGGGGGAAAGAATCGTTCCAGAGATATCTCTCGCTCTCTCATCGCTCATGCAATCGTAATAAAGCAAAAAAGCCGAACCAGCAGCCAATGTCCCAACCGCCTTTTCCCCAACCCTTCCTCACCCCATGCAAACGCATTCAGAACCCCGCGATCGTGTGTCGCCTTTCTATCCTCTAAACCACACTCTTCCTCATACTCAAACCACCCCTGTTCATCCACCACATAACCGTGCCATACGTCGCGGTAATAAACCACAACAGCATATTCGTCAGATCGACCCACACCGCATGCTTCATGCGGCGGATACCGGCATCGTACTCAGGCGCCTCATTGATGTACATGCGGCCGAAAATCCCGAACACGACGACCCACAGGATAAACAGCACCCAGTCCCACGCGAAGAAGAACAGGCTCTTGACCATGGGCAGGAAATACACGAGGCACGTGACGGCCGCGAAGCCCGCGACCACCTCGGCGTACACCCACTTGCTGTCGGCGTACGCGCCCGCCTTGCGCGCCGCGTCGAGGTCGACGCCGTAGAGCCCGCACACGGTGAGGGCGAGCACGAATTGCAGGAAGCGCAGGAAGACGCGGGCGAGGAGGCCCGGCAGCCCGCCGTGGTGCGAGTAGCCCGAGAGTTGGTTGAGGGTCATCATCGTGGCGCGTTTGTCGGGTGTTGTTGTGGTGGTGGTAGTGTCGCGGTCGCGGTGGTGGTAGTAGTGGTTGCGCGGTGTTTGGGGGTGTCGGTCGTGCTTGGGGGTCTCAAAGTGTTTTGCGAAGCCGCCGGTAGGGGAGAGAGGGACGTTGTGCAGAGGGTACTGCGGGCGGTGGGTGTGTTTGTATTGTTGGTGGGTTTTGTGGTCGGTGTAGATGGAGTATGCTTCGCGGCCGAGCTTGACGGCTGTTAGCATGGTTTCGATCTTGTGATGCGTATACGATGATGACTTGTGCAGTGCGCTGTTCGATCCGGCGAACTGGGGGGATGCGCTGGATACCGCCGTTTTTTTCTATGCGTGCTCGTGTGGCGCGGGAGTGACTTACAGCACAGAGTCTTCAAGACCTCAATGTGTGTGTGGTGTTGGAGGATGTCCAAGATTTCTGAATCAGGCGACCAAAAGTTGGCGGCTGGCTGGCAGTGACCTTATACTTGTCTCGGGCGGACAAAGGTCAGGAACAAAGTGTTTGTGGGCTTGTCTGAGGCGACAAAGAAACAAGCTTCTTCGGTTTAGAAATTATTGGTGGATAAAGAAGACGAGTGGCGGAAACAAGGAAACAACCCAGTCAATGGGGGATTGACGCTCCTCGGCGCGGTTGGTGTGATGCGACAGCGAGGGAAGCAGCAACGATCACGGATCGGAGCTGCGGTTTGCGTTGGAGAAGGGAAAGTTGGAGTGACGGTGGTTGGGAGGGCAAGCGGCAGTGGGCGTGCAACGAGGCCAGCTCTTATAGCAGCACGCAGCGCGCATTCCTGAAACTGGCGAGCGTGGAATGGTGGCTCTCGTGGGCGAGAGGCTTTCGGGCGAGGCGCTGGCCAGCCCACACGTCATGGTCCCTGCAGCTTCAGTCAAGATCGCCAGCCAGGAACGATTGGCCACCAGCCCTCGCTGACAGATCGTCGCCTCGTCTTCGCGCTGTGCGTGCGACAGCTGCCTGCATCTCCGCGCACACTCCATCTCTCGCTTTGATTGTTTCATCATCCTCGAGCGGCCACTTGTTGCGGGACCGTCGCGTTTCGGCTGCACGATTGGCTCTGAGCGGCCCAGCGATCGCGCGGGGGAGGGTCTGCGGCTCAAGTCGGAAGCGCGCAGCTCCACCACCGACTAAGCGCCCAATATCCCCAGCGCCTCGCCGTACGACGACCGCGACAACATTGCTCGATCGCCCGCATGCAGCCTTCAAGCGCAAAAAATAAACACCACATTCTCCGCTGCCGACTTCCGAAAGTGGATACTCGAGACATGCATTACTATTCATAGCCCGCGCGCCTTTCCGCGCGCGTCTTCCTGATCTGCCCACTCACTCAAGGCGAGCTGTATTTGTACCCGTACTGCTCCTTCGCCTGCCTCGCAATCTCCGCCAGCTTCTCCTCGGCCTGCCTGAACTCCTCGTCCGTCTCCATCCGCTTCTTGTACTCGCGGTTGACCAGCCTGCTCTCGGACGGCACGTTGGTGCCCGCGCGCACGGCGGGCCGCGCCTCGACGCGCTCCCACCACTTGTACAGGTTCGGAAACTGCTCCAGGTCGATGCCGCCGAAATAGCACACGTTGACCCAGCTGAAGTTGGCGATGTCGGCGATACTGTACTTGCCGCGGCCCGGCCCGACCAGGAAGTCGCGGTCCGCCAGGTGCGCGTCGAGGATGCCGTACAGGCGCTCCGTCTCGCCCACGTAGCGCTGCGTCGGGTAGGGGATGCGCTCTTTCGCCATGCGGTAGAAGTGGTTGGCTTGGCCTTGCATGGGGCCGACGCCGCCGTGCTGCATGCGGTGTTAGAAAGTGTCTGAGATCCAGTAGATGTGCTGAGTGAGAGAGAGGGGTAGTAGCATACCTGCCATGCCACCCATTGCTCAGCGCGCGACAGATCCTTCGGGTCCTCAAAGGTGAATTCGTGCTTAGGGTCGTAGTGGCGCGTCAGATACGCCAGGATGGCTGTCAGATTCACACGAGCTGATTAGCAGATGGGATTTTCCCTGAAGGATCTACGACGACCCCGCAGCACAAGCAACGCAAAGCCAATTGCTGGTCACATACCGGCACCCTCTTGCACGGGGAAGCTGTCATTGTCGTGGTCCACAATCACAGGGATGCGTCCGTTCGGTCCAAGCTTGGTGAACCACGGCTCCTTCTGGATGTTCTCCATGATGTTGATGCTCTGCACCGTGTACTCCAGCCCGTACTTCGCCTTCAGCTCCTCCAGGAGTATGCTCGCTTTGTGTCCATTGGGCGTGCCGAACGTGAGGAGCTCGATGCCCTTGTTTGCGATGAGGCCAGATGGACGAGACATGATGGTTGGTGGTATGATTGCTGGATGGAACGCGGTGCGGGAGGCGTGGAAAAGGCGGGGAACTGTGCGAGAAAACATCTCCACGAACGGAGGGAGGGGAACCCAGGCTTTATGGATGAGAGGGACGTGAGAGTTGAGTGGTGAGCCTTAGAGGGCACCCATGACGTCTGGGATCAAAGGGGTTCCGATTGCTCGGACCCGAGCTCAATCGCTGCCTCTGGTCGCCTTGGGTAAAACATAGCCGATGGCATTGTGTGGATCGCTGGTCGATTTCAAAGCAGTTGATCGTGTAAGCGTTGTTCAATTTCCTCGTGTTACCGGAGCTCAAGGAAGCTATCGCCGGTCGTCGGCCTCGGAGCTTCAAGCGCTAAGCTTACTAATGTACCACCATCCATCAGCGGACGAAAATAATACCATCATACCTGTCCTTTCATGAAAGACATTTATTACTCTTTCTAGATGATTCGCATAAGCAGTCCCATACTGAGTAAGAAGCGATGAATCGAGTAAGAATAAGCCGGCGACGGCCTCTTGTCTGTTCCAAAGATGGTCTATATAGCCGAAGACTATACCGAAATGAGTACTGTTGCTTGAATATATTACAATGAACGTAGAGCAAAAATAAATATGAATATAGCCAGTCATGTTCACGCAGCCCTCATCGCATGACTGAAGGCTGCCGGTCCACAAACGCAAAAGATCGACACTCAAATCCAGAAACTCTCAACTCCTTGGGCAACGCCTTTTCCCTTGGTTTCCTCTTCGTGCTCGTCTGAGCTCTCCGTTCCGGCTTGCCTTTTTTTCGTGGTACGTTTATCGGAGGCCTGGTCTGCCACGTTCTCCCCTTCATTTTGCGAGCGAGACCCCCTTACTACTTCTTCTTCTTGCTCCCCTTCTTTTTTGAACTTGATTCTCCTCCGACTGTTCCGACCGTCCCTGTCCCGCTTCCGCTGACCAGACCTCCTACCGCTTTTCCCGCACCAAGAGTGATTCCCTTCGAGCCAAACTTCGTCTCGGGCTTGCCTTGGCTTATTAAGCTGCTGAAACTCCCACGGCCGGGGCTTGTGGCAGGAGGCGGGGGACTCGAGTCCGTCCCCCCAACCTCGTCTGAACTCCACCAGCCCTCTGGACGCGATGCATCTGACTTGTGAGACATGTGCGATTCGATATGCGAGCCTCCTTCAGACGGAGGTCTTCGCTCCAGCGAGCCACCGAGAGGAGCTGACGCGACGCGCTGCGGCCGGAAAGAGCCTCCAGAACCTCTGAGCTGAACGGGGGAACCAAGTGTTGAGGTTTGATGCTTGCGAGGTTCGAGAAAGGGTGACGATTGCGTGCCGCTAGCTGGAGCTGATGATGCTCCAGAGGGCACGTTTTCGGAGATTTTGCGTGTGGACCGGGGGCTCTCATCGTCATCTGATAAGGAGGCCGTTGGATGGATCTGGACGGTGTTAGACGGCGTGTGGATTTTATAGGGACCGAGCTTCGGACTGCTACCAGGGCCGGCGTATTTATCGAGAGCGGCGTAGACGTGTGGGAAGACAAGCTCCTCAACATTGTTAGCCCACAGGAAGTCGAGATGCTCGTAGTGAGGAATCTCCTCAGCTACTGTATGCCTGGGCAGTTCCTTGAGCATGATGTTGATGTCAACCAAACTATCGCTTCCACCATAGACGAGCACAATAGGCGTCTTGATGTTGCGCGTTGGGAACTTGGGGACCTTGTAGTATTTTGCGTCGTTTGAGATCCTCATGGGAGCCTGCATTTCGTCATCGTACATCTGGAAGGTGCCGTTCCGGATGATCTGGAACCAATGCACAACCGTCTTGACGCTGGAGAACGAGTAGAGATGCGGATACGCGGCGAGTTTTTGATGCGCAGAGATGTTCTTCGCCGTCCAGCCAAACAGAAATGAGAGCGAACCGTCGATCAGCCGTACAAAGATTGGCGGGTAGAGAATGCTCTGCCACATGGTCGTGCTGGTAAGGATAGCGCGCCGTCCGAAGGCCAGGAAAAGAACGTCGGGAGAGGACTTAACGAGCGTATCGACAATGCCGCTGCTCATGCCCTTGGGAGACATGGCGGGTGCAAGAGCGACAAAGACATTGACCTTCTCATTCAGCGTCGGGTGAATCGACAGAGCAGCGAAGGCCTGAGCGGTTCCCTGCGAGAATCCGACATAAGAAAGCGACTCCTGGCCGGTAGTAGAGAGAATGTAATCGATGGAATCCGGAATGTCGTGGAAAGCGAACTGGTCCATGGAAAAGTTCCAGAAGCGGTTGTCGGTGGGAGCGTCTCTGGTTGACTTCTTCGAGTACTTGTTGCCTCTGTTGTTGCCAAGCCACACATCGTAGCCGCGCTCAACGAGCATGAACGGAAGACATCTCTCCTTCTCGGTCAGGCACAGCCAGACCTCGCTGTTCATCATCAAGCCATGGTGCAGGTAGACGACGCGCTTTTGGATGCTGTTCGGCCCGTGGTTCACTCTCTGGTCCTCCTCTCCGCGTCTATACGCCAATCTATGCAATCCCAGCAGATATCCATCTCCGGTCTGTACGATGTGCTCCTCGGCGTAGTACCCGAAGAGCTCGGCGAGTTCGACAAAATCGGCGGCCTGGGCGATGGAGGTGACGAGACCCTTCTTCTTGTTGCGCGAGCGACGACCTTGCGGCGACGACAGGTAGTTGAAGGACCTGCGCGACGCGCGGTAGAACAGGTGGATGATAGGACCGGGGAGCGCAAGGGTGATTATGCGAATGAACGCCTCGAGAGCGATCAGGACGAAGCTGCCGAGGAGGTAGACGTACTGCAACGGGTGCAGCCGTCCAATGAATGGGACCTGAGGCATGATGTCGGGAGGCTGTCGGATGGCGCGCGAGTCGCGGCCAATGTGGTGCAGGTGGTGGGTAACACAGGAGGTGCGCGGAGATGCGGGCGCTGCGGAAATGATCAGGAGGAGGCACCGGCCATCGTCGCGTCCTTGCGATGGCGTTTCCTGATAAAGCGGCGCGCTTGCAGATGATGGACGGCTAGGTATCGACGAACGACGATAGAGGCGACGGACGCGGCATTGTTGAACGGCGAGGGCGGAGGCGCGTTGGGAGGCACGTCATTCGTCGCGGTCTGCGGCATGTGAAAGGCTGGAGAAGCTCCTTCCCTGCTCTGTGCAGCGTGCGACTGCGCAGCTGTGTGGCCCCGGCTCGACCAACCTCACCTCTCTCTGTGTCGCCGTCTCACCAAGCCGTCGACACCGTCTGTGAGCGCCAGCATTTTCCGCGCAGTCAATTGCTAACTGCGGGCTGCAGAACACACGGGATCTGCAAGCCGGCGATGGACAGCCGCGCGCTGGGCGCCCTCTGGCCCCCAAAGTCGCATCTTCCGCTGCCCCGCTTCATCAGTGCAGTCCTGTCTGGCCACAGACGCAAGGACACACAGGACTCGCGCACAAGGTTGCTTTTAAGACCGTGTCTGGATCGAAGAGCTGCAGTCCAGGCTGCTTTGGGAATGCTATCGGCAGAGCTGTGGGTGACGCACGACGCCGCGCTCTCGGCAGAAGGGTGGGGAAGCACGTCTGCCATGGGTGGGGTTGCCCCAGGCCACGTCAAAACCTCAGCCGCATCTCTTTGTAAGCTGCTTCGATATCTCGGTCGTCCGATCCTCGTAGCCTGCTGCCTGTTCTCTTTCTTTAGCCGCTGCTGCCTCTCACGGGGCCTTGTCGCCCGGCCCACCGGTGACCATCTGCGTTTTAGCTCTGCGAGCAGAGCCTCAGCCTTCCTGTGTCTCTGTTCTCACTCGCTGCCTTCCATTGGCCATGATTCCGGCGATTCAAACGGCCAAGGGAGTCTCGACGCCAGGACGCCCGATGGGGCGTCCTTGCTGAACACTAGGGCCCAATGTACCACACATAACTCTGTTTCTCTCCCGATCGTCAAGGAATGTCGTGTAAAGCTTCTGGGAGCTCGCAGACGGCAAGGCTGAGCCTGCGTTTATAAAAGAGCTCGAGTTCACCGCTCCTTCTCATAGCCCGGAGGTGTATGCCTTCGATGTTGACCATGCCCATCCAATCGCAGAATCCCCGTCGGCGGTCCCGTACGCACTAGCGCATTTCTGCCTACGCGCATGAGCCGCCTGATCACCATTTCGTTCTTCCTTCGACCTTCTCAGCCCTCTGAGCGGCCCACGTCTTCCCAGTCCGCCCATTGGCCCCTCGTCCTGTCGACCCTCGTTCGGCCTCTATTCTCCCTGCCTCCCACACCGTTGTAAGCAGGCAGCAGGGGTAGCGAGAGATCTGTCTGGTCTCCACATCTCGCTTAACGACCGTTTCTCTTTACTACAAGGCTCATGTCAGGCAATGCACCTCTCGACCGGCATGCTCTTGAAAAATGGAAGAGGCTATGCAACGCAGCGGCCGCTGAGGTGTCAAGACACTGGATGCCTCAGCCTTGGCGACAGCTGAGGCTCGCCATGAGGCCGCCCCAGGGGACTGGTTCAACCAGCCGGCCGGCAAGGCTAAGCCCGCCAATCCCCCAGGTTGATGCAAGGCTCTCTCGTGCAGCGCTTCTGCCGGTGAGAAGCTCCTATTCCCTGCTCTCCTCCGTCTCGTCTGCAACACCCCTGCTTCGCCGGTTAGCCCTGATTGGTGGTTTGTGGTTGTTCTCCACTTTCCTTTGTAGTGTTTTTTCGAGCCCAAGGACACCAGACGATGTGTCACAGTTCGGTCAATTGCAAGTCTATCAGAGTCATACCTTGTTCAATACGATTATCTTTACTTCCGCTATCCTATGTGTTGACTTGGTGATTCTTCCTACTCGTCGGTTTGTGCGGCTCTGCTTTGGCCTAGGCTACAAATAACTAATCCTTCGGGAACTCGAAGCCGATTCAGGTGGACTAGGTATTGACTGACGATTATCTACGCAGATCCCGTAGCTCGTAAACAGGTGCAAACACGGGCTCGACATCGAGACGTATCTCAGCTGTTCAGCGGAGCGGCTCTCCCCCAGCCCCCGCTCGGGCCATTTGTTTCGTCTCTAGACTGTTCAACCTTTCAATCCTACCAGTTCGAGAAACAATCCACTTTGCCACTCCCGAGTGCGGCCTCATGCGTGTCAGCCAGGTCCCGCCTTTCTAAAGACCTGTCACCGTCTCATCTTTGATACAAGGACCCCCACTGGTTCTATTCTCCACAGATACCATCCAACCATGGTGGCTCTCACGGGCCCCTTGTACTGGCCGTCGGCATGCACAAGTGCCTCGGCCCCCCGTCTCCATCCTCTTGTGCCTTGGCTTAGCTACCCAGCCACTCTGGCGGTACTACTTACAGCCCAAAATGTTCCTTAGGTTTTCTAGAATGCATCTTCGATGCCCTGCACACATGGTTGCCTTCTTCCTCACCCCCCGGTAATGTGATCTTACCGCTTTCTTTTGCGTAGCCCCCCACTGAAGGCTCCCACTTTCTTCACCCTCTGGGCAACGGGAGTGGCTCGGACGTCGCCGACACCAGTTCTCGGAAGGCATTCTTCGCCCCTAGAGGCCGCATCTGGTACCCTCCAAGACTCATAACGGGCGGTATAGGCGAAGCCTTCGTCCTCTCCGCCCCGTCTTACGCAGGGCGCGGCAGACTTGGTATACAGTTGTCGCTCTCAAGTCACAGCCACTACGCCAGCCAAAGGGTGTATATATTCGCCACCCTGCTGCTCCTGTTTCCGTCCATCATCATCACAGCTCTACCACCAATCCCACAGTCAAAGCACCCTTCAACACCACAGCCTCTGTCAAAGCATTCATCCTGTCCACCCAACCCAACATACTACACCAAGGATCATTCAACATCCCGACAGTATGATTAACGCTGGGTCTACTCTACCTTCACTCACTGATAACGATCCTTCAGAACAACTCGTTCAAAATGTGCTACAACCACCCCGTCACCGCTCCTACTGCTGAAGCGCCTACTCCTACGGTTCCAGGTAACATAAATTTTCTTACGCCTAACGCTTTCTATTGTTGTCAATGCGGACAAGGACCATGGGCGTGTTCGCTCTATGCCGCCTGCATCGAATGCGGACACCACTTCGGTGCCGACCATTGCAAGCCGGCCTTTTGCAACGGCGAATTTTCTTATACTTCTTCGACTTTTCCTTTGTCACAGCTTTCGGAACAACGGCTAACCAGCTCCACACCAAAAGCCTCTGGCAGCAGCTCCTTCTCATTCTACCGTGCTGGCGGCGTCAGCCCCAACTCCTCTACAACCGACCTGACTTCGCCCAACGTCCGCCTTCCGCCCCCTATCAGCCACTCAAGTCTCGCTATTCATGGCTCCAGCAACCATGCTGGCTCGCACGTTGGGGAACCGGCCCCTTCGGCAGCCCCTCCCGTTGACGGCGAGACGACATTTTACTGTTGCCAATGCGGAAGTGGACCTTACATGACTTCTCTTTATGCTTCGTGTATTTCGTGCGATCACGCACGCTGCTATCGCTGCAAAATTGAGTAAAGGACTACCAGCGCCCTGTGCTGGCTTCACGTTCGCCCGCCCCATGGTAAGCCGCGCCCACGATCTTGACGCTTTCCATGGCTGACGTTGAACAGTCTCAGTGTAACGATATGTCTATGTCTCTTTAAATGTTTGCACGAGCTCCCTATTGTTTGTTATCTTTAGCATAGCGCGTGGCATTCCCTTTGCTTACTTGTCCTGTTACTCGGCACCATCGTTCAAAATACCCCGTCGTACTTCCCAGAAGTGAATCCTTTGCACACCCGTTTAGCATTGTTGGGCATTTCGAAAGTTCTGGATTTTCATTTGTTTCTGTGTTCCGGCGTATACAGGTAGAGCTTAGGCAGTTTCTCAATCTACAACTATCCCCAAAACCGCACCTTCAAAGACTCCATTTACCCCTGTAAGTGACCCGAAGTCCGGCCTGTAGTACAAATGCAGGCTGTGTGCATATCGCGGGTCTCGGAAAGGCCGCTTGCGCGGCCAGTACGCCACCGCACGAGAAGTGGCCTCATGGTGAACAACACAAAGGCCGCAGTCTGTAAAAGGTTGCGCCAAATCCTTCCAAGAATGCCTCATCAGCGGGTGGCTGGCTTAGGTGGACTTGATCTGAAACAATCGGAAACCGTGAGCCGCACTTACTCGTCTGCTCTTAAGATAAGACGGTCATCTGCCTCGTATTTTTAGGCGGGCTTCTAGAAGGGAAGGAAAGTGGCTAGAAGGGAAGGACAAGGCTTAGCGATGATGACGGCCAGCTCACCCGCACCCGCGCGCCTCAGCCGCAAAGAAGCTAGCAGAATTGCCTTAAACATGTGCCTTCTCGCTTCGTTACTCGACCCACAGCGTGCCATGGGAAAAAGAAAACAAAGTCGTCAGAGCCGGATTTCGTTACTACATTGGGAAGCTCATCGTGATTGTTACTATGCAAACGAGGCAGACTTTGAACAGCCTTACCCAAAGGAAAGCAGGCAATCTTTGCGTAGAGACCTTGCAGAGCTGTAGTCTCGTACGATTCCCGAGCACATGGTACAGCCAATGAAGCTTGGCGTGTCAATTCTTCTCAGCCTTGCGCACCGCGGCTATTAGACCGCCGCCTGCATCAGCCGCACCGCCCTACGGTCCAGGTCAGCCTCCTAGCAGAGCGGAAGAGGGCACCCTAAAAGCTTGCTCCGCGCTTGGCATTGCTCGCCCCCAGCTGAGGCAAGATCATCCCCCTGAACATGCATAAATACATCATTAAGATATTTTTGAGTAGAGTTGCGGCTATATACAGTTCATGACATCTTCGCCCCAAGCATGGGGGCGCTGCTGGCTACCATAGGCGACCTGTACAGCTTTCAATGCCCGACTGCAAAAGCAAACATGATATTACAAGGTCCTTTCTTACCATCGACGGCGCAACAAGGCGGAATCGAGAGGTGTTGTTGCCCATTCTTCCAGTCCAAACGCCCAATGACCCATGCTCTAAGAACAAGCCTCTTCGTGCAACCACCAACTCCACCAAGCTTGCCAATTCTGCCCCGCGACGCGTGGCTGGCTGTGCGTCTGCGGAGCCGAACAAGCCTTTTCTTGGTCCGCATCCCACAAGTGTCCGCTGTCCGGCCCCGCGCGCCCAGCACTATCTGGCCGCCGCCGCTCCCAGTACTCTGGCCGTGCCCAGTCCTCAGACCTTCCGTCCCTCATCTCCCCTCCCCGCTACTCTTGCTGTCCTCGTTCCCATCCGTTCCCTTTATGACGTCGAACAGCGGCTTGCCGGCGTAGAGCTGTCCACCCTTCTTCTCGTCCGTCTTGCCCTGCACGTCGAGCTCGGTGCTGGACATGACGCCGACGGGCTTGTTGCCGCGGAAGCGCTTGCGCATGTCAACCATGCCGCGCTTGCACTCGCCGTAGCCCTTTTTGAGCTGCTGGCAGCGCGTGGGGAGCGTGTCGGAGAGCGGCGGCCGCAGGCAGTCCGACGGCGAGTTGCGCTGCACCATGATGCAGTCGCTGTTCTGGAGGCATTCGGCCAGCGCGGCACCTGGTGGGAAGATGTCAGCCTTCTATTCTTGAAATCGCACGCTCGAGGACAGATGGTGAGAGTGCTGGGAGAGCGGGTGCGCTGCGGAAGACAGCGGCGGGCGGAAGGAAGGGTCGCGAGGACGACGGAGCTGGAAGGAGGCCTGGGAGAGACGTACGGATGTCTTTACATGATGAGGGCATGGCTGCGGATTCTGCGCTGGCTCGATGCGCGGTGCAATGGCGCTTCGCAGGGCGGTTTGTACATACAAGCAGTTTGAATAATTCACGATAGCTCTCACTGGCTGGGCGCGGGCGCGGGCCGATCACCCAGGTCAGCCCACCGCCAAGCCGCCGGGTCAATTGCGCGCGGCGGACCAGGGTCTGCCAGCAGCCAGCAGCGCAGCTCGCGACCGACTCCGGAGAGGCAGGCAGGCGTTGGCGCCAACCTCCGACTTGCCGTCATCCCATCGTTCTCCCGTGTCCTGCTGCCTCTCCTCCCCTCAGCTTCACCCACCCCAACCCCCCTCCCGGGGCTATACACCCGCGCTTTTCTCGTCGTGAAGCTTGCGCGTTGCGCACGTACCGGGGACCGCGGAGAGAGAGCAGAAGCCTTTTTTGGCTACCGGAACTATCGACTGCGCTAAACCCAACTCCCACCACCCGCCGCCTTTCCCTTATTTATTATTATGTCCAGCAAATAGGGAGCTTTCCGCGCCGCCAAACGCCCGTGCCTTGCCGGGTGCCCATCATCTCCCGTCGACCCTTCTCGACGACACCGCCTGATACCACCTACGAGCTTCGCACCATCCAATTCCCCATCTGTCGTTCGTCTCCTCCTCCAATTGTCGAACCACAGTCTCTCTCTTCCAACCCCCCGGGGTTAATCCAACCGATAAAACCATATGACGCCCACCCCGAGCGACGCCGCCATGGCCGCCGCCCGGCGCGGGCCCAGCCAGCAGACGATCGCGCGCTGGTCGGCGGTGACGGTGCCGCTGATGATCGTGGCCGTCGTCAGCTGGGCGTCGTACGTGGTAATCGCGAAGCTGGCGGTCGCCCGGCTCATGAACCCGTCGGACTCAGCCAACCGCAACCGCGGCGCCGCCGTCGCCGTCATCGTCGTCCACTGCCTCCTGCTCTTCCTGACGGCCGTCGCTTACGTGCGCATCCTCGCGACGCTCAAGGTCGATCCGGGGTTGGTGCCGCTGGGCCGCGGCAGCGCGGATGAGGGGAGGAGGAAGAGGAGGGGTTCGAGGAGGACTGGGGGCCGCGGACATCGGGAAAGAAAGAGGTCCGGGGCTGGGTTGGAGCAGCAGCAGGGCCAAAGAGGTTGGACGAATGATGAGGGCGTGTTTGAGGATGAGATGGGGAGGACGTGGTCGGAGAGGCAGCACGAGGAGAAGTTGAAGCGGTTGGAGAAGTTTGTGCCGCGTGAGGTGTTTGTGTGCGATTATGATGGGCTGCCGCTGTGGTGCGATAAGTGCAGCAATTGGAAGCCGGACCGCACGCATCATTGTAGCGATTTGGGGAGGTGTGTGCGTAGGATGGATCACTTTTGTCCTTGGTGAGTTCTGGGTTCCCCCTTGAAGGTTGTTGTTTATGGGTATCTGACGTCTGAACAGGGTTGGCGGTATTGTCTCGGAGACTACGATGAAGTTCTTCATTCAGTTCACTTTTTATGCCACCTTCCTGGGGATTTTCATCATCGTCACAGACGCTATTCTTTTGGCCCGGGATAAGCATCAGCGTCATCCCGTCGACTCGCATATGGCCGTACTGCTTGGATTCACTGGTCTCTTCACCCTCTTCGCTGTTGGCATCTTTGGCAACACTTTCTTCATGACGCTCCGCAACTTCACCACCGTGGAAGCCCTGAACCGCGGGGGCGCAACGTACCACCTGTCCGTCCTTATCACGCCCTCTTGGTGCAACCGCAGAAACGACGAGCAGTATCCTTTTCGGACGACTACGTATCCCGGTGCACCGGGTGCTCTCTACGCGATTCTGATGACTCGACCTGGCGACAACCCCTGGGATGTGGGCAAGTTGCAGAATCTGAAAAGCGTGATGGGCGAGAGTATCATCGATTGGTTCCTGCCGCTCAAGTTGAGCCCATGCACAAACCACGACAGACAAGACTCGGAATTCGAATTTGGTCCCTCGGTCGAAAATGCAAAGAGAGAAGCGACGGGTTACTAATACGTTTTGCTGTCGCCTTCACATACGAACTTGTAATTATTTTTTGGATGAGAGGGGGTTACTTTCTCTACTTGCATTCTTGGTGTTGGTTGTTTAGGGAGGGTCACTTGTCTTCGGATTATGACTTCATGACTTTGGATACCCACCTCCTTTTTCGCTTCGGTGCGGGATTATGAGAGTTGGCACTTCATCCGTACACGCTTTCATTGTTAATCGATCCGTAACTTTTGTTCTCGTTCACACCCTCTGGCCTTGCAGTAGATATTGCGTCTTTGCTCGTTCATTGGCTGTATACCTTTCTCATCTAATAGCTATAGGCAAATATCTCTTCGAGGATTGCTCTTATTGGGGATTTGGAAGATTTTCTATATCGCCGTACCCCCGATGAAACGGATAATGTCTAGCAAGAATACAACGATTGATACTAAACTCCCCTTCCATCCGAAGTTCGGGTATACCTTATCCAGCAGCCCGTCCGCTAGACCGACCACGGCGTTGCGTCTATTACCTACGGATATTAATCTGCATTGCGACAAGGTGAGCACCCGAAACTTTTCTGAACGGTACATGGCATGTGATGGAGTGATGACATACTGCCATCGGGTCTACTTTTGGCACCGAGTGGACGGCGTCTGATGACTGTTACTACAGTACGTGATCGAACGCTATAAATGCAGCCTTATCCAGATGATGGATGCTAAGAACATAAACAAAGCTTGTTCGCGTAAAGACGAACACTGTCCGATTAATTTCTTTCCCCTTCCTGTTACCACCACACCAGCACCGATGGGATCCGTCGCTTCGCCCTTTCCGACCCTACCAAACATCGAGAGCCTCAGAGCACTCTTCCCGTCTAACCTCCGAGGCTCTGAATACAGCGTGGCATACGTATATTCCGGCGTGGCCCTCCTGGCCTTCGGAGAAGAGAAGCGGATACCAGAATTATGGCAGCAGATTGCACGAGTACACGCGGACAGCGAGGCGGCGCAGGTGGTCGCGGTGAAGCGTCTGCGTGAGGGTATGACGAAGGCTAGCCCGCTCGTGGGGTTTCCTAGAGTAAGTCTTTTCTCCAGGAAGAAGAAAGAGAGAGAGAGAGAACCACACACCCATTTGGCCTCTTGCATTCACACCCTAGATCAGTCGACTGACCAACAACCAGGCAATCAACGCCCTCACCGCCCTCCAACACTCGATCAAACAAACCTGCCCCCCTTCCGTCCTATCTGCACTCTCTTCTCCTTCTCCCCCCAGCTCTGACTCGCAAACCGCTTCTTCTCGCCGCGGCCAGGCACTGTTCGATTCCACGTACGGTCCGCACGCGAGCCGTGTGCGCGGCAACCTAGACGCCATTTCGGGCGGCGTGTTGGGAGGTTTTGCGGTGAAATGTGTTTATGGGGAATTACTAGCGGCGGGGACAGCAGGGGACGCGGAGGAGGGGGAAGAGGTAGATGGACGGAAACAGGGGGATGATAGCGAGGAAGGGTGGAGGCTCAGCGCGAAAGAAAGCGCTGAGCTGGTGTTTGTCGCGTGTTTGGCGGCGGGGCAGGGGGCGCAGGCGAAGGGGTGAGTGATTGATTATTTTTTCTTGCTCTCTCTTTTCGTTTTTTTCTTTTCTTTTCCTCTATCTTCTTTTTTTTTTTGTGTGTTGTCTCTGTTATTTTACTGATGTTTTGACTAACTGGCTGCTTGCAGGCATATGTACGGGTCGAGGAACCTGGGGAATTCGGGAGCGGAGGTCAGAGCTGCAGTGGAGTTGGTGATGAGATTGGCAGATGCTTTGATGGTGAGGATTGACTTGGAGGGAATGGAATTCTTGGAGAAACTTAAGAGTTGGTAATTATGTGGATAAGGCCTTTGTGATTGCTTCATCAATCGGCGATTGGCAAGATGTGGGTATTTCTTTCGTCGCAAGCTAGGGGATTCAAGAAGTGCATAGTATCAATTAAGTTAGAAGACAATGAGTTCGGGAGTATCTTTCCATTTTAGTATATGTGCAGTTGAGCGGATCGGCATTTGCCATTTCTTCATGTCTTTCGTATCTCCGAGAAACATTGATCAAGTCCGCCCGAGAACATGAATCTTGTCAATGGAGATAGGGCTGTAAAAGACTCGTAAGTGAATGATTAGGTCGGCAAGATATCACCGTCTCCACCTTGGCGCTGACTCGATAGCGAACGCACTCGGACTTCGCCTCGGAGAGAAAATGTGCTACGCCGCAGCGGGGAGAGCGACATCGGCCCAGGTCTTGAACAACTTGGCGAGAACGGACATTGCCCAATCCCAATCGCAGATGCAAGATAGGACGCGTGTTTTGAGAAGAGGCTGAGAGGGATTGGCGATAAGACGGAGCATACCAGATTACGTCTCCCCCAGGATTCGATCTGGTGCTAAGACCGGGACCGTATGCAGGCACGGGCGATCTGCTGGTCTCTGCCGGGTAACCAAACTAAACCGCGATAAGCAGGTAAAATGCCGTCGGATCCGCCCGCGCGTTGCACGTGGGGTAAAGCTATCGCTGCGGTATGCCTGCACGTAAGCCCTGATCGTCCATCGACTCGCTGAAGGTTTAATAAAATGACCACACCGCACCCGCGCTCCGCTCCTCAGCGAGCGCGCGCCGGCCTTGCCCTTCACTTCCTTCCCGTCCTGCCCCCTCGTTGACGGCAGGTACATCCGCGAGTCCAGTCGTTCCGGAGTTCTTTCGTTGCCGAAACAATGCGTTTTTCCGCGACCTTCGCCGCGGCGGCGGCAGCCTCGTTCGCCAGCACGGCGCTGGGGTGCGCCGAGGAGGGCCACAGCTGCTACGGGCCGCAGAACGACGTCGTCCTCACGCGCAAGGTCAAGCGCATGCAGCCCGAGTCCAGCAACGCGACCAGCGGGCCGCGGGCGCCGCTCGAATGGGGCCAGCTCAACTTCCTGCACACGACCGACACGCACGGCTGGCTGGAGGGCCATCTGAAGGAGCAGAACTACGGCGCCGACTGGGGCGACTACGTTTCGTTCACGACGGCCATGAAGGCGAAGGCCCGGGAGCTGGGGGTGGACTTGCTGCTCGTGGACACTGGTGTAAGCTTACACAAGACGCGGCCTATTTATGTTGTGTCTCTGCTAATCACGTACGACGGCAGGACTTGCACGACGGCGCTGGTCTCTCGGATGCCACGGACCCGAACGGGTTGATCTCGAATCCTATTTGGGAGAACATCGACTACGATCTGCTCGCCATTGGCAACCACGAGCTCTATGTCACCGAGATTGCTTACGAGCATTTCAACCAATTCGCCAAGGTGTACGGCGACCGCTATGTCACGTCCAACGTTCAGATTGTCAACCCTTCGACCGGCGAGTTTGAATATATCGGCCACCAGTACCGCTATTTCACCACCGAGCAAGGTACGTCATTGGAGGTCCCTGACAGACTGTACGGAACGCTAACAATGGGCAGGCCTCCGCATCATGGCATTTGGCGTTCTGTTCGACTTTGGCGGAAACTCGAACGTCTCCAAGGTGATCAAGGCTGCCGACCTTGTCCAGGAGTCGTGGTTCCAAGACGCCGTGAAGCACGAGGGCGTCGACATGTTCGTCCTCTTCGGCCACAACGCCGCCCGCCCGACCGACTCGACCAGCACCATGGGCACCGTGTACAGCGCCATCCGCAATGCCCGCCCCGACATCCCCATCCAGATCTTCGGCGGCCACACGCACATCCGTGACTTCGCCGTCTACGACAACAAGGCCACCGGCCTCGAGTCGGGCCGCTACTGCGAGACGCTCGGCTGGCTGTCCATCACCGGCATCCAAGGCCAGGGCAACAGCACCTACAAGGCCGTCCAGCCCGCCGGCCTCCCAGCGCCCACGCGGCCCGCCGTCTCCGTCAACGCCACGGCCGACAACAGCACCCTCCCGACGTCCGACACGCCGTCCACCCTCCGCTACTCCCGCCGCTACCTCGACTGGAACCGGTGGACCTTCGCGTACCACGCGACGGGCAGCCAGAACAAGCCGTTCGACACGCAGCACGGCAAAGCCGTCACCGCGACCATCACGGGCGCGCGCACGCAGCTCAACCTCAGCAGCGTCATCGGCTGCGCGCCGCAAACCTGGTGCATCGACTGCAAGCCCTTCAACGACGCCGGCAACATCTACACTTTGCTCCGCGAGGCCATCGCCACCGTCCTCGTCAACGAGACGCGCAAAGACGTGCCGCGCCTGCTGTTCATCAACACGGGCAGCGTGCGCTTCGACCTCGTCCAGGGCCCCTTCACCTACGACGACTCGTTCATCGTCTCGCCGTTTACCAACACCATCCGCTTCGTCCCCGACGTGCCGTACGAGTACGCGTCGCAGGTCCTCGACATCATGAACGCCGGGCCCTACCAGAAGCGCTCGCTCGACCTGTCTCCCGACCCGCAGCTCTCCCGTCGCAGCTTGGGATTCAGCGCGCTCACGCCCTCGCTGCCCGACACGGACGCCTGCGTCGACCCGCCCATCTCGCGCTCACACGAGCTGCGCGGCCGCTCGTTCCAGGGCGGCCGCCTGCTGCGCCGCCAGGAAGTCGCGACGCCGGGCTACGTCACGTCCGATGATTTTGGGACTGACGGCGACGACACGCCGCACACGGCTATCCCGGCGTACGACCTGCCCATCGACGTGCAGGCCAACGCGTCGTTCCCGGCCGACGGCAGCACGCCGGAGAAGGTGGACGTCGTGTATCTCGACTTCATCGAGGATTACGTCATCGCGGCGCTGAATGAGGCGGGCGGGAACTTCTCGACGGATGATACGGATGGGTATATGCCCGAGAGCTTTACGAGTAATATGTATTTGCCTGAGTATGCCAAGGTGGCGTGGCAGGCGAATGTGGATGATTGTCCGGTCGGGGAGGGGGTGGGGTTTGATAAGAGGAGGTAGGGTAGGAGTTGTTTTTTTTTTTTTTTTGGCTGTGTGAAGCGTTAATGGCATGGCGGTGGTGTTTGGGGAGTGGGTGTGGAGTACGGACGCATGAGCAGTATAAAAGCGAATAGCATTCGGTATGTTGATTGAGTTGCAGATGTTTGGAAATGAGAATGTGAGGCTTCTTTTGAAAGATACCTCGCCTTTAAAGGTATTTGGAGCGTCATCTTGGTCTTCGAAGTCGTGATCTGTGATGAGCCCCTCAAAGGCCTAGAGGGTGTGTTTGATAGCACTGTGAGCGAGATTCACCATGTCTACCTTCTTGCAAGCTTTCGTATTTGTGGGGGACATGTTCGTTTATGGAGGCTCCCTTTTATATGGTGTGATGCGAGTTATCGAAGTTGGAATAACCGGGAGAGTTGATGAAGATGACCATATCCGATGTTTTATCTCCGCGTAATGGATCTGTATTGTCTCCTGGGTGACATCAAAGGGAAGACTATAGCAAAAAAAAAAAAAGAATGAGGAGAAAGAGAAGTAACACATCCTAGATCGGTGGATGAAGTAGAATAGAAGTATATGTGCAATTTGGACGTTGGGGAAGAAGCTCTTCACATTGCTCGCCTCGCCCAATTGGGCGAGGCGAGCAATGATGCAATCTGCGGAAGCGTTCCGCGAGAGCTCCAGTGGGGCAGGCGCGACGCGTTCCCCGCAGCTTGTGCAACGCTTACCATTGCACAATCACCTAAGCAATTGATGTGCTGCTTCAGCTCTGCTGCCTCCTGACAGCCTGCCCTGCAATTGATGCTCCTCCAAACTCACCTCACCAAAGCTTTCCGCTGCAACTTTGCCCCCACTTCCTCGACTTCACGAATTGCGAGACGCGCCTTTATCGGAGTGACCACCATGAGTGACAGCACGATCCACAAGCCCGGAACGGACGACGGCTGGCATGGAGTCATCGCGCCGGACAGCCAGTTCCCGCCGGAGAAGGGACGATACCATCTCTACATCGGTGAGCCGGAAGCGCGGGATGCGTCCTGTTCCTTCCGGACCTTAACTGATTCCACCCTCGTATAGGTCTTTTCTGCCCATTCGCCCACCGTGCCAACCTGGTCCGCCACCTGAAAGGCCTCACAGACATCATCGAGCTCTCCATCGTGAAGCCGTACCCAAAGGGCGACGAGAAGGGCTGGCCCGGCTGGAGATTCCCCAAGACGGACGACGAGTATCCGAACGCGACCGTTGACAAGCTCTTCGGGAGCGAATACCTGCACGAAGTGTACTTCCGAGCAGACAAGGACTACAAGGGGCGGTACAGCGTGCCGCTGCTCTGGGACACCAAGACGCAGACCGCAGTCAACAACGTAAGGTTCCCGGCGGTTCCACTTCAGTAGCTGTAGATCATGTAGATCGATGCTGACCGCAGGACCTTGCAGGAGAGCGCCGAGCTGCTCCGGTGGCTCCCCACAGCCTTCAACGATCTGATCTCGCCCGAGCTCGCCAAGATCGACCTCTACCCCTCGCACCTTCGCTCTCAGATCGACACCATCACCGAGTGGATGCAGCGAGACCTGAACACGGGCGTGTACAAGGCCGGGTTCGCGACGGACCAGGAGACGTACGAGAAGAACCTGCCAGCCGTCTTCGCCGCGCTGAACAAGCTCGAGGAGATCGTGCACAAGAATGGCGGACCGTACATCTTGGGCAAGGAGCTGACGGAGCTGGATCTGCGAGCGTATGCGACCGTCGTCCGTTTCGATACGGTCTACGTGCAGCACTTCAAGTGCAACCTGGGAACTATCCGCCACGACTATCCGGTTCTGAACAATTGGTTGAAGAACCTGTATTGGAATGTCAAGGGTTTCAAGGAATCGACCGACTTCAAGCACATCAAGGAGAATGTAAGTTGCTTCAGTGGAGAAAGGCGGGGACTGTTGTCTTTTGCGATAACGGGGATTATTCATTTCAATTACTGACCGAACTTCTGTTCCCAGTATACCAAGAGCCACTACGGCATCAACCCCAAGGCCATTACTCCTTTGGGACCCTATCCGGATGTCGAGGAAGGTGTGCAGGACTTTAGCACACTGAAGCCAGGAAGCGTTCGTCACCCTGCAGTGGTCGAGTACCAAGCCAAGCTCTAGAGCAGCATGTGCATGGCATCAAGACAGATCGAATGATATCCAAGACATCAGAGCACACACCACTTGCCTTTTAGCGACAGCAGCAGATGACTAATAACTTGCTCACACCACAAAGGGTAGGCGACGGACGGACTCCGGCAGAAACAGGCGCCGCAAATTTGCGACGCCGTCCTTTAACGCCAAGAATGCCAATGCCAATACTGCGCTACATGCAGCACTATGACCGGGAAGCAGACCAATCACTGAAGCTGTATTTACTTGTAGCGAAGATAGCATCTCGGAAAAACTCCACTCTTGCTTGTGCGTAGCCATCAAGGTACATAGTTCAAATGCTGAAGCGGCTCCCTCTACTTCTCTTCTTCGTACATCGCCGCAGTTTTGTGTTTGTTTCATTCAGCGTTGTGCGCTGGTAGCCAGTAGTAACAATGGCAGAAAAGTCGTGGAGTTATCAGCTGAAAGGTGATATTTGGATCCGGAAAGTATATTTGGCTTGGTGACTGACAAACTGGCAGTGATGTTTCTGGGTGATGTTGCGAAAACCAAAGAGGAAAGACGATTGGTTCAGAAACTTGGTTGGTTCCGATCATCCTTCCGCATATGGTACCGTTGGCTGACACAAGCGTCCCAGATTTGTTTGTTCTTGTATAGGTCCACCAATCAGGACGGCACTGAGAATCAGCTAACACGCGGATAAGACCTACTGCTGCATGAGTTACTTCTTCAATTATCTTGGTAGGGCGAGATCAGCCGCTTCATAAAGAGGGAATGAGCTAACACAAAACTTCAAGATCGCGCTGCATTTGCGAATGCCTACGTATGTCCAACCTTTCCACCTTACCAGCACTCAAAAATACTCATAAGTCGGATAGGTTGCTGGTCTGAAGGAAGACATTGGTCTTCATGGGGCACAGTACAACGTCTTGCTCTCTCTGATGACTGCTGGGTACGTCCAACTCCGCAAGGCATCATGGCGAACTTACTTATAATTGCCATCAGAATCGTCATTGCTCAGATACCCCATGGAATAATTATCCAGAAGATCCCGCCACGGAGATGGCTTCCGTCAATGGTCCTGCTCTGGGCAGGCTTGACAATGTGCACCGCTGCTTGCAAGACGTACGAGCAAATGTGCGTTGTTCGGTTCTTCCAGGGAATGGCTGAGGCGAGCACGTACTGCGGATCCATGTACGTTGTGGGATCGTGGTAGTAAGTCTTTGCTCCGCCCATCACTCTTAAAAAGTGTACGTGCTTCTGTAATGGGGATGTTGATGTTGTGTTACAGTAAACCTCAGGAAATCGCGAAGAGGACTGCCATTTTCACCGCTGTAGGCCAGGCCGGAAGCATGTTTGCCGGTGTGATGATGACGGCGGTTCATAAGGGCATGAACGGTTATGCGGGCCTGCCCGGATGGAAATGGGTCTTCTTGATCGGTAAGTAGAGACTTCGACCGCTTCTCCCTTTTCCTCATATCGTGTGGAGGACGTGCTTTGGTGCTGATAATTGAAAGACGGAATCATCACTCTCCCCGTCGCCATCGCAGGCTTCATCTTCTTCCCTGACATCCCGGAGAACACCAACGCCCACCTCTTCGGCCTCAAAGAACAGGAAATCCAGCTGGCCATCTCGCGCCTCCCGCCCAAGAAGAAAGACGCCCACAACATCTCGCCCCTCTCCCTCGCCAAACGCATTCTGGGCCAACCACACTTGTGCGTTTCCACTCCTCCCCCCCCCCCCCCCCCCCCCCCCCCCCCCCC